TTAAATTTACCTACGTCCTAGCGAGAGGGACAGTGTGTATGTTGGAGACTAAAAAACCGATGGTACCCCCCTCCCACCCATGAGTTCGATTTAGGCATACTTCACTCGCAGTCACTCAGATGTGCGACAGGTACATAGGCATTTTAGGTGCCAAGACGCAGCTGATGCCACATAAATAAATGTTAACAAAATGCACTATTCAAATACGCACATGTTTCCTTTGTATAAAGAAAGAATAAAAGATGGGGCATCTATTGTTATGTCACTTGACTAGTGACAAATTCTAATGAGAACACACGAGTGGGGTGTCGTGCAGTGAGAAGTGGGGGAAAGAGCACATAGAGCAAGATGTGGCATGCTTCCGGGGAGAAGGTGAGGTGACGAGTGGGGGAGAATTATACCATGTGACCAAAACATTTGAAGCCTTGGGGCAGCAGCAAAATAGGCGTGAGATTTGTCAGTCGCATGTTCACCATTACCCCAATTTGCATTCACATAGTACGTTTGTGCAGTGCACATCCACCAAACGTTGCTACGCGTACACTTTGCAGTCATCATCGTCGTTACCGTCAAATGACACATGATGGTTGCTACATTTGCCAAAGCGCTCACCGACTGGGAAAAAAAATTACAGCATATTCACGGAGTAAATGGTGATGAGTGGGGCAAAACGTCCCTCCGTCTGTCCATCCGTCGGTCCGTCTGGCTGTCAGTCTACCGTCTGTCTGTATGTCCGTCCGTTCGACCCCCACTTTAATCATCACCAATAAGAATGTCCATAGAGTTTCCTAAAATTTTCTAGAGGAAACTCTCGCGCTGCAGTCGTTCAGTGAACATGGGAATTATGGGCACGACATGGATTTGCCTATTTTTTGTGCAAGAAGGAACATAAAGTACTAAGACCAGGCAAATTCATGTACTACCCATAATTCTCATGGTTGCTGAAGCGCCATGCGTTGCAGCTTGAATAGACGCTAGCGCCAGAGTTCCCTCTAGTGTATTTTTAGGAAACTCCATGAGAATACCCTACCGCCATCTAGTGATCTTATATACAATTTTACTTATATACACACACGATGCCATCTAGTGAACAGTTCATGAACTAGAGCTGGCTACATACTATGTACTATTGACAAAAGAGGGAACGACCCACACCCTAAGGAGCTTCGCCCCTAAACAAAAAAAAGGAGAATGGGACGTTTAAGAATTACCTGACACGTCCTATTGCTCCTCCTCCACTTTTCAGGTGAGAGCGCTACAAACTGCTCCTGCCTGCTCTCAGAGTTGCAAAAGCGCTCTTACTCTACCAATGGATGACAGTGCTCCTACGCCTGTTTGACCACTGAAACACGGCAGCTTTGAAGAGAGCACTTTCATTGTGCTCTTGTGTGCTCCTGTTTTCTCAATAAAATTCGCCATAACAGGAGACACCCACCTGTGCACACACCTATGGACTTCCTTTGAATTTGCCTGCAGACACTTTTTAAATGTGGACTGAATGTAAAACCTATCTTTCTCGTATCAGAAAATCACTCTTTCACATTGCATTATCAAAATCGTCTTGCTTGAAGCGAGTAGACACTTAGTAACCAAGAAAACGTGTTGAAAATGGGGGGGGGGGGGGGGGGGCACCCGTTGCCGTGGTATCATAGATCTTTATAGGTACCAGGGCTTGCATGGTAGCTAGCCGGTGAAAAAGAAGCAAATTATCTTTTCTGAGAGACGTAGCATTCCAATTTGCAGGAAAATTCATTCAGTCATTATGGCCAAAATGCAAAAGAGAAAGAAAAAATGCTGAAATCTGTGAAGTCACCACTGGAGATTTAGGAGGAAAATTGAAAAGTGAAAAAAGTTGAACTTGATTTTCTTATCTGATAAAAAATCCATAGTGGAGAAATAAAGGGCACTAAAGTCTTCAGAGTATAGTTTATCAGGTTAAGCTAATGTCCTATTTCACTTTAATGTCCCTTTGTAGTTTTAGGGCAGCAGTGGAAGGTGGGTAGGTAGTAGGGCTCGTCCGACTTTTGCGTGGAACAACCAATCTATGAACAGGTGGGCTGCGCTCTTACGCAGCCCCGAACTTAAGGATCAAACCCTGGCCGTCCAGAGTGCCCGTGAACGGGCCGCCAAGCTCGGCTTGACGGTCCCAACGTGGGATTAGCCGGGTGGCGCGGGGTCTTCCCTGTGTCTTCTCAGGACAAAAATAAAGTTTTAATCAATAAATCAATAAGTTCTTCTCACAATATATATGACAGGTTTGCTGTCATGGTTATAGCCAAGGGGGAATTGGGGGAAGAGGGGGGGGGTGTCAGACATCCCAAAATTTTAAATTTTGCTTGCTTATATATATATATGCACGGACACGCACAAATGCATGTGCGAACCTACATAAAATATGGTTGAACACACACAACCCACCCCACCCTCCAAAAATTTCGGCTTACGCTACTGTTCACTGTAATATTAATAGAAAAAAAAAAAAACATGGTGCGTGTCCTCTTGTGCTTCATGTGCAGTGAAATTTGGAACTTGCCATTTTATGATGCATACAGAATAGACTGTAGACATATTAGTACTTTGGAACAGTGAACTGCATCATAACTGCAAAACAATGCTGCATGCAAGAACATAATGTGGCGAATACATGAATGATTGCTTCCTCTCGGGCGTGACAGATGGCTCGTAGTTTAGTTTCAGACACGAAGAAGAAAGATTATTTTTCTCGCTTTAGTGTAAGTTCCCTTTTGAGAATTACCGAAAGGGTCACTCCTGCGTACAGAAAACGCACTAAAAGGAAATTCAGTGGTGCCACCTTGAGTCTCGTGCACCAGCTTGCCATGATGTCATAGGTTTCAATAATGCTTTCTCGGGCCTACGTGGCTAAAAAATGCTCAGCTGTGGCTAAAATGCATGACATTGCTTACCAAGTGATTCATAAACTTATAATGGCAAGTTTGTCGTTATATTATTGAGCCGATGCCACCGAGATACGAAAAGAGGAAGATTGAAATCTGTGACGTCACGCTGATAGTCAGGGGCCGTAATTGCAGCACGTAGTTCAAAATTGACAATTTAACCCTCATTTTGTCTTCCAGTAGTGAACTTATAGCTTCAAAATAAACAATGATAGTATTTTAAAGTAATGGTTTATCAATCTAACCTGGCTTATTCTTTCACGTTATTGTCTTTTTGAGACGCCTTTTCGTATGCACGTACCTAGCTAAAGCCTTTCCTCAGGTAACCTTTCAACTAGCTGTCTCCAGCTGTTGCATGTGGGGACTTAATTACAACACGTTTGTGCACGAATGTATATTTGTGCATGTAAATTAGTCCTAACTATTCTCCCCTGGTCTACAGTACTTGGAAAGGCATCACTCTGCTGCTAAAGTAAGAGATTCATAGGCGGTTGACGTACGTGTCGGTGACTCGTATCTCGTTGTGATAGAGTTTCAGTTGTAATGAACAATTTACGCAGACTTTACGTTCGATTATATTTCATTTAATAGCTTTAATAGCTCAGGATGGCAGGATTTCATCATACTCACCATTTTTTTCCCCTTGGGTACAGTAATGAACTCATGCACCTACCAAGGCAATGATAATTTCCCTCTTTTTCTCACTTGGAATCTGCACCTCCCAGAATACGCGATTGCAGCAAGATAAGAGCAGTCGACATGAGTGGCCTCTGCACACGAGCGCACGGGAAGTTACTATCAACAGAAATATAATTGGTGGTGTCTCGTGGGAACGTCCCCTTATCAGGACGCCTCTGATCTACAGCTTTGCACTTTGCCAGCTTGTCCCTGCGGGTGCCAGTAGATTGTACGGGTTACATTTTCTATTCCAATCTTTTTCTCAAGAAGAGTGGTGATAGCACAATATATCGGAACGATAGCCTGAGGCTACTGGGCAAGCGGGTCGTTATTTGTATTTCCCAATGGCCTTGTATTGCGTTTGCTTCACTACTAAACATGTTATGGTGGTCATTGTCAAGGTCAAGGCATGCTCAGTGGAGGCGTGGCCTCTGCGATGACAATTGTTATGGCGCGAGAACAGAACGACGACACAGAGACAAGAAGGACATGAAGGTCTCTGTGTCGTGGTTCTGTTCTCGCGCTATAACTATCGTCATGCCATACCAACTAGCCTAAGCTGCCACACCTCTGCAATGAGCTTTGGCAGTGACTGCGGAGGCCATGGCATGAATCGGGAATAGGGCATGTGATTTAAGGGATATTACGAAGAGATAGTAAAGTTCACTTGTACTGATAAAGCCAACAAGCCCAGCTGTCCCCACTTCTGGTACTGATGAAATTTTTTTAACGACTTTCATTTCTTATTTCTTTTTTTTCCTGAATTTCTTTTTTTTTTTCCCTCCTATTTGCAGTACCACTTGTGGTAACAACATTCTACAATTGTTTAGGATTAATATATAATGCGTTTGTAATGATTTTCAAATGCATCTGATGAGTCAAATACACTTTAATAGGTTCAAACAGGCACTGTCAATATTCTCCTCACTATGAAATTGCACAGAAATTTGACTATAATGTAACCACACTTACTTTTGTTTTTGAGTCTTTTCTGGCCTGCATGGAACCACTCATCATGGTAACAATCTGTTATGTCTTTTTTTTATAAAGAACAAAATTGAAATGACAGTTACATACTACAGATACAGGTGTGGTAAGCAGGCGGTGCATCCCCCCTGTCTTCTCTCACATATTTAAGTAAATTTGCGGGCACATACGTGATTATATGACTGGCATAGGCGTGTGCAGGGTTCTCACTTAGGGTGAACCATGTTCCACCGCAGTGGTTCATTCAGAATTGTGATTCATGCAGAAATGAAGCACGCAAACGTTGTTGCTGCATGTTTCCTGTATGTACGTTATTATTTTTTGATGCTAACAATGCAGCGGGAGTGAAGTGCTCTAAAACCCTTAACAAGGGTGGCATTTCGTCTTCGTGCCTTTGACCAGTGCCACCCTGTCCTGCAGGTTTTCACTTGAGTGGTAGTGTGACGCCCAATGCCCCGGGAACGGGATACCCCGCCGAACCCGAGAAGAAGTTTCGCATCTCCATCAGCTTCGACAGGTGAGGCTTCTTTTCGGCACATCCCACAGTGTTCTCGCTTCACTTGAGCATCTTGTCCTGCCTCTTTCTGTTTCGTGTGCGGATACCCGCCATGATGGTCTGGTAGCCGAGGCACTGGACTGCTGACCGACGGGTCGCATGATTGAATCACCGCTAAGGCGGCTACATTTGTGATGAAGGCGGAAACGCTGTAAGCCTGTGTGCTCAGGTTTGGGTGCATATTAAGGAACCCCAGGTGGTCGAAATTTCCTGAGCCCTCCACTACAGTGTCTCATAATTATATGGTGGTTTTGGGATGTTAAACCCCAACAATTATCATTATTATTATTATTATTATTACTATCAATACTGTTATTATCTTTCATGTGCTAAGCACTTTAGAGGCCAGGGCTGTTGTATGGTGTCATTGCTTGGCGTAATGCAGGTGAAATCATGTATATAAGAAAAGAAAAAAAGACGGAACAAGCAAGAACTGAAGAGAGAGAAAGAATGAAAAAAATGAAACGAGTGAAAAGAGAAAGTTATAGATGAAAAGAGACGAAGGATTTAATTGAAATAAAGCAACAGAAAAGACAGAGAAAAAATGGTAAAAGAGAAAGAAAGGGAGGAGGAAAGAAAAAGAAAACCGAAGAGAAAAGAAAGAACGCTGGCCACTTCCGCACTTCCTTCAGGCTTGGCACCCGTAGTGTGAAGCTGCCTTTATTTTTTTACGTATTTTCTCAGCCATGTCTCGCCGCGAAAATACTAAACAAATGAAAGACTCGAACGCACAGTATAGTGCATTCTAAAAAGAAAATTGAAGAAGGCTGTATGACTTTTCACATTGTTCACACAAAAACGGGAGTAGCATAAACTCGTTCGTATTCTGGCATGCCATTGCTTCATCAGAATGATGGAGGAAATAGGTGCTTGCATTTTTGCTGTTGAATTATTGCAATTTGCGTGTTTTTACACTGAAACAAACAAGGTGATACACTGGTGCAAGTAGAGGCCTCTGAGACCTAATTCGACTACAATCAATTAGCATTGGAAGAAAAACAGGCTGAGTGCTCTTCAAATAGTTTTTGAACATTGAACAGCATTGTTGACAATCAATGTGAAATGATGTGGTCGTCCTAGTGTTTGTAAAAAGAGTATTGGAACTGCAAATTAATTGTCAGCAATAAGTAAAGCGTATTCCTTGCATATGTAAACTTTTTAAGGAGCGTGAACAATTGCTGTATAGCCAATGAGCTCTAGCTACCTGAGCAAGGCAGTCTGCTACACTATGTTATCTCTCTCATGTTTTGTTATACGGGGGTGAAGTTGGTAGTAATTGTGCCAATTTTGAATTTATTTTAATGGAAGTAATGTTTCAAAATACTCGAAAGCTAGTGAAAGAAAGATTCGTTTTTGCAGAAGGGGGCTTTTCAATTCGAGAAATGAATTGCAGTTGAAAAGGGTTTTATTGGTGTAAATAGTACTTGCACAGCAGGTCTATTGATGCAGAAAGCAGGCGGCAGCAACTGACCCAGGAATCACAGCGCTCGGGGCAACAGCTCGCACTCGGCTCCTCTTGCTAAAGGCGTGACCCACTGTGGCACATAATCTTCTTCCTCTCTACACAGTCATTACTCAATTCAATAATTGGAGTTTTCAACATTTGCATGCTCAGGTTGATTGGCGTGCCTTTGAAATGATCTTTAGCGAGGTTTACACAGATATCAGCTATCACTGACACAAGCAATTACCATTAGGAATTTTCATCCTAAATTAAAAAAAGAAAAAAATGAAAAAGACAAATCACTTCTCCCTTGCTTTGTTTTGCTCATTTGTAGTTAGTGCCAATCCAATGTAGCGTTAACATTTACTCTTACTGTCTCTAGTCTTCCACTTCTTGGTCTTCAAATGGTTGAGTCGAGTAAACCTTATTTGTCCAGTGATTTGACATTAACATTACCCATCATAGATAGCGCAGGACTAGCCTGCTATTTCTGAGACCACAGCCCAGCTCCGAGTCAACAACCGTTTTATCGTCCGCAATGCACAGATTTATTTCTAGTTATATGTCAGATGTAGCTGCCTTTCATTGCAAGTGATTCTTACTAAAGCCCTGCCCTTTGCATTTTTTCGAGCCTGCATAGAAATGTCGAGGAATTGCTTTGTAAACTGTCAGGGGCAAATTAAATTTTTTCTCCCTTTTTAACCTTCAAACATCTTTCTTGTTAACGCCCTAAGCAGATGTGGTTTCTTTGCGAAACGACCTTCTGATTCCTGGGTTCAGTTGCATTTTCTTGCTCTCTTAAAGTTGTTATGTGCATCCTGGTTTCTGGTATGTTTCTTGCTGTCATAAAGTAGTATGTATTCTTGTTCTCGGTCTTTTGTTCTAACGAATGCATCATGGTTGTAAACTGGAAGCTGCTTTCAAGCTAAATATTAAGCCAAGAATTCCTGTTCTAAAGGATTGTTGTCTGCCACTTGGGGCGATATTTAATTATGTGCTATACTTTTGCTTGGAACGTCACATAGTGTTTTTCAACTTGAAATATATGAGTGAAAGCGAAATAAAAAAAAGAACAGGTGATTGATGATGTGTTTGTAGGATTTGCAAAAAAAGAAGCCAGATGCTTTGAAGGTTGCCAGCTGTCTCATGTTATACTAAGTATTTGCTTTTTCATCTTTCTTTTTCACATTTAACGGGAAAATGGCATTGAATAAAGAAAGTCGATGGTGCGCATGGTAATTTGCGAAATGGAATGTGCCTGAACGTGTGTTTTCTTACACTCACTATGCTACTTGTTCAGTACACAAGACAGTGGCACACAGGATTTAGTCGTTGCTGACAGAATTCACGTATAGGGCTGCTGTAAGACCTTGCGTCTTTTAATGTTTCTGCATGTCTTCTGTTTATTTTCTCCAGATGTTGAAAGCATACCTTTATGTGTTTACATCTGAAACGTTTCCATCTGAAACGGTGGTTTAAAACTTATGGGTGCTCTGCTGCTGACCGGTAGGTCACAGAATCGAATTCTGGTCATGGCAGCCACAATTTTGATGGAAGGAAAAATTACAGAGGCCCTTAGCTTAGATTTGGGTCCACGCTTAAGAACCTCAGGTGGGCCAAATTTCTGGAACTCTTCACTATGGCATCTCTCGTGATCGTGTAATGATTTTGGGGTGTTAAAGTGAACAATTATTACGATATTATTACAGCTTGCGGGCTACTGTACAGCTGTTTACTCCAACAACAAAACTTATATCGCATTGTCAGCTTGTTACCCTGTGCCTGGCAGTCTCCGGCCAAAACAGGCCCTTGCATCAAGAAAGTCAAGTAGTCATCATCATGGCCATGTCAAGGCCATCTTGTATGAAAAAGAAATTCAGTTCATGTTATGTCACGGTGAACATAAACCGTCAAGTGTCCAGACATGATATTAGTAGTTGTGCAAAAATTCCATTGTGAAAGAAAGCCTTTCTAGCTTTCTTCATGATCCTGTTTTATTTCATACTCAAGGTTCTGTGCTACTTAGATAATAATTAAAAAGCACGAACTTGCCCGTGAAGTTATTCCCATATGTCCGCAGTTGTGATGAAACATTTCTTCATGATCCTGTTTTATTTCATACTCAAGGTTCTGTGCTACTTAGATAATAATTAAAAAGCACGAACTTGCCCGTGAAGTTATTCCCATATGTCCGCAGTTGTGATGAAACATGTTCACTACAAGTTGGTCTATGTGAGAAAATGCTCGTGCACTTAGTCGCGTCTCATTATGTCTCTTGTTATTTGAGTTCCAGCGTGGCCTATACAGCCTAGCGCCAGGAAAGCTGCTCATTGAAAACTCACTGTTGTTGTTATTATTTTTTTGAAGAGAGCAACATATGTCATCATTGCCACAACATAAAAAAGAAGCTTCGTTTTGTAACTTTTTGTTTCATTCATCAACTTTCAATTCATCAACTTTTACTAGTTAGCTGTGCATGTCCTTGTAAGTACGCAATCGCACATTTTGTATTTGTCAGTATGGTTCATCTAGGCTGACACAACTGCAGGCACCACTTTTACTCTATGGAGACAAACAGGCTGGTTTTGAGAAAGACAAGTTTGTAGCTAGCAAACAACACACAAGTTTGTTTTTCTGAATTCATGCTTGGGATAGCCCTAAACTGACTGTTTGTGTAATGTATAATGTAACTTTACTTTGTCATCACTTTCATCAACGTGTTGAGTGCCCAAGTACTATTTGCAGTGTGTTAAACAAGTGTCTTGACATTGGTGGGCCTTGGCCTCGCTTTCCTTGGAACACTTTGCGCCGTTTGCCCTGGGCGAGCAACTGACGATTTCTCGTCTACCTGTACTTTCTCCAGGTGTAAGATCACCTCGGTAACATGCACGTGCGAGACACACGACATCTTCTGGTGCCAGCATGTGGTGGCTCTGGCCATCTACCGAATCCGGAATGCCGACAGCGTTCGGCTTCGAGTTCCCATCTCGGGTGAGTCCTCGCTTTGCGTCGTGCGTGCGCTCGGGTAGTTGTGAAGGCGTTACCACCCCACAATGTCAGTGTAATGGTTGCCAGGACGTCACATAGAGCAGCAGTGAAACTGCAGTGGAATCTCAAACTGTGCATGAAAGCCTGGCTTCATTTGTAATTCATTGTTCTCAGTTACTATGCATAAACTTCATTTGAAAAATGAGTGGCTGCATTCTGAAAAACACAGAGAAACATAAATTGTTTTTTTAGAGCAATACTGAGGCCCCCAGGGAGCGATGGTGGCTCATGCTGCTTAGTTCGGAGGTCCAAGACCAAAAATGGGCTATCTTGCCGGCCAAGGAGGCTGTACGAAGACAAGGTCTCCTGGAACCTCCCTGTGCGGTCTAGCCCAGACCACAAACATGCCGGATCCGGAAATAAAGTTCATTCATTCAGAACAATACAAAAAAAAAGTCAATGCCATAGGCGTGTATCGCAAATCATGCAGAACCTAGAACATTGAGAACTTTCATGACCTTAGAAATGTGGTGATGCCTGCAGGGCCCTGAAAGTCTTAGAGGCTACAAGCTAGCTAGGATTTGCATCACATGCGTTAACCACCAGGTGCATACGTCACTTGTTTAGGCACAGCTACTTCAGAGGCTGGTAATAAAAAAAGTCGCATGGTTATCAGCCATGAACCTTGATAAGATTGCTTCAGTAGTACACACTGCCCATTTGTAATTGGTTTAGACACTCTGAAGCTTTTTTTTTTGTAAGTGACGTGCCCAGGTTATTGTCGCGCCTGCCTGAAATGATGCCAGTTGAACCGCTGTTATTCGAAGTGTGCCTGCCCGAGACGTAGCCAGGGGTTGGGTAGGTCGTTTAACCTCTGGCCAGGTCTCTGGCATTGAAAGCTTATCGGGAGCATTTTGAGGCACTTCCCTCACACTCTCGTTCTGCGTATGCTGTGCAGAGACCCTGCTCCAGCTGGACCGGGAGCAGCTGCAGAAGCTGCTGCAGTACCTGATAGCCGAGCACCACACCGAGGTGCTGCCCACAGCTCAGCGCCTGGCTGACGAAATCCTCCAGTCGCGGTCGCTCATCAACCGCATTGCCGGTATGTACGTTGGCTTGAATGAAAACAAAAAACAAACTGTGTTCGCACTCAAGCCTAATATTTCATTCTTTTTTTTGCAAAGATTGATGCCGACTGAATAAATATAATATGATACTGAATTACACTATAATTAACATTAGTTACTAAATCTCGCACAAGACAATACATTTATTTATTTTTATTCTTGGAATATAATACTGAGTGCCTTAGAATTATACCATAATAATTTGACACATTTGCAGACGATGGATCTTGATTAGCACCCGAAGGGGATAGACACACACATGCACAGGAGTAACAATAAATAAACAGTTATTTTCTGCCATACATTCTATGCAGTGCCAGTTTTGCATTTTAAGCAAGTTGGAAAAACATTTTACGCCATGAAAAATTTATGATACCATTAGTGTAAAGTAAATAGTGAACAGTCAAGGGTTTAAATGGTTAGAGTGGTAATGCAGATGTACAAATTTTATCCTCAGTGACAATTATTTCTATGGAACATAAATACACATAGGAGACTGTGTTTTTGCTGAGTAAATTCTGTTTGCAGAAAATGTGTCAAAAGATGGAAAGTTGCAAGTTTGCAAGAAATGCCTGCAAGGAAAGAGTCACAGTGGTGTCTGTGGTCTCTTAGTATGCCAGTGCAAGGCACTTTATAACATAGGAGCATTTTCTTTCAGCAAAATTTTTCAGAAAAGCTTCTGAACTATCCAGAATTATGAAGAACAAAATACTGACATTTTTTCCCTGTTGGTCGAAAAAAACAAGGTATTGTTTTTCAGTCTATGCAGTTTCTGATTACCTCTTTGAGGCATACACTTATAAGGTATTTAAAATGCGAATCTTTCCCAACAAGCACTTATGTTCTCTGGGTAAACTTAAAAAAAAAACAAAAAACAAGAAGGCACGCTGTTTTGTTCTTAACTTCCCTGCCTGCACTTTCTATGACATTCATATGATTTTAACTATGATTTTTTTGTTTTAATTGCATGTTTTGCAGGTATCGAGATATAAGCTTCAGAACGTTGTCAAACTGAAATTAGTGAAGGCGTGCTTCACATCGATAACATTCCAATATCATCTTGCATTGACGTTAACAGCACTTCTTAACTTACAAAGAAGGAGGCCCTTGTCATTAGAAAGCGGCAACACGTCCAGTAGCACTCGACCAATGTGTCAGTTTAACTTGAAGATTGTGGTACTGCTTTTGGCCACGTTTTGAAAAGCGCGCCCTTGCTCCAGGCGCCCCCGACCCAACGGCGGGTGCCTCGGCCGAGGAGGATCATAGCTGGCACCTGGACGAAGAGCAGGTCAGCGAGCAGGTGCGCGCCTTCCTCTCCCAGGGCGGCTACTTCATGGTCTCCCGGCAGCTCAATGCACTCTTCTCCAAGGTGAGGCCGGCAAAATGATGACCTGATGCTCACATAGATTACAAAGTTGGTGGGATTTGCATATGCGAATGTATTTATGCGTTGGCTAGGTCGTTATCGTCGTTTGGTGACGGCATGGTTGTCACCAAACTGCGATGTAACACTCGCGATGTAACAAAATGTCAACCTGAAGATCAACCTGAGCGTCAATCTTCAGAATCTAAATAGAGTTTACCGTACCATACCGTTTAGGAATGCTACTTTAGTAACATTTATTGTAAACAGTGTCTAAAAACACAGACAAGGAAATGCTTGCGTTCCCCTAGGTTGACGACTAGAGAAGTAGAGAGTGAGACGGGATGTCTTCTTAGAACGGAAAATTTATTCTTCTGGAAGTTCATGCGCTTCTACATATGCCTCGATCCCGGGCGAACGTATCCGGGGTCGTTACCTAGTTAAGCTCTATCCACACAGAGTAGCTTCACCCAGCCAAAAAGCTGATATTTCACGTTTTTGAAACTTTTCCTAGTCAACATACAGCTCACACTCGCTGTCACAGGCTTTTGCGCACACAAGGACGCGACGCTGCTGTTTTCACCGTGCAAAATTACTTTTACTGGTCATCAATGTTCATAACAACAACGGGACATCACCACACGCCTACAAATTATAACGAGCACAGCTTAGTCGCAAACCAAGGCATTCGTGCAGACATGTGGCCCATTGCCATAATGTGATAGCTATGGCACTGTGTCTGGAGGCTGTTGCCAAAATGTCTTTTTTTTTTTTTTCACGCGTAGGCAATTTTCGGACTTTGTTTATCGATTGAAAGATACACCTTGGATTCGATTTTTTTATTTATTCGCACGCACCTCCTCCAACTGTGTAATATTGCCACTAGCTGTCACTGGAAAAAATGAACTAATCTGCCTTCCTTGCAGAGGCACTAGGTCGTGCTGTGGGCTTACTCAGGCGGTCTGTACCCCTTTTTTTTTCGGGGGGGGGGGGCAAGGCTTAGTGTTGCTGCCTATAGTCTTAGTTTTTCAACTATGTGACACACAGATTATGCGATGGTTTTGCGTTGTCCCCTGAAAGTCGTATAATTGGGGTTCCACTGTGCTTTCACTACAAAAAAAAAATCAGGGTTGTTGTTAAACTCGAAGTAGGCTAAAATCGCCTTTAAAGAGCCCAAGGTGGCTATAAAAGAACAAAAAGAGTTCATTGCCTAGAGACCCCTGGAAATTGCCACCTTGCTGCTTGCCGTTGCATTTTGCACTAAAAGAGTTAAATAAAAACTATGCAGCATGGCATGAAAATGGGTGCAGATTTAAAACTGGCATAAAAACTTCTGTAAGCAGCCAAAATTCTGTCTGACTCGACTATATACTTTACGACCCACGCGTTTACTACACACTGCATATTCTTTATTCTCTGTGCCGCATATCCAACATGTCAAATTTCTCCCCTCGTACCCTCATCTCTTTCCTCCCATATTCCCACGCGCACACGCGCCAGCTTCTGTTCACTTGACACTTGCACCATCTCGATTCTCCACCGTGTACTTGCACAGACCCACACCCAACACACGTGCACTCCCACTCCACTGCACCTCTTAAGATTTTATTGTATTAGGCTACAGATGGAAGAAAATGTTTTCTTTACTGTTTCTTCTGTGAAATGATTTTTCAACATCGTATCTTGGGGACAGTCACAATGCATGGTGGTGTACCAAGAAGTCCTTACAAAGCAGTGTGTGGCTACGTGCTCAGAGTGCCAAGTATTTTTTACTTTGGATCATTGTTATACGTTTGCTTCCTGCGTCCTTGTAGGTTAAGGAGATGCTTCGGGCGGGCGATTCCAACGGGGCGCGCATGCTGCGTCTCATCACGGAGCAGTTTCTGGCCGACCCGCGCCTCGTCATCTGGCGGGCCCAGGGGACGCCCATGTCCGACAAGTGTCGCCAGCTTTGGGACCAGCTTGGTACGAGTCATTTCCTTGTTTTTTTTTCTTTTCCGTGTTGTTGTTGTGCCTCGCCCGCTTTTTCTGGGTAATTGGAGACATCTGGACCTAATGGTGCCTGACGGCATAGGGTTTACTGAAATTAAACAGAGGGGGGGAACTCTGGCACTGCAATCGTTCATCCACCATGGGAATTAATGAAATTACAAGGATTTGCTTAGTCTTCATGCTTGCAGGCTTCGAATGCACTTGTGGTTTTGTTTATTGCTGTCGTTTTGTTTTGTTTCGGTTGAAAAAACAGAACGTCCTAAACTTCGTGCCCCTATTTGAATTGGTGAGCCTAAAAAATTGAGCTGGTGAAGTACAATTGGTGAACATTTGCCGATTATCGTCTCGCGAGGAAGAGGCTTCAAGCCATGCGATGCCAAGTGGAGCTGAAAGAACGAAGGTTAGACAAATCCGTGTACTACCCATCATTCCCATGCTCGCCGATGTGCTGTGCATTGCAGCTTCTATAGATGGTAGCGCCAGATTTCTCTCTGGTGCATTTAGTTCCTCTCGTGGGTTTTATTAGGAATCGGAGTGGTATACTAGATTGTAGTCATTGACGTGCCACATCACATTTTTGGAACAAACTACCCACAAACCTAACAGAATTCCAGTCGTTTACCTGTTACAAGACTAACCTATATTGTTCATGCTCTCTTCACTTCTTTTACTAGAATGACCCGATCTACGGCCGTTATACTCATTTGTTGCGTGCTCTAGTCTTTGTATGTCTGGACATGACATAAGCGCTGCCTTTACAACTCTTCTGGGAGTTATGAGACCCTGCCTTTATAACAAAACTGATATACACTTGAACCCCGCTACAGCGAATGCCGCTTCAATGAAATTTTCGCTACAACGAAAAATTTATGGTTCCTCATAAGCAGTACATAGGAGTCAATGCATAAATATTGTCGCCACAACGAACACTTTTTCTTCTGCTGTCTCGCTTCAACGAAATTTCACAATACGATTCCAGGCTCAGATATTTATTGCGGTATAGTAAACCGGATATTTAACATTTTGACGCATTTTTAGAACCAGAAAATACGTCGACGAAGTCTAAAACGTGCATTGGCACCACCAGAAACCACCGCTGTTCAGCAAGCACGGGCGCCACCATTGCTCGATAGCGATTGCAACGAGACTGCCCTGCTTTGCCAAAAAGAGGGCAGTCTCATTGCCATCACTATTGAGCAATGGCAGGATAAGAGTGGGATAAAATAAGGCAAAAGTCACCGCTTCATGATACCCTGCTGCCATCTCGGCGTTTTGACGGTGGACAGCTGCTGGTGTTAACGTGTTAATGTAACTGTTTGGTTCGTTCACGAATGCGGTTGTGGTCATTGTTTCAGCGTGCTTTTCACCATGGCCTCGCTGCGCATGGGTGAGAATCGTGTTGTGACGCTGCTGGGCTAGAATAAAAAGCAGCGGACACTTTTTGAATTTTGAGAATGAACGTTACTTTGTTTTGCTAGTTCAGATCGGCTATATTTTTTTCAATTTTACTTCAATGAAATGTTTGCTTTAACGAAATTTTTTTCGCGCTCCTTCAGTTTCGTTGTAGCGGGGTTCGACTATACAGTCAAACCTCTTTATCACAGTCCCTGATATAAGAGACAGATTGGTATAAGAGACACCATGTACCTACAGTAAAATACGGGTCAATGAGAAAATGCATACGAGGTACCGTGCTTATGAGAGGCATCTCATATAAAAAACAAGAATTGCTGCTAGCAGCATGCCTTTTATAAAGGGGTTCAACTGTATACATCTTGTGAAAAATAAAGAAATCGAATTGATAGGCCAGCTGGTGCTTTGGTGTTACGATGGCAGATTTTGTGTAGTTTCACACGTGCGCACTGCAGGCACCCTGTGGGTCTGTGTGGTCTTGAATCCGCACTGCACCAGTGCTGAGAAACATCAGTGGCGGCAGCTGCTCGAACGGTGGTCCTCGATGCACATCTGCCCGCTGGAGGATGCCGACTTTCGTCCCAGCGCCACGGGACGCCGTCCCCTCGTGGTCGACGACGATTCGTCTGACTCGTCCGACGACGACGGTGGGCACGGTGAGTTGGGCACTCTTGAAATTGCACTTGCGGCAGTTGCTTTTGATGTGCGTACTGTCGACTTTTTGAGTGCCGGCTTTACAGTCAAACCCCTTCTAACAGACACTGATTTAACAGTTAATTTATATGTAGAGAACACCTGCATGCCAAGACCAAAATAAGTTGGCAAGAAAATTAGACTGGGTGCCCTTCTTATAAGATGCTCCCTATATAAGAGACAACTGTTTTCCAGTGCACATCTCTCACAAAGGGGGTTCAGCTGTATGCAGTTTTTACCAAAGCATATGATTGAGGAGGGGTAGCTGCCTAAGTTGGAGCGCTGTTCAGTAAAGTGTGGCTGTTTAATTATGTTGTTAATATATGATAAAAACTAAAAGCACGTAAGATGAGCACATGGACAAAGGATTTAAACACACGAGCGCCAACTTAGAACCTTCTGTATCAGTGCTCGTGTGTCTCGTGCCTCTTCTCTCTTCTTGTCTCTTGTGTTTTTGGTTTCTATCACGGAGAGTTGTACTATACACGAAATTTATTAAAGACATAGAGATGTGCTCTAATTATTAAGAGTATACGGTATGTGAAAGATTGCTCAACTTTGCTTTATAGAGCCATCGGTGTGCAGGTACAGATTGGTGCAATCATTATTCAAGATGTTGGTTTGCCTGGTTAGGCTGCATTGCACTGAACTGGCTTCTTTCAAAGGGCCACTCATCAGGTTTGACAATTTTGAGCCGACAAGTGCAATGCGAAGATTTGGCGTTCACGATCATGTCTGCCAAAATTCGCAACGCTGCGTGCTCCGGAAATGGGTCAAATTTCAAGATGAACGCTGCTCCCCCTTCCTTTTGCTGATGTGTGCATATGAATGGCCCTGCATACACCGCAATGCAGTGATGTTGGTCCTCTACGTAGACGACTATGCTCTGACGTTGCCAGCAGTGGCACGTGACATGGCGAAAATGATTTAAAACAACCTGCGTAGTTTATGTATTTGTTGCTTGAAGAGATGAATAAATCTCTAGCTAAATAATGCTACGCAACAAGGGAATGTGCGCATTCCTTTTTTTTTTTTTCATTTTCCCCATGAATTGCAACGAGATGCGGGGCTAATATGCCAGCATTTCGCATGCATTCGTGTCTCCGCGGTCAGCACATCGAGCAGACGACCGTCGGGGAATGCTCCTACGCGTTCGCACACTCATTGTGCTTATCTATTCTATTGCGTCTAAGCCAACGTTTCCAGACTGCCCTGCAGAAATGGGCAGTAGGCCTCAAAACAACGATGGTCAAAAAAAAAAAAAAAAAAAAGCCGCTCGCGTGCACGGGGATTGGGCTTGTTCGGGTACGCCGTGCGCACGTGACCTTTTGGTCGGATGCCGGAGAGGAGGGAAGATATTTCGCTTGTGAAGGCGACACGGAAGAGCGGCAAGGGTTTCGAGCTTGCCTCCTTTCATCGTCCTTTCGTGCCGCTTAAAAAAACAATTTTCTCAGCTCGTAATGAACTGATTAAAAATATTTTTGTGGCAAAATGTTTCTCATCAGACACCCGACAACTTCTGTGGTCTAACTAAAATTCGGTATGGGGCCTGGTGAGTGGCCCTTTGAAGCTAGTTATTGTGCTTAGCATTACTCATGTGCTGTGTGGCTAGTTTCTCACTACTCTTAAAATTGCAGTTTTATAATGTGGTATTAGTACTGTAGTATTCTAATATTACTTGAACTTTTCTTGGCAGTGTTCTTTAAAAAAAAATTAGCCAGGAACAAGTTGCATTTTTTTATTTTTCACTTTGTCACAACGAATGTCCTATGACTTAAGTAATCAGTTCTGAGTGTTTCCTTTGTAGCAGCTTTGGGTTGTGAACATTTTGGTCCCTTTTGTTCATGTTTTGGTCACAACTCCACCACTTTCCTGAATACTTTTCTTTTATACGATTTGTTTTTGCTAGCTTTTGGCAACTTTATGTAGCTTGTAACCTCGGGCTCCTTTTAGAGTTTCAAATTTGGTGTGGTGCTGCAGATGTATTGAAATGTGCAGGCCTTAGTACTACTTTTGTATCTCTATATGTGCTCACTGTTTCGTAGCGTTGTTATCAACATTGTCGAATTCTTTTGAATACAACGGCGCTTGTGTTTCGACCCAATCAGAAGTATGGCCCCACTGTTTTGTAAGCCAACCACAGTGCACCAAGTAGGGTATCTGGTTATACGACGCGATTCACTTGTGCAATGGAATGGCGCTCGTAGTGCAGTTACAGCCTCTTGCAGCATTGTTAATGAGCCTCTGTTTTCGCTCGTGGAAGGCGACGGTCGAGGCGGTCATCACGGAGGCAATGCAGGAAGTCACCACCACCCACGGGGAGTGCCGTCTGGTTCTCACCACGGCGGCCACTCGCATCGGCGGTCGCGACGAAATGGCCTCGTAACGCCGCCGCGCTCCATCTTCCACCGTGCGCTGGAGGCTTGGATGCTGTCGTGGGACGACCCGCACCTGCGCTTCATCCTGTCGCACGATGCCTGTGCCGAAACCCATTCCCACCGCTCGTCCGCATTGTCCTCGTCGTCCTTCTCGCCGTCGTGTTCGTCGTCCTTGTCGTCGTCATCGTCGTCATCATGTTCCAGTTCCTGTGCCTCATCGAGCAACCTCTTCAACTCACAAGGTTACCCGCTTTGGCATGGTGAGTGGCCCTCTTTTGTCCTTAACCATGAATTTCAAATCTATCAAGCGTATACCGTACCACAAAGTATGGAATACTATTTCATGTTAGTTCGCCCTTACTGAAGGAAATAAGTGGAAGCTTAAAGGCTCGCTTTTCTTTGTTAGACACAATATTAATCATTTAATCCTCGTTAATGCTCTTCCTTACTAGTCCTTTCAAAATAAGTCTGAGCACTCCACATGGGCAGTGCAGGAGTTGTTATGCATGGCAGCATGAAGCCAATGGAATTGTATTCTGTATTTCCTGGAATGATATGCCTGCATGTGTGGTTGGCAGCTTCATTGCACATTAGGGCATGCATTCACTGATGCTGCTGACTGTATATTTTTACAAAATATCCAGCATGTCATAAACTCAGAGTTGTTGGGTATTATCATTTGCCCATCTATAGTAGAAAGCTATTTCAGAAACACGCAGAGATTTTTTAAAAAACAAAGCTTCTCAGGTGACCAAAAGTTTGTCCTGGTTTGGATCAAAGGTTTTCGTCAACTGGGAAGCACTACTTCTAGATAAATGTGCATGGATTTGCTTGTAGCCTTGTGAAAAAAGGGGGTGGAAACCAATTTTTTCTTTATTAGCCCTTTCTGCACCGTGTGGAATTTCATGGAACTGATTTGCAAAACAAGCGCAATATGTAGAAAATGAAAAGTTCTTAAACGAAGTGTGCTGGAGCATGCGTTCTGACCAGCAGGCTTGTCTTCTTAAAGGCTGCAACTATCCGTGATTCCAACCTATGTCGGCATTTTATCCCCGCATTGATCTGTGCAATTTCCCTGAATTACAAGAAAAAATTCCGAGGTTAACATTTAATGTTGTAATTTAGGCATTATTCAGTCTGATTCACCTTCAACTAAGTTTAAAGACGATTCGATTCCTAGCCTCTTCAGATGCAGCCTTTTCGCTTTCTTCAGATGCATATTAGATGTCAAAAAGCAGCACATCAACAGCCACTGGTCTTTTTCGACATTGCATGCGTAGGTGTGACTGTTCGGGTCGATTTCAAATCTGTAGTGTTCTTGTTCTGGCTTTATAGGCAACGGTTAACTTCATTTGTTACGCTTGCTATCAGTGTTTCATGTCTCACAGTAGAAATGCTGAGGCTCTGTTTTACTGGCTCATAGCCATCCTCTCTACGTGCAATCAGCTTCCCATTTGGCCAAATATTTTTGTCACCACTTTCATCATCATTGTCATCATCGTCATCATTAGCCTGACTACGCCCACTGCAGGGCGAAGGCCTCTTCCATGATCTGCTAATCAACCCTGCCTTGTGCTTTCTGCTGCCACAATATACCTGCGATCTTTTTATTCTCATCGGCCTACCTAACTTTCTGTCTGCACTTCGTGGGTTTGCCTTTTCGACCAAATATTTTTTGTCACCACTTAACTGCTTATGAAAAAAACTTCCTGGAAAGACTGGAAAGCACACGAAAAAAGTTTTTCATCTCTTTCCTTTGCGTCGTTTTTATAGTAATAAACTCGCACCAACTCTCCAGACTGTCAGACCTACTTTTAGGGTCCAGAAGTTAATGTGGGGCAACTTTTTATGTTCAGTGAGCTGGGCACGTTTTCCTGTGCACTACAAAACGAAATACTCAGTCTTTCAGAGAGCAGCAATCACTCGGGACACTCATAGTCATATATGCATGCATGCTAAACACTTACGACGACAACATTTAGTTTCCCCTCAATATTATGCGTATAATTATTTCGCATTACAGAACTTCTGTTGCCTTCAGTAGGCCCTGCAGTACACCAGAGCTTCCTTAAATGAAAAACAGCAAGTAGTGAAATTTATTGTTTTTTTGTAGCCTCTCTAGTTTAGAAAATGTAGTCGCTAAATAATGGCTGTAATTAGGCCATGTATTGTAACACTTTCAGAGCCTTACAATGATTCTAGATTCATGAAAACACGCCAAATCCTTGAAAGAAATAGAAAATCTCTAGATATAGGAATTAATTCCTAGGGTTAGTATTACAGGCTAATTTTTATAGCCCTTGTGTGTATATGCTTTGCGCCTTTTACTATCTAAACAAAGGAGGTGGAAAGGGCTACTGTACAATCGATGGTGGAGGGGTCGTAGGGAGCAAGGAAGGGGACTTTTCGCTGAATTATAGTTGTCAGAAAGAAGAACTGCCTTACAGTGATTATTTCATCGAGATAAGCAGGGAGATAACTGTGCTTATGCCCTCGAAATGGATGACAAGCCGAGCTCCTAAAGTGCTCGCTCTTAAAAAAAATCAATAAAAAACATGTGTGATACTCAAGTGCAAAAGTAATGGCCACGTACGAATGCGTGCCTTGCAGAACCGATCCCGGTGGCGTGCTCGCGGGTGGAGGCCCTGCGCTCGCACGGCTACCAGCAGGAGGCCCTGCGGCTGGCGGTGGCCGTGGTGCGCACCATGAAGCGCCAGCAGCGAGAGTGGCAGTGCCGCTGGCATGCCGAGCAGGAGCGCTCGGGCATCCACCACCACCACCACCATCACCACCACCACCACCACCGGGGGGGACGCACCTCCTCCTCCTCGTCCTCCAGCTCTTCGTCCTCATCCTCCAGTGAGTCGACGACACCTCTTGATTGCTAGAATAAAATGTTATTGCACGGCGTCATTTATCACTGGTAATGCAAATAGACAACACTCCATTGGCGTTGCAATGACATGTAGGGTGTCTGTATGCACTTTTGCACATGGAACATTCTTCAAGGCATTCTATTATACCTGATGAAACACTATAAAGAAATATACACAGACTAGTGGATTGAAACACGCTGGCAGGGAAGAAACACCTCGTCATCGTTTCATTGAAATACAAGGCACATAGACAGGAGTCATGACGGAGGCCTGTGCGGCACTGTCAGTAGATGTGCCCTTTGACTGAGCATGGTCGTCCACAGTTCTGTGTACCCCTTATAAGTCGACTCTCGTTATTTCAAACACGAAGGGACCTCTGAATTTTGTTTAAATTATCAGAAGTTCTCAGACATATGACAAACATATGACTGTGGGTGAGGTGCCACCACGCATCATGATTAGGCATTGATAATATCAAATTTAAAAGCTTTTTAAGTGTTTTTAAACCCTAATTGCTCGCAATGAATAGGAAGGAGAGTTGTAAGATCTACAAATTTGTCGGCCATTTACTGCTGATCAGACCTTTTAAAAAAATCACGAATTGCCAACTGCTTCCTTGGTGTACGTGCCTTCAGCACAAAGCTCTCTATACCAGTTGAGGAGCATCACGGTTTACCATGCGTGTGTTTTTTTTTCAAACATTTGTTTACTAGCAGTCTTTTTTCTTGATGGCCTGAGGCGCTTATTTTTCATTTTTAGACTGTTAGCATTATATAAGCATGCAAATTTTTAAATAGTAGTGGGAAAGCAGCAGATATTCTCTGATATGGAACCGCAAAAAGTATTAAGTAATCGAATGATGGAGTTTGAATTAAGAGGCTTTTAAATACATTGAAAGAATATAGGGCCAACCAAGAAATTGAATTTTGTTTGAATTCACCGTAAGTATGAATAATCAGAGTTTGAATTATTGCGAGTCTACTGTACTGCTGCTACCCTTAATCAACACAGCATTCCAAGTTGTTGCTGTTGCACTCATCACTCTGCCTTTGAAAATAAATGGTGACTTTTTCACAGTATCGCTTCTTTTGCTTGCAGAAACTTATAACTAGAATGTCTTCATAAAATTTACCCCGCATAATATTGTATTTACTCGCATAATGAGCCCACCTTTTTTTCAGAAAAGTTGACGCCAATTTGGGGGGAGGGTTTATTTCGCTGGAGGAAAAGGTCACGAGAGTTATAACAGCGAAAATTTCGGGTGACGACTTCGCTTGTTTTGACCCATGGAATGCGTGACAAATCTGTTTTTTAGCCCGAAGCTGCTTTTGTTTCCTCCCGTAATGAAAGTGCATGGATCGATGCCGAACTGTCGTCCATCCGCTCGGTTCCAATGCTCCAGCGCATGCAGCCATGTAGCTAGCATACCGGCCGAACGCACCCTGCGCAGCAGCTGTCCCAACTAAATTCCTAACGACAAACCCAAGAACAAAGATGCGGCATCGGATGGTGGTGCACAAACGTTGCGGTAGACGTTGCAGGTGCACAATGCGCGGTCGACGCGGTGGGTGCAGTTGCGCTTTGCATAGGTCCGAGACACGGTGCTCCGAGATGGTGGGAAGAATGTGTGTTTCTTCGCAGTGCGCTTCATGACCCTGCGCGAACGCCATTTTAGATGCCACGCCCTTTGTTTTTGTGCGGCTGCTCTTGCGTGGCGCCATTAGCAAAGAGCTTTCTCTTGCTTTCGACAGATGGCACTTTGCCATATAAGGCACGACTTTCAAATTTTGAGTGACGTTGTCCGCGCTCGCGCTGCTCACAACTGTTTAGCATGGTTGCAAAACTATGTTTGGCTTCATTGCATTGTTATTTTGTGATATAATGGCTTGATTTAATGTTGTTTCGATCGTTCGTTGGCTATCATACCGAAATAAAATGAACAGATACATTGAGGAACTTTTTTTTTCTCTTTCTTCACGGTCCAAGGTGGAAGGTGGGTTTATTATGCGAGTGGGTTCATTTCGCGAGTAAATACAGTAACTGCATCATTGTACTTTTTCTTGGCTTTTTGGGAAGAAGGCACATTCATTGTGCAAGTAAATATGTGATTTCAGAGGCATATAAAAGACTGTGGGTGCACACCATTTCATAATTGGGACTCCTTTTTATGAGCGTCTGTCTAGCAGACGACAGACACGCAAATGTAAGAATTGTGGTGGGATTACAGAGTAACAGATGCCTCACCTGTAGATACAGGTGGACAGTGGACAGACGACGATGGAAAACTTTGCTAAGTAGCTTAATGAATGCTTTCTGTTCAATGTCGACTGCGAGTCTGTATGTATACTACTACTACTCATTATAACTTGCGACGCGATGTGCACAGCTTCCACTTGCCCTTATTTCCGCCACTTAACGCTGGCCTGTCATTTCGACGTCTCGTAGCTCATTTCGCCTCACACTCTTGATATGCAATTCGTATAAAGCGGCATTGCCGGGAATATTGAGTATATCCATTTTCAAACTTAATTAACCATCGAGTGTGCTTAACATACCGTGCTTCGAGAAATTGAAGTTTAGCCTATGTCACCGAAACACGAAAAATATACTTCGAAGTTCAGGAAGTCACATGTGGCGATTTCTGTGTGAAATTTTAAAATGGTACTGTGACCTTCATTTTATCCTCTATAATAAGGCCTATGATGATGAGTTTCAAGCGTACATTTTGTCAGCCTAAACCGTTTCATTTTTTCACTTTAGTGTTGTTCTTTGCAGAGCCCGCATCCGTATCGTCTTTTCACTGTCTTCCTGGACGCCCGTACACAGGTTTCTCCAATCTGACAGCGCACAACAACACGGAGGGCTGGGTGGGCCACCCGCTCAACCCCATTGGTTCCTTATTCGACACATTGGCTGAGGCGTCTCTAGTTCCAGACAGCAAGCATCTAGAATACTTTTACGGTGAGTACCGGCACAGGTTCTTCTGCAGCATTCCACCACCAGTAGCTCATGTTGTTGAGCAACTTGGCCGTACATCAAGAACTGCACTGTACAAATGTGAACCAGAAGAGCACAAAAAAAAGGCCCAGGCTCATGATACAGTTTTCATTCAGAGGAACACGCATACTTGTACCTTGCTGTCTGAAAATTCATCACTTACAAATATGCTAAAAACCTGGTCTCTGATAATATTTAAATGAGGTATTACTGATGCAGTTATTTTGTCCATTATAAGAAAAGGCTAAATTCAAAAACAAGAATGTTGATGAAAATCTTGAGATCCAGTCAGGATCTGTTGGCATAAAAGTACGCAAAAAAAAAAAAAAGAAGAGTTCACCTAAGGTGTGGGTTTTCGCCGTAGTTTGAATTTCTGAATTGCTTTGCAGAATCGCTACCGGGCCCGAGTGCCGAAGAAGCTGCGGCTACCAGTAGCGGGAATGGCGGTGGCGGCGGTGGAAATGGTGGCGGTGGTGGCGGGAACAACGGCGGAGGAGGGGGAGGCAACAACAATGGAGGTGGTGGTGGTGGAGGAGGTGGCAACAACAACAACAACAACAATGCGGCTGGCAACTCGTCCCACCACCCTCATCCGTCTCACGCTCCACACGGAAATGGCGGCGGCGGGGCTGGTGGCTCTTCATCGTCGTCACCGTCTTCCTCGCAGTCGTCGTCAGCGCAGCCCCGGGAAAGACCCAGGCAAGTTGCTGCGGCATCGTTGTCATTCGAAGCAAAGTTCTGGTTGGGAGGAGAGCCTGCTCTTTGAAACTTTTTAAAAAGCTTTTGATCGATCCTAATGTTACTTGCTGATTTTATGCACAGTTTGTGCATTGTTGTAAGCTGATTTCGAGTATGAAATAGTTTTTCTAGTGCAGCATGTAGCTTTTGAAATGGTATATTTCAAAGTGCTTTTTGGGAACATTATTCAAAACTGAGAAATTTGAAAACTAAACCAGTATATCACAATGACGTGTAATGAGAACTGCTTGTGGTGTGTGGTGAAACAGTGATGAAGGTTCTAAACCCATTTGAACAAAGGTTACGGTATGATGAACATTCCTGTAAGTAGATGTCATGCTAGGATTTCACTCATGAATGTTCAGCATACCATAACTTCTGTTCTAATGGGTTTAAAACAACAAGCACAAACGTGCAAGAACAGTTGCATGCTTTATCGAGTTTGTGTGGCACCACCCGGGACGGCACAAATGTTGTCACAGTTGGTCATGGTTCTGTGATGTGACGACATTTGTGTTATCACAGAATTGCATAATTTTCATTCCAAGAAATTTCATTTTTTTTTTGTACTCGCTCGCTGGGAGTTGCTGAGTGTTTTCTGTCTCTTGTTCTCTACACGAACAGTCGCACCACGAATAGTGCATACCGTAACCACGTGTCACGATGCAGGTATCGTCATGTTGGGGTGCCAGGGAGTCGGGATCGCAGCGAGTCGCTCCTTTCGCTGGCTGTGGAGGCGGCTTTGGTGGGACTGGGACAACAGCGGTCCATGCCGGTGGGTCTCTATGCACAGGTAAGCGATGGTTTCAACTTATCTAATGTCATGTGGCTGTACACTGGTGCACGAATTTACAGTTTTCATTCCGTTCTCTGAATGAGGTTGGGTGCTAAGCTGACAGTTCAGTTCTTTTGCGGGCTTTGTTGTAGTTGTGTGCACTCTTGCCAAGCTTTAATGTGTTGCCAGGTTCGAAGTGTTCAGAAGTTCATTTCCTGTGCCTCTATCAATGCCGAATTCATCTGAAACAGTTTGAACAGCTTTTTGAAACTTTTGTTATATTTTAGAAACGGTATATAGCGCAGACAAAAAGTATGCAAATACTGAAAGTCAGGACAAAATCGAACACTGCAAGGCATTGTGTTCATTAGTAGCCACTGAGCTTGTCTACTTCAGTAATTTAGGATGTATGTCGGCTGCAAAAAAAAAAAAAAAAAGCTAGGCCTCATATTCACAAGGCAATCTTAGTCTTATCTCTCATCATTACAGCTTTGGTCCACTGAACATGCATCCAGAGCACAAAAACAATAAAGCAATAACATAGAAAAGAGGATAAGTGTAAGGTTACTTTGTGGATATGAGCCTTACAAATGATTTCTCATCTGTTGCATGATATAAGCAGACCAAGACAGTTGCTGTCGTCGTCGGCATTTAAAGATGATAGTCTTTCTTGCAATACTTCAATGCATAAATTTTGGTCTGTCTGTCTTTCTGTTTCTGTCTGTCACTCAATTCAGCCACCAGAGCGAAAGTTTAACATATCTTGCTGAGTGACCACCCATCATGATCTCCTGGTTGCGTTCATACTAGTGAACACTCTCAATCAAAATGCAAATATGCATATTGGGGTGCAACATCATTATGCAAGTATTATTTAGTGTGTTACTTTCTCTTTAAAATTCATATATACTTATTGCTATCACAATAGCGAGCAATGGAGTCACAAGTTGGAGACAGATACTACCGATGGTAGCTGTTCTTAGCTTCCACTCAGCATGTACCTAGCCATTTGTAAACAGCCACTCTATGCTTGCTGTCATGACTATGATGACAGTGATGCTGGTTAGGACCCTTGTTATATTACAGTGAATGTCTATTGAGATCACAAGGGCCCGATGAATAAAAAAGCTTTTACGCTTCTTTAAAACGACACGGTGCTGCCACCTACCAGCTGCTCTGCATTCTAGAAAACTTTCGTTTCTTGGCATTACTGCCGGATGGCATTCATATGTCACGCAACATTTCTAGACAAAAGACTATTGTCTTTTGACGTCCTTTGCAGTGAAGCGCACAGATACGGGGGCCATTTTTTGGTATTTTTTGTCATCAAATAGTTGTGCCATCGTACGAGCTGCATTTCAAACACAAGATAATGAAAATTTTCGAGATCTTATGTGCCAGAACAATTATATAATTCTGCCATTTTAGTTGGCTTCCAAAATTTCGACGGGGTTCTTAGACGTGCACATAACTCTCTGTACAGTAGAGTCTCTCTGAATGGAAATTTCTCATCAAATGGAACTGTAGTGAGGAACTGTAGGGAAGAATGGCCTCCAGTATGGCTAGTTTCATGCTTGGATTCTGCACTAGGCAATATTTAGCAGAAAGTGACACAAGGACACATTGTCCTTGCGTCATTTTGCACTAAATATTGCCTAACGTCTTACTAAAAAAGCTGAATTTCTCCCTTTGTTCTTTAGGGGGTTGGATTGTCTTAATTTTCTTGTAGTCTTCTGTACACGGGCCTGTACCACAAACCGTCGACGATTAGATTGGAACACAGAAACTGAAGCTCTAATCGCAGTTCTCTAGAGATTTTGTTGTAACGGCAGTAAACGCGTGTCAGTTATGTCCCTGATGTATGTGTGAGTGTGTTGTTCCTGATGTCTGTGCAGGAGAAGGCGTGCCGGCAAGAGGAGCGGCTGATAGCGCGCTTGCGGGACGTGGACGCGGACGGCCTGCTGGTTGGGGTGCTGCGCAAGCAGGCCATGCTGCTGCTCGAGGGGGGTCCCTACTCGGGCCTCGGCGTGGGCGCGCACCCCGAGAGCGTGCCCATGCACACCTTCGCCCGGTACCTGTTTGGGGCGCTGCTGCCGTATGACGCCGACCTGGCATACAGCGTCGGGCTGCGTGCCATGCGGTCAGTGTGACATCGAATAAGGGACAGTTTTGAACCAGTTGGTGATGCACTATTAGTAAAGCGAAACGCGACAGATGGGACTAAAATGTGGAGACGGACAGGAAATGTGCTGTCTTGTCTAGGCATTTGGCCTGTCTGTTATCACATTGAAGAAGTGTGGCACTGCTTGGCATTCCCTCATTTGTGCACGCATTCAACATGCATGGTTGCGAGAACACACCCCTCACGATGCGCCGCCTGATGTCACCTTCTGTTGTGCATTTTTATTCAGAAGGTGTCTGTCGCTAGGTTCTGGCAGATCGTGTCTGTAAACAAAATGACACGGAGAACGATATTGCATCGGCAGACAAGGAGGTGGCATAGAACCACCATTTTCTTTCGCCCTCGTCGTCACCATTGCTCCTTTGACAAGTGTACTTCTTTTGCTTTCACAAAGTGGCGGCGCTGCGCAAGGTCTTGTACACATCAGCCTTGCAGCGTATTGAGTTTCGAGTGTGCAAAGTTAATCCCAGATATATCGAACTCGAAGAGGACCCCAAACTTCGATATATCGATATAACCCAAAGTTCGATATATCGATAATTTTAAATACAGAATATGTCTATTTAAGGGTTACCTTGTAATGCTGCGAGTTTCGGAGCGATTCTAAGAGTCTGTGCTAGGCAAGAGATTGCCAATTTGCGCAGAATTTATAACAGAAAAGCTCGAGAACAAACGCACTTTATTTGGCATGAAAAAAGTCCATGGCCTTAGATTGCCTCTTATTTTTAGCCATGAAATTCATAAGGCCATCCTCAAAATTGTTCAGCCTCTCCACATAGCCTAGTCCTGCGCCTTCGATAGCGCCACAACAGTGGCGAATTAGGCTGAATGCCTAAGTTCTGCAGCAGTGCACAGTTGCTTCAGCATGTTGTCGGCATCATCATTGCTGCTCGGGTCCACCGCATCGACACCGGCGACGTCGGCCACAATTTCTGCATCAGTGTGGTTCGGAATGGCTTGCACGCGGTCATCAGCGTTGATGAAATAGGTTGCTGTGGCCCCATCAGCGATGGCTTGTGGGAATGCCGAGAGCTGGCAGAAGTCATCGTAGAGGCATTCTAGGTCGTATCGCTCCCAAGGTCGTCGGTTAACTCTAGTAGGCCAGCTTTACTAAAGAAGTTTACAACTGTGGTTTTCTTCACATTGTTTCATGCCCCAGTCATCATTTTAATCGCTCCGAGAAGGTCGATTTTCAGTTCGACCCCCAACCACAGGTTGATCAGGAGCCGTTGCACTCGACGTCACCTGTATTCTACCTTAAATTATTTCATAATGCCTTGGCCAAGAGGCCGTAACCTTGCCGTGGTGTTGGGTGGCAAAAACTTGATAGTTATTCTTTTCAAGTGGCCAACGACGTGGTGCACAGAACAATTGTCTACAAGAAAACAAATGTTGCGATCCGCCTTCTCCAATTCGGCATCCCAAGCGCAGATCCATTCGGAGAAAAGGTCCCGCATCATTCACGCTTCTTTATTGAAAGCGTATTGTACCGGGAGGCTCTTCGCATTCTTGAAGCAGCGCGGCGATTTGCTCTTGCCGGTAACAAACGACCGCAGCTTGCAAGAACCATCCAAGTTCGCCGCGAGCAGAATTGAAACGGGCACTTAGCTCATCTTACCTCCATGACAGGAAGACCCCTTCAAGTCCAATGTCTTGTTCAGCAAAATCTGCCAAAACAGCGCCGTTTCATCCGCGTTGAAGGTATTCGATGGCGAAAAGCTGCTGTGAATTTTCGGCCATTCTTCGGACTGTCGCTTCTCTGTATCCTAGCTGTTTGTCGCTCCATTTTTGCCGGACAAGGGTTTTCTAACAAGGCCGTAACGGCTTTTCAAGCGTTGCTGCCAGGCGGTGCCACCAATGAAATCATCCACCCCCAAGACCACAGCAAACCACTTCGCTTTCTCTATCAACATCGGTCCGTCAATAGAAATGTTTTCAGTCCAAGTTTTCAAAAACCAGTCGTACAGTGCCTTTTTAACTTTGTCGTACGCAGGAGTACGCGCGTGACAAGCATGAGAACGGAACGACTGGCCAGCCTTCGCCTTTACATAGGCTTTGTTCTTCAGAATCGTGCTTCACGTGCTCTGAAGAAGGCTGAATGCTTCTGTGACCGATGACTTTTTTCGCCAGCCTCCACACGCCGAATGATGTCGGTTCTGGTAGCCGAGTCCAAGTTCTTCCGTTTTTTCGCTTCTTTTTTCGACCAGCGTCACCAGATATCGTGCACACTGTGATCACAAGTCGGAAACGTGGAAGCAGTGAGAGCTACACACAAACATAGCAACAAGGGCAATTGGAAAGGGTGGCTGATTCTGTCAAAACCGGTCAAAACATGCTCTCGGGGATGGCGATGGCACTTCAGCTTTCGCAACAGGCAGTCACAATATTGGTAAAAGCATAGAACGATTAAAAAAAAAAACCACCAGGGGTATACAGTTCGCAAAGACGTGGCCTTCGAGATCGAAAGTAGCCACGGGGTGCCGATGAAAACAAATCTCAAAGGCTCTGCTTTTGGCAATTACCTGTTCAAGTGTGTGGACGGGGACATATTTTCGATTCACGCGCACGAAGAGGGTACCTAATTTTTTCGGGCCATGGCTGAATTGTGGTCTTTATCGCTGCTCAAGTGCGGCGAAGCGTTCAGTATATCGAATGCGCTGGCGTAAGATAGTTCGATATACGTGCACACGTGCGCTTTACATTTACATAGGGTATTCAAGGAGATTTTTCGTCTGTTCGATAGAGCCGATAATTCGATATATCTGAGTTCGATATACTCGGGAGTGACTGTAATACTAAAGCAGAGATGTTGACTGGTCGCTCTAGCTTTAAAACTAGAGAAGATGGATTAAAACTAAAGTCTTCAAAAGTTATATTATCCTACTCCGGCTCCAGAATGAGCATGGCACGGGCACAAAGCGGCAGTTGGCAGTGTATATAAGTGCTCTCACTCAGTTTTCATTATATTTCAGAGGGTGCATAATCTGATACGAGGCATTCAGAACTCGCTGACAATCAAAGTTGATAGTGGGGAACACTATTTCCTTTCTTCGACATTTTTCTGCTGCCATTTCACTGCAGGCTTCCAATCCTGGAGAACCAGGAGGAACCGGACGACCCCGGCACTGGCGTCAACGCCCCGGCCGCCAGCCGGTATCCGCGGTGGTTCACCCTGGGCCACGTAGAAGTGCAACAGTGTGCCCTGGCCTCCACCATGCTCTCTGCCGCAAAGGGTGAGCGCGGCCACAACTAGTCCAACACCTGGCCCTGCCTTCTTATTGGGAGGCAACTTAGATGCCTCTTCACACTTCGAAACTGATTGTCAGCGGTGTCGACATGAGTGATGCAAATTGTCATCACGAGCTGTCACCATGTGACGTTATCAAGAAATGATTATGACATTCTCATGCCATCATTAGGATGTCATCATTACATCTCATTTGTGAGGTCGCATGATGAAATTGCCACATGCATACCTGCTCGGTTGAACATGAGCCAATCATAGTGGCAGTACAAAATCAGGGGAGATTGCAATGCCAACGATCCTGGAGGTACAGTCGAACTTCACTACAACAAAGGCCGCTTCAACGGAATTTCTGCCACAACGAAAAATTCACGATTCCCCGTGAGCAGTCCATAGGAGTCAATGCATATATATTGCCGCCACAACAAACACTTTTTCTTCGATCGTCCCGCATCAACAAAATTTTACAATGCAATTCCAGGCTCAGATACTTATTGCTATGCAGTAAACCCAATTTTTAACATATCGATGCATTTTCAGAGCCTGAAAATGCGTCAAAGAAGTCTAAAACACGTTGGCACCACCAGAAACCACCGCTATTCCATTGCTGTTCAGCAAGCATGGGTGCCACCATTGCTCGATAGCGATGGTGATGAGGCTGCCCTGCTTTTGTTTTGCCACTGGCTTGCTTTTTAGCCACAGATGATCCGAAGCTAAAGCTCAGTCGCTCAGTTCATGGTTCCTTTCTCGCAGCTGAGTGGTGCAACCGCGGCACGATGCCTTTTCTGATGCTTATCATTATGTTCGCGCTTGGCCAGTGTGGTAACTAATCAGAGCGGCTGTTCGTCCGCATTATCAACAAAATCAGCTAGCCGCGAGTGATAGATGATAATGGCATAGAATAATGCAAAAGTCACTGCTCCACGATACCCTGCCTCCATCTAGGCGTTGTCGGATACTTTTGACGGTGTTAACGTGTTAATGCAACTGTTTGGTTTGTTCACAAAAGCCGTTTTAGGCGTTGTTTCAGCGTGATTTTCATCAAGGCCTCGATATGCATGGGTGAGAATCACGTCGTGACGCTGCTGGGAAAGAATAGGAAGCAGCGAGCATTTTTAGAATTTTGAGAATAAACGTTTCTTTGTTTTGCTAGCTCAGATCAGCTATATTTTTTTCGATTTCACTACAACAAAATTTTCGCTTCAACAAAGCTTTTTCCGCACCCCGTCAGTTTCATTGTAGTGGAGTTCAACTGTAGTGCAAAATTTGTTTTAAGATGTGGGATGGTTTATTTCACCATAATCGATACAATGTTAGATGTAGAAAGCTTCTGAAGGGTGTGGGAAAAGTTCAGTACAACGATAAAAAAAAGACAGAAAATGGGTCTCGCCTAGAAGTTGTCATAGTTTAATGTGTAAGGGTCAATGTAAGTTTCATTTTTACAGTATTTATCACTTGAGCAGTGCACAAGATCAATGTTTTACTGTATTTACTCGAGTAATGATTGCATTTGCATAACAAATGCACCCCAACTTCAGTCAGAATTTTGATTTTTTTTTTCTCCCGCATGATAAACAAACCCTTGACATTCATGTGCTGCAGTCCTGCAAACCGACACCTGGAACTTCCTTGCCTGTTGGAATTTTTCCATTTTTTATTATGCTGACCCCCTGTCAGTCACGTCGGCTCGCTGCCTCCCTCGCCCCCCTTCTTTCACTGCTGCGCGCGGTTAGGTTTTCTTTCTATCTGCACAGCACGACCCTTCTCTTGTTTGATTATCCGTGCGCCACAGCGAGGCTCACGAACGGTGCAAGTGTGAAGACATTGCAGCAGAGAAGCACATAGCGAGCGAAGGTCACGAAACTGCCCACGCCAACCCATAGTCACTTCCTGGAAATACGAAACTTTAAGGGCCATGACATGCACGCCATTTTCGAGCAACGCTGACAGGATTTACTGTCGCCATGGCTGTCATCCCTATCGCGTCCCAGGTTTTTGGACAACCATAAAAAATCGCTTGTTGCCCAGAAAAGAGAGTGACGATTTTTGCTACATGGTAGCACCCCAAATTCTTGCTTCGCTTGCAATGAACTCTTCATACTTGCTATCTGCGCGTACTTTAAGAAACGCTTTCTGTAGTCACTTTTCTTGTGGACAGCAAGGCAGTGGCCGTATTTTGTCACTAATCTTGTTATCGACAGTTTGTATTGATGCTTCGGCGGTAGCTTGCTGCAATATTGGTTACTTGCTGCAATGTCAACGGTGTCGTCACGGTTGTCGTTAGCGAAGTGCGTCGTAGCGTTATGGCACACGCTACTGGGTGCTTCTTGAAATCACAGCATATACTACTGTTGTGCTTAAACAGTTGCGAGAAAAGAAAGCCAGGGAACACATTAATGGAGTACACGGGTGGCACGGGGACAGCTTGCAGAAGATGGCGCCATCAGCTCCAAACATAGTGAAGTGCAACAAAGAAGTTTTTTCCAAATAGTAACTTTTTTTTTTCCATTACCACATCTTTTGCACATCCCAAAAAAGTGTTCACAAAGTTTGCCTCGCGTTATAAATGCAGCCCCACCTTTGCTTTGATTTTTTCAGGAAAAAAAGTGCATTAATTTCGTGAATATATACAGTATGTACCTCTACGGTTAATGGTTGGCACTGATGTAACAGACTGTAGACCCTCTTCATGATTGTAGCGCAGTTAATCCAACCAATGGCAGCTATTCACTTTTGTGAACGGCATGTTTCAAGCACAATTAGCTCGTGTTATGATGTGGAAAATGTGGACTTTGCTGTTTTAACTTTTGTACACATAATAGACAAGCCGCAGCACATTCAGCTAGGATCTTGCCTCCACTTGAAGCTTGACAGGTGGTGCTACCATTGCAGCGCACGGAAGAATACTTATGGATCATGAAAATGGCCTGTACACCATCAAAAGTGCGAACATGGTACCCTGCTGGGACATTTCATAGAAAAGACCAGAAGGAGTTTAATCGTACATAAATATGAAGACGGGGGGCGGGCGGGGGGGGGTCAAAAGTATGCTAGCCACTATTTTCTATAATCCTTTGGCAGCCTAGCCTGGGAACTTTTGATCACCCTTGTACATTGCTCATGGATTGAAACACCACATCACAGCTTTGAATATAATGACCAGTATATGTAGTTTTACTAGATAACTGCGACATGTAGCTACAGTAAAATCTCAGTGTAACGAACTTCAGGGGAACGTGGCAGTTTGTTCGTTACAGTAAAAGCTTGTTAATTTGAACTGCAAGGGGAAGCCGTCTCAGTACAAATTAATGAAAGTTCGAACTAACGAAAGTGAAGAACAAGAATGGTGCACTGCGAGTAGGGCATAACGATTTCTTTTTTGAAAAAATCTGTGATCACGGTCTGCGTTCTTTCCTTGAAGGTGACAGCGAGCATTTTTTGCTCTAAAGAGTGAATTTGGCGAAAGGCCTCTTCTCCGCCTTCTTCAAAACTTAAGAAAAGACAGGCGGCATTCAATCCGGCCATGACTTCTCCAGCAGAGGGCCACACTGGTGCTTCGTCCTCCTTCTCACCATCGTCACTGGCAGCGAGAGGTTCTGCACTTCTCACCTGACATATTATGTCGCCATCCGTGAGTGCACCACACACCACTGCACTTGAGTCCACATCGACGTAGTTCGCAAAGCAGACGTCTTCCAAAACGTCCGCCATGGGGGCGGTGACGCCGTGTTTGAGCACTGGTGACTTGTCAGCTTGCAGAGCTTCTGTGCTGAAGCCACAGTAGCGAAAGCAATTTGCTATCGTAAGCGCTGTCACTAGCTCCTAAGCATGCAAAGCATGTGCAGTGCACTTAGGAGCGTCACTTGGTAGTTATTGCACAAAATAATTCATTCCAACATATACGACGCCGATAAAATGATTTTAAATTTCTAATTGTACCCTGGTCCATGGGCTGCAGTACCGCTGTCATGTTTGCTGGAAGGAAGGCCAGCTCGTCGCGTTTGCTGGAAGGAAGTGTTTTGGCACGGTATTTGCCGCGGGCACACGCCATCAAGTAGTCAGAGCAGCAGAATCGCAACAGGCGGGAAGCTACTACCGGCGCTACCGCAACAAACGTTAGCCGAGGCCTAAGAGCAACACAAAGAATCACGACTGTCGGAAGCTACTCCCAGTACCAACAACCGAGGTGTATGACGCACGCCCGAGACAGAGACTGCAAAGAAGGCTGGGCGAAGCTACGGCACACTCGATTTGCTGTGTGCTGGTCATGCCATCTGTTGTCTAACAGCGACAGCTATGCAGGATTTTCAAAGGCTCCGAGATTGGAGCTTAAAAAAAAAAAAACAAATCTTGGAGGTTACGTAGGACGGAGAGCAGGCAGCCGCCGAGAGAGAGAGAGAGATTGTGGGGGGGAGGGGGGTGAAAAGTAAGTGCCGCTATTTTCTGCACTCTGGCCTCCGTGCCAGTTTCTCCGTTTTTCTCTCTGCTCCCTGTCAGTTCCGCCTTGTAACTCGGCAGCTGCCCTATCGAATGACTAGCCAAACTGCCGGCACGGTGGCGCGTAGTTCGAATTATCTGCGGCGGAACCTACTCGCGTCCGAATTCACGGGATATTTTATTCATAGGTTTGTATGGAGCTTGGCCGGACCACAACTTACAGTTCAAATTATCCATAAATTCGAATTATTTAAGTTTGAAGCAACGAGCTTTCACTGTATTTTAAAGGTCGTTATAGTGAAAGCCCAAAAATTAACCATAAATACTTATTTTCCACCGACCAAAACGACTTACCTTTACAACGGTGGTTCCTTGAACTCGTTTTACACGATAAAAAACAAATGCCTAAGTGCACACAAAAAATGCACGTTTCCCTAAATAAGTCTGTGATTTTTCTTTTTTGACTCGTGCAGCACAAATTTTGCAGCACGAAGGCCTCCAGCTCATCCGCATTCTTCACTTTCTCCTTAGCGAAAACTGCTTCCACATCTTCGTCGCAAGCAGATATGAACTCATTGTAGTAGCACCGCAGCGCGAACGCTGATTTGCTTTGCGGACGTGACAAGTAATCACCGAAAAAATGAACACGACTGACAAGGCCTCCTCAGAGAACACCTATGCCCCTTTGGCCTACTAGATTACATGTAGAAGTGACAAAAATTTTAGCTCTTTCTTTCCGAAGAAAAGAAAAAGCTAAAAAGGAAAACTGCTCGCGTTTCGTTTTCTGTTCCCTTGCTGTCTCAGGTTTCCGGCGTGCATGCTCTCTGCTCCGCAACTCCCACTCTGCCCTCTGCCTCGCAGACCTGGCCCTCCTGTGTTGCCCTTGCCTCTCGCCTCTGCGCTTGTAAACCTGCAGCGTCGGCATTTCAATAAAAAGCAAAAAAGAAAGTTGTCTTTTAGTTTTTTTTTCTCTCCACATCGTCGGGCGTTTTATGAGAAGCAAGGCATTCGTTTGTTGTGTCGTCGGCTTGGGTACCGCTCCGGACATCGCGACGGATTTCAGAGCATGAGATCGTAGTACTGAGGCGTTGTTAATATAACATGAAACTAAATTAGCACTCGTTATTCTGAAAAGTTTGGTATTCTGAAGTACATAGTAGTGAAATAATTTTACATTGAAACTATTAGCCGTCGGCGCGGGATTTTTTAAAAGTTTATTAACCTAAAAAGTTTGTTAAAGTGGTGTTCGTTCCACCGAGATTTTACTGTACAACTCTGGCCACTAAGGGTAGCATTGGCCCTGATGTAGTTTTAGTGTTGAAATTTTGTTTAAGTGGAGCCAAAGTTTTCTGCGATCGCTTCTTTATACTTCGTAATGATAGTGTGCATGCTTTGGTTGTGGGGCTGCCCTGAAAGGGAGGAGTCCCGTGCATATTTCAGTGAACAAATCTCTGTGTACTAGTAGTAGACATGAGAAGAATGGGTGAGAACAGAGTAAGAGCTGTATAAGAGACCACTATATAGACAGTTTATTTCAGCATAATTAAGGTGAGTTATACTTGTCACACAGGGTACCAGTTTTCTGGCTCCACTATCCCAATCAATGCATGCTGAATCAGTTATTAGAGACTATACCCTAGGTGACTATGATAGCTGTCTGGAAGATGTGTGCAGCAAGTTTCAAGAAGGTGATCGTAGAGTTCTTTTCCTGTCTTGTGCAGAGGATCTGATACGCCTGCGGACGGTGATGAAGTCGTCGCAGCGCAACATCCACAGTTCGTCGCAGTTGTTCAAGCTGGCGCAGGATGCATTTCGCATTGCCGTGCCCCAGGACGGTGGTCCCAGGCACTTGGCCCTGCTCAACGTTGCCTTTGAGCTGGGCCTACAGGTGAGCATTGTTTGCTGTCCCGTGGGTTTTAAAAAAAGTGAATTTTGTGGCTTTCGTGTTACAAAACCACGATACAATTATGAGGCACGTTCGCATGCACATAGCACAATATCGCGCATAGTTTTGTTTGAAGTAATAATAATTTGAGTGTATAATGTGCCCTTGCACTGCTCTTGTGTGGTGCATTTCGGGCCATTCAAGGTGCTTGCATACCTTAACTTTGAGGAGCATTTGATATCCTTATAAGCTTATGTGCATTGGAAGCTTGGGAAGGGACCAAAGGATACTGTGAAAAGGTGCATGTTTTTGTGGATCCCCTATTGCTATGGGCGTCCTCATCACATGAATGAGAAATCGTTGACAATAGGACCACCCTTAGGTCTGGTGAAAACAAGCCCCCTTGTCAAAATGTTGACTCCAGTGACATTGACATTCCCTGTTCAATCATTTTGCTCCTCTTGAAGCCTTCATTTTTCCCTAACTGCTGTCTTGCTTATTATATAGTGTATAGCAATACACTATAGTGTTGACATATAAAACCCTGTATTTCTTGTAGGAGGTGCTCATAAGTGATCTAAACATTCAGTCGTGCTCTCGCAATTGTGTAGATAAAGGGAGGCTTGAAAATAAAAGAGGGCTCCTCGAATCATGTGCGTGAATGGGATCATGTGCATTAGGCCCATTTGTACTGGCGATAGTTAATTACCGTATTTACTCGATTCTACCGTGCCCTCGATTGTAACGCGCACCCTGTTTCCACGACGAAAAAAAAAAAAAAATGTAAGACATCGATTGCAATGTGCACCCATTTTTCTCGTTGGCCCACACGATCACACCACTTGGGAAAAGACTCCTTTCGGGAGCGTCTTCCTTTTAAATATGAGGTACGGGGGAAGCTTGTGCCTATCTGACGTGCAACGGAGCATTGGCGTCACTCTAGTTTTACTGTGGCCCGATGTCAGCACGCGAACTTTCTTCGCCCTCTTCTTCTCGACGGTTGTGGTGCCAGGCATGTCAAAGTAAAAAGGCGTCTGATCGGCATTCCCGATTTGCCCAAGCAGGGAGCCATTATTGTGCCGCAAGTTTAGGACGAACCTCTGAAAACTGAAGCTTTTCTTTGTACACCTCCGGCAACTTTTGGCATATGCCTGTTTGCCTTTAGAGGGAAAAGCCTTTCCTCGTCATAAAGTTAGTTAGCCAGCACCTGCTTGCTTTAAACTGGCTCCGCATTAGCCCTTTTTTTTTTAAGGCTAACTGCACAGCCTGCACTTGGAGCAGTTCTGTCGTCATGGGCTGCTGTGCCGCTCGCTGCTCAAGCACATACGTGGCGAGCAGCTCTTCAATTTGCGGAAACCGACCCTGCTGTGGTCCGCTGAAGCCTTTGCTTGAATCTTTGCTGTCGACAATATTCTGCTTTGTTTCCGCCAGTCCCGCACGCACGTTTTGGGAACTCCGAACGACCGCGATGCGGCCCGATTTACGTCCGTTTCGGCACACGCGATGACTTTTCTTTTAAAAGTGGCATCGTCGTGCACTCGTCGAGTTTGTGGAGTCGGCCCTTCCATGCCGTCGATGCTAATGCACACCAAGATGACGAACTCCTCAGCACACGTACGAAGTGCCACACATGGGAAACACATAGGCAGAAATGGCCGACGCGCCATGCCGACGCACGTAGGGGGCGGCCATTTTGGAATGCCGATGGCAATGAAATGACCGTATTCATTTTTTTTTTTTTCGTACTCGATTCTAACGCGCATGTGATTTATGAACTCGCTTAACCGGAAAAAAGGTGCACGTTAGATTCGAGTAATTACGGTATACAGTTGCAGATAATTCATGAGACTAATGATCACTGTAGTACAGTCAACTCTTGACAAATAGAAATCTCTTGATTTGAATTACTGCCTAAATGGAACAACAGGCTCTAATATTATTGGTTTCATACTTGAGTTCTGGATTCCAGTTCATCCCTCAGTAAATGAAACTCCTTTAACGGAACATATTTTCCTGGTCTGCTCAGATTTTATTTAACAAAAGTCTATTGTATCTGCATTTCTTGTCAAAGCCAACCACGTGACAATAACGTGACTGTTGTCAACACACAGGTGATGCGGGTGACCCTGACGTCACTGAACTGGCGACGACGGGAGATGGTGCGCTGGCTGGTGACTTGCGCCACAGAGATCGGCCTGGACGCCCTGGTGTCCATCATGCAGAAGTGGTACCAGTTTTTCACACCAACCGAGGCTACCGGTATGTGCCCCTCGTGTATGACTCTTTGTCCCTGCATGATTTGTGGGTCTACTTTCTGACTTCTGAACCTATCCTTGTTTTTTTTTTAGTTGTCACGTGGATGTGCAGCAACTATGCTGTTCCTGCTTTAGCTCCAACTTGGGACACCAATTTGGTGGGAAATCATGACTGTTTGTCAAGATTGTGCCAAATGCACCAAATCGCTGCTTTTGGCACAACACTGATGAACAGCCATGATTTCGCGCCTAGGTGCACCAAAGTTAAATCCACAGATCATGTTTGGTCACGCTGATCTGCAGCACAGTGTTCCTTAAATCTGCAGGCGTGACATGTCTGCAGAGTGTTGACGTGTCATTCTATGCTGTGGGCGATGACATGCCCAAAGCATGGGATAGCAAGATATCGCAGTAACCAGGCCTGCCAACAGCAAAGCCTTCAAGTGGGCCTTGCTAGCAGCTGTTGCTTGCTGGTGGATGTGGTGAGCGGGCCTGGCTAGCAAGCCAGGCTAGTGGGCCTGGCTGGTGGGCCTTACTGGTGGGCCTGGCTAGGGGAACTGGCTGTTGGTGGAAAGTCTTAGCAGCCTTGGTGAAAAGCCTTATTAGTTGGTTTTGCTGATAAGTGGAAGAGAAATGGCTGTGGGCTGTCCTTGCTGGCTTGCCAGGTTAGAATTTAAATAATCTTGGGGCTGGTTTTGTATGTACAAAAAATTGTGATCTAATTCAGCAGAACTTGAACAAGTCAGGAAAGTATGCTAAACACTTTTCTGGGATATAAAGGGGACATACCTCGTCAACGTATGCAAAGCATACTAAATTGCTGCTGTTCAACAATATTGTAAAGATGTTGGGCTGCCTTCTTTTCTCTTGTGCCCAGGTCCAGTGGCCACAACTATAATGTCCCATGCCACCATCCTTCGCCTCGGACTTGACTTCAGCCAGCAGGAGGAGCTGTCGTCGTGTGCCCGCACCCTGGCACTGCAGTGCGCCTCCAAGGATCCCCCAAACTGCGCCCTCAATGCTCTCACCCTGTGTGAGGGGGATGCATACGCCTTCGAAACGGCACACCAGATCGTTGTCGACGCCGCAGGCTCCGGTGTCATGACTTCGTCACAGTTGTTCACTGTGGCCCGGTACATGGAACACCGCGGCTACGCCCACCGAGCCTACAAGTTGGCTGTTCTGGCAACCCGCGGTGTACAGCTCGCGTACAACCAGGATGCCCACCCGGCCATCAATGACATTCATTGGGCATGCGCGCTCGCCCACTCGCTCGGTCGCTCCGAGCTCGCGGGGCTCGTGCCGCTGCTGGTCAAGCACGTCCAGTGCGCCACGGTGTTGTCGGACATCTTGCGCCGGTGCTCGATGGCAGCGCCGGGCAGCATGGGGACGGCGCCGCTGGATGCCAAGCGGCGCTGTGTGCGCGCCCTTTCTCTGGACAAACCCCCGCTGCGGCCCTTACTGGACGCGGCCATCGCGGCATACGTCAACACGACCCACTCTCGCCTGGCCCACATCTCTCCGCGCCACTACGGCGACTTCATCGAGTTTTTGGGCAAGGCCCGCGAGACCTTCTTGTTGGCCCAGGACGGGCACGTGCAGTTTGCGCAGCTCGTCGACAACATGAAGGCGGCCTACAAGGGCAAGAAGAAGCTCATGTATCTAGTCAAGGAGCGGTTTGGCTGAGAAGAGGGCCGTCACCTACTCAAGGCGATGCGGCGACTCGAGCCCTAGCCGCGCATGTTGGACCCGGCATGGCTTCTCGGTCAAGTGCACGGCCCCCGTTCCATGGTTCCTTGCGTAACGGCTCTGACCACCGACGTGGGCATCCTTTTTTTTTTTTTTTGCCTGGAGCAGTGGCAACGATATCAAAAGGCACTCCTCGTCCATACTGGAGTTGCTTTCCCCGCCTGCTTCAGCCCTCCCACCCTTTCTTAGAGAGCATCTACAGATGCTCTCTGAGAATCGAAGCAAAGCCTCTGTTTCTTTCATTTGCTCACGTGTATCCTTTTCCGTTGGGCATCCCGATGAAGACACCCCTTCCTCCATGTCAGCCTATTTGTGCTTGACATAGAATACTTTTTACGTGGTCCCAAAGCTGGGACGAGGGTATGTGGAGTAGTCTTACTGCTCCTAAATGTAGTGAAAAGAAAAAGTGATGCCAAACCACCGTCGTTCACAAGGAGATGTCTCTCTTGGAACTGTTGCTTATAGAAAGCTGGAAAACAAACAAAAAGACGAGAAAATAAATGGCAGGCCTGGCGAGAGACACTGGTCTTTGTGTTTAGAGTCCTTATTGTTTTAGTGATTTAATTGATTGACACAACGACAGTGTTGCAGGGAGATGTTCTCCGCCTTTTATTGGTTGTTTCGTGCATGTTGCGCATGTCTCCTCTGTTTGTTCATTGTTTGTCGTGCTGCACATTGTTTCACGTAGGTTGTAGCCCGTCAGAGTTGTGTTAACGTTTTGTCCTGCTTCAGACTGTGTACATTTCATTGTGTTCTATGTATCTCTTGTGTGTTTCATTTTTTGTTTTTTTGCAGAGGACGACATGCCACCGACGTTGCTGTAGGCTACTTGCCCTACTGCAGATGTTTTTTACCCACCGCGTTTTGTTGCTAGCCAAACCAATTACCCCCATACATTAGCTGCAATGTGGCCAATCGGCCAGCGCGATTGTCTCACTTGTTTGTGGATGCGAAACTGTGACAAGAGCCTTTTGGTCTTGCAAATCCGAATGAAGGTGTTATTGTATACAACGTGCACACACGTTGCCTCCAAGCCTAGATCAAACGTAATATAAATGTGACAAATTCTTTGTTTTCTTTTTTTTAATTGTTCTTGCATTTTTCATGGCCAACCACATATAAGAATCTGTGGGAATACCGGTCACTTGTTCATTCCTTCAGTGCTCATTTTTAAGTGTGCAAGATTGAATTCACCGTTTCGCAGTGGCATTGCGTCAAGTTGGCAGCCGGCATGACGGGCAGGTGGAGTGCCGTTGAAGCCACACTTGATGAGTTTTTGTTCAATATTGTCGCGTCCTTTTGTGTTATACCATATGCTTCGCCAACTTCGGTGACAGTGAGGTTCTTAGGCCTCCTGGAGCTTTTCTCGCTTGGGGCCGAAGTTACAGTCACAGGCCAGACCGGCAAACACGGTCCCAGTCTCTTGCATTCATGCACTGAAGTGTTTTGCTTGGCGGCGGCCGCACCAAAGTCGTTGCTGACGGTTCGAGTCCTATGCCTCGTACCGCTCGCGACTATGACACCAGAAGTTGTCCACAGTGGTCGCCCTCCACTTGTGTTGGTTGTTCTGAATGTTAAAGAGCTCAAGCGTTTAGCAATTGACCTGAACTGGCTGTTTCATGTTTACTTTCTTTTACCAGACCGTGTCTCTCGCCAGAAACTTCCGGTGACTGGTGCATGTAGAGGGACGACGAGCGCGTGTCATTTGCAATCGCGTGTAGCGATAAAGTCCCTCTCATGTTTTTTTTTTTTTTTTGTATTGGTTTTATAGTTGGATGACATATTTCTACACACACGACGAGCCATTTCTTTTTGTTAGACATTGCAAGGATCGAAAAAAAGGGTCCGCGACCTCTTGTATATAGTTCGCGTGCCCATCTCCGCAATATTCCAGATGCGGCACGTGCATTCTCCTTCTTTTTCTCGCGTTTCCTTCACTTGGATCTGTAGCCGTTCTTTTGTAGTGATATACGAACCACTTCGTCTCCTAAAGTATTTTGTGGTGATTTAGCTCCTTTTTTCGGCCCACTTATTCCCGCCAGAAGATGAGAAGCATGCAGTTCGCTCTTTGCCACCGTAGTTCTGCTGTTCTCGTTCTTAACCCTTAGACAACATTTGTGCCTTGCGGTTGTTGCAGTTTTGTATATTGTTTGTACATTTTGTTTCGTTTGCGGCGTCTTTTTCCGCTTCGCTCTCCTTGCTTATATTCATTGCTTTACAACGAATTCTTTTGTTTAATATAATGTGATGTTTGGCTGCATGATTATTTAGAGAGATAAAGTGGTTTTTCAGGTAATGTTGATGCGGCGCGCCATTCATCCAAATATTGCGCATATACTTACCGAAAAAGGAAGCAGTGCGGTGTTATAAAAAGTGTGCAGTGGGGTTGATGTCATAGTTGATACACTAGTCAGCTAATATTCGCTTCAAGTGGGCCATGTGACCACATCCATATTTCTCGCACAGTCTTTCGTTGAGCATTTTGTGTCATCGGGCATTTGCCGATCGCTAACAAAATCTTCTAAACTGAATGCGTGCTGGCAGTTGGGTGCACTTTTCACCCTTTGATGCAATTCCAGGATCACCGTCAGGGTTGCCGGGTTGAAAAGACAGACATAGTCAAAAAAGAAAAGCTAGCCAGAAAAGTAGCCAACAATGGCCAAAGGTGCTCAAAAGTTCAAAATGCCACCAGCACTTCATTAACCTAGCCAAAAGAAACACTTTCATGGTGAAGTGTTATAAAATACGCTTAGAAATCCTCTCCAACATTTTTTTTTCTGCAATTACGTTTCGAACTATTCAGAAAATATTGTGGAGATACTCGAGAAATAGTGAAAAAATATTAGACTCAATTACACTTCAATATTCAGATTTGCACCTAAAATTTTACTATTCGCACAAGTCTAGTTTTCTTCATTAGTGTCCCTTCAAAGACTTGTTTCACTGTGGTTACCTAATCCAAAGAAATGACATAAATAGCTTGTTGGATAACCGATTTCTAATATTGAGCGCAGAGCACTCAGCTGCAGGGCGTCATGTATATCATAGCACTTTCGAGTGTTTTTTTTTCGCTCCCAACTGCAGTATGAAATAGCGCTCAGCAACAGTCGGTTCGAAAAATGAGGCTCCACGCAACAGTCTTTCTCGTATCTAAAAGTCTTTGGTGTAGTGCAACTGCTAAAATCAATTTTCGAATCTGGAAACACACCTCAGCCACTGTTCTCTAACCACAAATGCTCGAACGTTGGCGGCTGTGGCGTCGCCAGGTACAGATAATTTTGCCCGATTGAGAGAACAAGAAAGTAGCTGAAAAGTAGCCAAGTAGCCGAAGTGTCCTTTTTCTGCTTCCACCAGCCTAAAAACAAACCTAATTGGCACAAATTAGTCAAACCTGGCAACCCTGAGACTTGCTGTTCTTTCCAATTTACTTGAAATACTGTCGTTATTGAAGCTGGATGTGACTTAATTCAGGGGGGATCAACTAATCACTAGAAACACGCTGCTATTTTTATGGACACTGTGTTGAACTTGTCTATCAGCCACGCTCCAATGACCAGAGTATTTTGGTAGCAACGACTGCTCATAATGACAGTTTTGCAGCTACGGCACTGTGCCGTAGGGAGCGTGGTCCCAGGTTCTGTGGAGCAGGTTGGCTTTTCTGGGGTTTTTTAATGTGCACCCAAATCTGAGCACACGGGCCTACAACATTTCCGCCTCCATCGGAAATGCAGCCGCCGCAGCGTGGATTGGATCTCGTGACCTCGGGTCAGCAGCCGAGTACCTTAGCCAGTAGACCATCACGGCGGGGCATATATATATATTTATACGTGAGGCTATGCAAAAAAAAGTGTCCAATGTATTGTCTCTTACTAAGCTTATTTCCGATCCTCCGTTTTCATTCGCGTCTTCATAAGCAAAAGCATTTTAAATGTTATAAGCGGTATTTCGTTTTTAGCTCTTTCAGATGCTATATACACAATTGTGTACACAACTCGTTTTTGCTATTTGCATTAACTAGACTCTCTGAAAGAGCAAAATATATCGTACTTTGGATAAATCGAACCTCCTGCATTATAAGTTTTTCTTCACTTTACTTGATTTTGCAGAGTACCATTTCGTATGTTCTGAAAGCACAATCACGTTCGGTGAGTCGTGTGACGTGCCGTTTCCTGCAAGTCATGTGAAAATTATAATTTTTCTTGCTTCAAAGTGGCCATAACCAAAAATAATTTGCCTAGCCTGAGAGTTCATTCTATTTGTGCTGAAACAAAGCGTCAATGACTTCAGGATAAGTAGATATTGCAATGCACCTCCACCACATGTAACGTCTTAGTTTAGACGGCGTTTGTTCAGCCCAAGGACTCGGCAGCGAACAGGCATTTTGAGGCCAAGCGCGCACACTCACGATGATGGTGGTGGTGACACCCGGTGAAGACAAGGACAGAGACCCAGACAGATGGGGGTGATTATAAATGCATAGATGAAAAGAAGCTTATAAAAAATGCCCACAATATTTAATTACAGCTTAATTAGGCTGTGTTACTATAACATGCAAAAATTCATATATTATAGCATTATTTTTGTTGCAATAGAATATTGAGTGCCTTCAAATAACGTTCTAGTGATTTGGCACAATTATAGACGGTTCTTCATAGGTGGTGTCTGAAAGGGTTAAACTGTCTAACGCAATGCCACTTTAGCCGTTGAACGTTCCTCGTCAGGGGATCTCGAATCATTATTGGTACGTACATGCCACTCTCACAGTGGTTTTTCCGCCGATGACTACAAAGCAACACTACTGCCACGTCTCTTTCTGTACAATATCGTTTTGAGTGTGACGGGTGTGTCGGTCTATCCGTTCCTCCATAAAAGGCCTCGCTATCCAAGTTTCCCCTCTTTGCATTTCTCCTGCATATGGCCTACCATCAAGAGGCTTTCATCTCTCTAGCAGCGTATCAACATATCGTACGGCCTTGCACTCGAGTTAGGCTTCTTGCTTCCCGAAAGCCTTTAGTTACATTAGCATGCTACATGCGTGGTCTGTACTTCAGCCGGGGATAAAAGAGATTCGCTAATACTTCGCAGCAGTGCTGGCTGGTGACGTTTAGGAATGTGTTGGGGCAGGGCATACGACCATCGGGTATTAGTGAAAGGTGGTCCTATCTTGATCAACAAAGTCACTAAAATGTGGCGACAGTAACGGCAGATGGCTGGTAATATTGTGTCAATGTTTTCATTGCTCCCAAAGATATTCCTCATTAGGTTTTGTGCAATAGCAGTGCGATTTTGTGAGATTGTATCTCGAGGTTGTGTTTTTCTAGAAAAGGGTAACCTTGATGGACACAGATGATTATTGGCTAATAAATTGTTATAAGTTGTCTGAAATTACACAAACGGGTGCAAGCCTCCCTGCATTTTGCTTGGAAAAAGATGGGGGAGCGAGCTAGTGATACCGGTGAGCCAGTGAAGTCTCGGCACTTCTAGCCGCACAGTCTGTGACCTGTTAACATCCCTAAACAATCGCTAAGAATATAACCACTCAAACTCCAGAAAGATAATATGAATTACTTAAAAGTGCTTTGATTTTTCAACTTTTTCACTGCATTACCAACGCTGCTTCAGAAGTGTTCGTAAGGCAATTCATTAGAACAATTACTAGATCTCGATTGAACAGACTCACTGCACAGAACTTGTCGGATGTCTCGCGAGGAGAAAAGTGGGTGTGTCGGGATAATGATTCCATTCATCTGCATGCCTTTACTCACTTCAAAGTGTGCGCACGATCTCATGCAGTTTCCTTTTTGATATCCAAAGCAGTCTATATTTGATCCGGGAGAAGATGTTGTGGGGAGACTGGGTGTGTACAAGAAACAAAAGTATGTAAATACAATGATTGGTGCAACTGTTTGTTCTGGGCATGCATTATTTTTTTTGTCTGTTGTGGTCAGTAATTGCTATGCAGTTGTGATCAGTAATGCCATAATCGAAAAATTGTGTACTGTTTCTTCAAACTGTGCTCCTATGAAAGCGACAGTTACTCCTTGTTCTTGTGTGACACTGTAACACCCACACGGTGTGATGCTGATGCTTTCTACCCCTAATTAGGCATTTGTTGAACATCTGACGTTCTATTCCTACTCTTCATATTTTCTGCACTTTCATTTGCGCTGTTGTCAAAATATGTTGTGGAACTCCAGAGTACTTTTTTTAGAATTCTTTGTTAATGTCAACATGCTCGTTTCTTGCCATGTGTTTAAGTGCCTTGTGTTGAACTGTGAAAGTGCTGCTCTTTTGTTAATTTTTTTTTTGATGCCACATAGTTGACCTGAACCGAACCTCAGAATCAGCATTTCAAGTACATTTTTGTGGTATACTGTGTGCCTTTAACTGCAAGTTTTATATCCATATTATCTCATTTGCTTTCATGAGATGTCATTCTTTTAACACCCCTTTGACTGTTGCCGGTAGGTTTTCAGTACATATGCGAAATTGAGTATGTAGGCCATATTTTGATCCCATTTGTTGATAGGCCATGGTCAGTGGTCCTTTGACTTTGTAAGTGCCGATCAGAAAAATATGCAAAATAATATAAATGCAATGAAAATGTTTTTATCATTGATTGTAGATTATAGGTAGTAATACACTCTACAAATTACCAATTTTGCAACTTAGTGTAAATGTAAAAAAAAAGGAGAGTACCATTTATCGACAGACATGGTTTACTTACGTATTATAGAAAAAAAAAAGAAAAAAAGTAGCATGCCTTGCTAACGGCATTTTGAGGCATCTGTGAGTTGCACTGGCAAAATAGTTCTTTCTTTGGAAGTTACTACAAAACATTTTCTGCGTAAGAAATCTAGGGGAACTTTGCCATTTTGCTTGCAGCAACTTGACAAGGAATCTCTCCATTTTCTTGACAAGCTAGGTTCGCAACCGAAGAAGTAATCTCTGCAAGGATAATAAAACTCTTGGTCACTTCCTTTCTTAAACAGCAGCTATATGATCCATGCTAACCAGAAGGGTCATCATGTGAAGGCGCAATGTTCTCAAAACTCATTGGCCAGAAGTGTCGGAGGCTTAAGATAGGTGAACCTATAAGCGTGCACAGGAGGGATGGGGGGCTCAATCTCAGCCCCATACATTCACATAAGAGCGAGAGGGTCACTGTAACGAACATACGCACCCCACCTAAGCCATGCGCACGCCTGAGAGTGAACCGCTCAAACACATTCCACAAACAGTTTGGAAAGTTTTTGTTTGTGACCAAGATGATTTTCTTTTTTTCCTTGCTATGGAGTAGCTTTCTCGAGGATACCGAACTGGTGTTCATTGAAATGAGACTTGCCACCGCAGTGCAGTACTCTTTCGAAGCCTTCCCTGAGGATTTACACAAAACCTTCCTGAATAACCATATTTATATAGGCTTATCCTTGGCACATGAATAGCAGTGCACCTAATTAGCAGTCCTGCTTGACTAGCCCCACTGCAGCAGCTACAATATCTCGATTGTATTCTCAGAATGTGCGGTGCTCGATCCATCAGCACCGATCAGTCTTCTTAAAAGCCGTACTATGCCTGAGACAATCCGGGCACGATTTCCCGATTGTCTCGGTCTAGTTTTGATGCTAGAGCACGCAAGTCACTCTGCACGGCTCTTAACTGGATGGGACGACGATGCCTTTTATGGAGCTGCCGCAGCTGCCTACCTCACAATGAGCTATGCCAAAGACGGACTGGAGCTTCCATGTGACGATGATGCCTTTCTCACGTGTCGCGCATCACGCATACATTTTCTTTTTTTCAAGGATCTCACGCTCCTCCATAGAGAGGCATCGACCGTTCCATTCTCGTTGAGAGCCCTGCCGGGGCAATCGGTTAGCCAGGGTGATTCATTCGCACTGTGTGGTGTAATGGGCCCAACTGCGCGTTGTGTGTCTTTTTCGAATTTCGAAGCCTTGCTGTGACTTTTAGACCACTTTCGTTTGTGCATCTGTTGTTTCTTCTTTTTGATGCTGATGCGAGTGTGATGCCATGTGCAGGATTGGTGTTGCGGTAGTTCTGTTGTATTGTGGAACCAGTTTTGTTATGAGGAAACCGTTCGGCTTGTGTGGACCACACGTTGCAAGCACAAACGAACCACTGTAATAGAGGAAAGGTATTTCGGCAAGGTACTTGCACAGTCTGTGACAAGCAAACCGAACTGTTGGCTCATGTCTAAGGCACCGTTTGATTACAGGACACCTTGCTCACAACTAATGGTCGAGCATGTTTGAGTCTTGTCAAGCTGCAAGAAACTAATTTGCATTGATGAAAAACAAAATATGGTCTTTGAAATAGCAAAAAAAAAAGTGGTCTAGCACAAAGTGGCTTTGTCTCTTTTGCCAAAGACTGTATGTGTAACCGGCTTTCCCACTTGCGTGAAGCCTTCAACTCTTGCATGCAAGAGGTGTGCTTGATTTTTGCTGCTAATTTGTGCTCGCCTTTAGGTTTCCTTGCCCGGTGTTATGTTCTCTCAGAAACGAAAATCATGAGGCAATTTATCCTGCTGGCATGGTGTCTCACTTCTGCATTCTATTGAGCCAACCTTTTGCTTTACTCGCATGACGTCCCTGTCATTGTTGCCGAATTTTGTTCCTGTTTGTGTGAGTGAGATCTCTATTTTGTTCATTTTACGTAAGCAGGACTTTTATTTGACGTGCCGACCTTGTAAACGAGCATTAGTGTCATTCCGTTAATTGCGCCCAAAAGCGAGGCAGGCCTCCTGAAGTATCAGTCAATGATCTATCTCTATTGAATGAGGAAAAAGAAAGGCAAACGAAAAAGACAGTTGTGACTGTGGAATGTACAAGCATCGGTGAAGTTTTGTCGCTACTTCACCGTACAACGATAACGATAGTTATAGCGCGAGAACAAAACGATGACACAGAGACAAGAAAACCGAACAAAACGACGACACAGAGACAAGACTTTCGTGTCCTTCTTGTCTCTGTGTCGTCGTTTTGTTCTCGCGCTATAACTATCCTCATGCCATACCAACTAGCCCAAGCTGCCACACTTCTGATTCACCGTACGGTTTCAACGTTGTGCTGAATGGTGTCGAATGTAACATTCTGCCCCGTTAACTTAAATAGTCGTGCTTGGTATGCTCCACTGCAACAGCAGATGTGCGTTTTAGTTAAAATTATCACAGAACCTGCATAAAATTATTTCTGCTTGGTGTGATTGGCTGCAAGTGTAATTGCATTGCAGCACCAAGTTTTTGCATTTGCTAGCTGCTCTGCTGATCATTCGATGTTCAGAAAATTTCTCTTCATATTTGGAATATTTCATCTTGGCTGCATTATTGTTTTGTATTAGCACATTGCCTTTGAGTAAGAAGCGCACTGAGGCTTTTGTGATCCGGAGCTTATTCGCTTTGATAAAATTCAGTTCTACGAGGCTCACACCCACGATTCACTTGAGCATAAATGTTACTGAATCACACCCAGGAAACATGCTCGTCTTTGGCAGGTTTTTACGAACACGCAAGAGAAATCCGTTTCTTTGTGACTAAGCCTAACGCGCCATGAGATGCAGTCAAGCATATCTACCTTTTCCGAGCATTAATGCAGATTTAAAACTTTAAATCCGACTCTACTATGAAGATGTCACTGAAGAACCAGCCGGTGAACGTAACATCTGCTTTGGTACAGTTTAGCTGATGGCACTGGGCATTGACTGTGGAAAAAGTGATCAGTCATGCAAGTCTCATTTGAATATGCTTCAGAGAGTGGTCTCTACTTGTGGTGCAGCGAACTACTATAGGTTTGTCTTATAGACCTGAACTGTGAGAGACATTGTACACATGTCCAACTACGCATCTGCATCACTGTCCGCATCTCATAATTGGATGGAACTCGTCGTGCGAGTCATGCACGAGGTATGCGCACAAATGATTGAACCTGAAGGTATCGCTTTGTGTGCCTTATATTCCCTTTGTGAGTGCGTGTCAGCACGCTCGTATGCTTGCTTGTCGTATGCAAAACGGCCACAAGGCGAGCAGGGGTATGCGAAAACGTGGTTGGACATGCGTGCAGTCATCCGCACAGTTTGCCGTTTGATAGTTTTCGGTCATTTTCCTGAATTCTTGATTTGCAAAGCAAGTGAGGACCAAGCAATGCAGGTTTTGTTTGTGGCTCTATTTCGTACGGTTTTGTGTCATTCTTCGTGTTATGTTGTGGGTATGCTACGTATAGATATATATATATATATACATACATATAAACAGCTTGTGCAAGGAGAGAGTGTGAGTGCGCTTCATATCTCTCAGCGTCATTGACGTCGTGTTCATTGTCATCATCATAGACGAGTGTGTCAGCACGTGTGTGTGAAAAATTGTACGTGCATTGGTTTGCGTGTGTTCACTTACTCGTGGCAATTCTCTTTGACGCGGTATCTCCGAAGAAATATCATGTACAGGATATATTGCGCGGATAACCATCGACGGCGAGAATTGGCGACACGACTTTCCTGTTGCCGATGGACACGTTTGCAATTGCCCCCTTCGCCAACTCAGCTCTTCTATCCCACTGTTTTCTCCTATAAAAATGTTCCAGTAACGTGCTTATCTATCTACGAACGCTATGCAACACGTGAAAAAAAAATACGATGAAAAATGCCAGGCGATGGAAAGAACGACCAACGATGATGTGCTTCGAAGGGACTCTCGCCGCGCGTTCTTGAAACTGGTGCGGTGTGGTGTAAGTGCGGTGTTTGGTGAGCAAGAAGAGCCCCACTCATCTCCGGAACAGTGGTGTTGTCTGCTTTGGACCCGTGATCGGTTCGACTCGTGTCTCATCGCGTGTCGTATGCGCGATCGGATTCTGCAACGTGTCTGGAGCAATACGACGGGCAACGACCGAAGCTGCCGCTGCAAGACTACGGCAAAAAAAAAAAAAAGAACACTGGTGCGTGTGCCTGCTTGCCCGTAAACTGTTGTGTGTAAACTTTTCTCCTCGACGTATCTTTTTTTTTTTTTTGCCCCTCAAACCCAGCTATTGCTAGTGTTTGTATGTCTTGCGAGTGCGTGGCCGTATTACCACTTTGGCATTATTTTGGGGGAGGGGGCATCTGCGTATCAATTGCTTTTTTTTTTCTTTTAGCATGCCGCAATTTCTCGCTTTGATTAGAAGCACCCCTGAGAACAGATGAGAACGAGCGTTGCCGTTTTTGCCGCTTTCAATTATTCAGGAGCTTGAATGCTATAAACTTGTGGATTTTAAGTGCCCATTTACTACCAGTCATTTTGTTAATTTTTACAGTGCCCTGATAATTGGTTATCACGCCACTTCTTAATGAAGAATTCGGCATTGTGTCACTTTCTCACTCATGACACCATGTTTCGCCAGTTGAGGTTATGCACTGAAACATTTGTGGCAGGTGTACACAAACATTATTAAACACAAGTTTGTTATAACCGAAACTTCATTTAGAGAGATGTTAGAAGGCTATTCTTGATTTACTGCATTATAACTGATATTTTGTTATGTCCGGGCTAGTTTTATTGAGGTTTGGCAGTATCACCAGCCTCAAGAAAACATTTTTGGCTGGCATTATGTCACACCACAAGCAATCAAAAAGTTTCTAATGATCTAATGCACTGTTTTTCGGCTATGCTGCTTTGGTAAAATACAACAATACGGGATATGTACTGTTGAGTAAACATCATTTATTGCACTAGATGAGATGTAAATCTTTATTGCACCCTGTAATTATGCAAAAGTATCAGCGTAGGCCACTCTTAAACTGTTCATGTGACAAAAAATGCAGAAAGATCCAGTCATAAGTAATAGTCCGGTTACATGCTATGCCTACGACATCGCATGTGATCAGGTTGAACCATTGGCACGTAGAACCCCAGAACTTTTTCTTTTTAGCGTGAAGGCGTTAAAGAGCTCGTTCGCAGAAATTCCAGTGTTGGTGTCAGTGTCGTTCGTGAGTAAAAAAATCATCACCACGGTTGTGACCGATTAAAATCGAGACTGATGCAAATAAAATAACTAATAAAACTTTCCGGGTCTGATTGAGGATTGGATGCGTGGGCTATCTGCGTGGCAAGCAGGTGTTCTATGACAGAGCCACAATATTTGTTGAAACTTTTTTGGAAAAAAAAACACTAGCGAATGTTACGTAGGGAAAAGAGTCTTCGTAACACATCAGATATGGCGTGGCAGAAGGGTAGTATCGTGCCAGGCATTAAAAGATGTGAATTGAGTTAGTGTTTCAAAGGCTCGCCCATCACAAAGCGCGTAGACTTATTCAAGCATCAGCAGCAGCAGACCCATCAACAAAGTGAACAGCTGCAAGGTTTGCGTGTTGCCCTATGGAAGAGTAGCGGGCCCTTTGCTGATTTGCAAAAGGAGTAATTGTGGTGTAGCAGGCACTTAACAACTGTGCTTCCAATAGGCATTCAACGATACTTCGACACAACCAATGTTGTGTGGGCAGTTGTTCATTCCTGGCGGCACGGTTGAGGCACCCACCGAGAACTGAATTAGGCTAGCGTTTTAGAAGCGAATGCCCTCGAGGCCCGATTACGCTATCGTGATCTACTCTTGAAGGTGCATCTCAAACGTCCTACAAACTTTTCTTTTTTTTTGCTCAGGAGTGAACAGAAAGGGTCGCCCTTGCTATTTTCTATGCTTCTTAACACATCCGCTTGTTCTTAGCTTCAAGCTCCTACATAACCATTTGGCTCATGGCAAACGCTATCCGGCAGAATGAACGTAGCGTGTGCGCACCTACGTGTGAGAAAGTGTCCTTGAGAGATTGTTTTGTTTGCATTTGCTTTGTATTCTTACCTCATACCTCATCGCAAAAGCATATCCATCTCACCTACCTGATCGGCTGTGTTTGTTGAACCGTTGTTATGCCTTCGTTTTTGTTTTCTCTTTTGCATATTTTTTTGTCGGTCAACACTCATCAGCTGATGGAATGTAACCGGTCCACCTGTGTTATCACTATTTATTCGAATGGATATTTAAAATGTCCGCGTTGAAACAGTTGAAGGGCAAAATGCGTGGTGGTGTGTGAGCATTGAGTGACTATGACCTCCGGAATAAAAAAGAATGTCTCAAACTGCTCTCGTCTGTAACTTTCTTCTAAAAATTGCAACGCCACTCATTTTACTTATCGAGTGGTTGATATTCATAATTAGTGACGTGTGTGAATGATTAATGTTTAAACTACTGCATGTACCATGTAGGGTAAAACGGGTTCACTGATGGATAAGTTATTCGAGAGCTTCACCTTGCCCTTAAATTTCTCAGCATTTGTAGGTTACCAGGTCAGACATGTGAGCTGCCAGATCGGTGGCAGTTGGGTAAATTCAGAATCCTCATTCCAGTAACGAAGTGTATTTTACTACGCTGCTTGTGTCAGATTTTAAAAGTGGCATAATTGTGAATGCTGTTGTAATTTTAAACATTTTTTTTTACGCGAACACTTGCAGAGTACGAAAACACGTGTAAGGGCATTGCAGTTGGACATGGCATCTTAAGATGTTTCTACCATTGTTTAGTAACCCAGTTTTGTGTTGATAATGTGCTTGAACTCTTCACTGATCAATGAAACTATGGGAGGCTCTGTGCACATATTGTACAGACATGAGGCATTGTGGATGCAAACTTCAACTGCTGTCATGCACACCCACTGCAATGGAATAGAAGTGCTTACTACACTTCGGGCTTGCACTGTTCTGTGCATCAGCTGGAATGCTTGGAGATTTTCATGAGAGACTTGCCTAAAACAGGAACAGTGAGCATCTATCTAGTTTTCCGATTTCATGCAAGGCGTGCTGTTAAAAGAAGAAAAAAAAAAACAATCTGTGCATGGTTAGTCAATGCTTATGCCAGTTTCGAACTTCGTGAGCTCTCGATGTGTTGAGCTTGTGCTCGCCAATTAGGTTTACATTAGTTTTGGTGCATAAACCATGTTAACTTTTAGATAGTAAGTGGTCAGTACATACGTACAACAGGGGAATTTTGTGTTAGCTGAAAGAACGCAGCCCACTTGTTAGGTGCACTTACTTCATTATGTTATGTAAGTATTAACTATCTTGTGTACTAATCCCTGTTCACCACAATGAACAACGAGGTTAAGTGCTTGCCCAATTAGGCTTTTGGTAAAAAATTTATGAGGTGTCTTAGTTGGACCTTCAAGTGAAGGTGAATCGTTTTAAACAAATAAAAGGAGACAGTGATCAGGTAGAAATTTGTTGTGCATGAAGCAGTATTTTAATTTTTTTAAATTCCAAGAAAGAATGAATAAATCGTGACGTGCTGACGTTGCGAGAGGCATGCGACATGCTGCCCGTATGTCACACACAGTAAGATGGTTAGGTCATGGTAGATGTTGGGCTCATTTGAACTAGTATTTCAAAAGTGAAATTTACCTAGGCCGGAGATTCATAGTCATAGAACCAGTTCTAAAAATTGTTCACTCCTGTATATCTATTAATTTCTGATAATTCAAGAAAAGTATGATTGAAATTAGAAGAGCTAGACTGCTGTTACATTAGCATGTCAGAACTCTAAATTCAGAAGGTTTTATGATATCATACACACATATTGCAATTGGCATCAATGTTAAAAATGTGTGTGTAATATGTAATAGCAGGTACTAGTACAAGAAAAATCATGAAGTCTCTTAAATAGGGCGCACACAAAATGATGAAGAGTGTTTGTTAGCCTCTTGCACAGAATCTAAGTTTGTCATTTTTGTTTGTGTGGCTAGCTTATGTTAATTCTTGTTCTCGAAGTTTTGTATATTGGGTGGACAATGAAAGTAAATAAATTGTTTCTTGCACGAAATATCGCAACGCGCACAAGGGCGTTATTGACTTATTTTGGATTTGCACCTCTTGGGAACAACTTTTATCTGGTGGGCTAGCCAAAACGCTAGCTAGTGAAAACATACAGTGCCAAACCAATGAAAGTGAAAGTCTTCATTCTATCGGGGTCCGCATAAGTTTAAGCTTTTCACACACACAATATATATATATATATATATATATATATATATATATATATATATATATATATATATATATATATATATATATATATATATATATATATATATATATATATACGCACGCGCGCGCACACACGCAAATAACGTCGTTCCAATTTGACTAATCAGGTGTTTTCGTGTTCTTTTCTTGGCACGTGGATGGTTGGTTTCGTTTCATTTACCTAGGGAACTCTATGTCATTTACCACGCACACGCACTCGCTGCAGGCGACAGCAGCGACGCTATGCCGACTGTGTGAACGCTAGTACGTGTGGCCACAGAACACCTATACAGTATGGCGTCAAGATTCGGCGCGCGCACCGACGCTACTGTGTGAATTCATTGAACAGCAGTTTTGGTGTCGAGCTTCTTGCAGCAATAAACCCGCACTCACGACATCGACGCAACGCACACGGGAGCGCGTTTTGCCATTCTGCGCGCCGCCCACGGTCTTCCGCGAAAGGAAAAGTGGGTCACTTTCGCTTTCTCGTGTCGAGGACGTTTCAGCAGTTTCAGTTTCGCTCCTGCGCGCACCGCGTTTCAAATCTGATTTTATGAGCATATACAGCTCACAAACGCAACGCAACATCATGTCGAAGCATGGGTTCATGAGCAACTTTTAATAACAACTCAGACGAATCTCTGGATGTGATCTAAAGGGGGTTATTTCCACAATATTTGAGGAATACGCGCGCGCGGCTTCGCGCCTGGCGGCCTCTAGGGGACGCCTCGGTCGGCCTTGCCGAAATAGGCGCTATCTGAGATTGCTTGTTCTGCGGGGAGCGGCTGGCTGCTGGGGTGTGTGTATGTGTGTGTTTATGCGCGGCGGTGTTTCGAGCTGAGGAATATTGCTTTTGGAAGGGCCCGTTTATTCTCCAGCTCGTCGTCCGGCTTGCACTTCGTCGGCTGAGAGAGACAAGTCCGGCACGCAGCTTTTGAAGACCGAAGCGCGGCAGCGGTAAACGCATCCGAACATGCCGGTGTTTCACACCAAGACCATCGAGAGCATCCTTGAGCCCGTAGCGCAGCAGGTAAGCACGACGGTTCGCGAATGGCTCTGAGGGGGACGAACGGTGTCGACTGCACGAAGCGTTGCTGCTGCTGTCAACCCACGCCTCGCCCTTCAGGTGTGCGATCGTGTTGAAGAGCTTGCCGTCGGTTTAGGTCGAGGCCAGCTTTACGTAGCTTGTTACGTTCGGTGCTGGTTCCTAAACCGGCGTACGGACCCAGCATGCCACGACGGAGAGGGAGGGGAGTTGTTGGAGAATTAGGCAGGCGGCCCGTCTCTGCGGTGGCACGCCCACAGAGCACATAAGTGTAGCATTGTTCTGAAGATGACACGAAACAGTTGTGCTCTTGCTTGTGTGTATCGTCGTGTCCGGATGGAGACGCCCTTGTTTATTTCTACGACGTTTCGGACTCTGCGTTGTATAATACGTGCTTCGCCGAGGCGGCTGTCAGGAGGATTTATTACGTAAGGGTGGAGCGGTGTCAAATATCTCACGCAGTGCAAGGTCGGCGTTGTTCTTTTACCCTTTGTTTCGCAGCCGTACGTTGCCAAAGCTTGTCCGCTGCCAAAGATCGGGTCACCGAAATCTGTCGTTTCGAGAGTGCTACACCGATATCCCCGGCCGTCGACGGTTGGCGACAGATGTCGACGGTTGAATCAATTGCTTGTCGTTTGAGGGCCACCTGGAAAAGAAATCTGTCAATTGTAGTAATGTCGCCGGTTAGCGACAATGCTCAAGTTCAAAGCTGAGTCAGCTGCGCGAAAGCGATAACAGCGCTCCGTCGTCGAATCATAAAAGGAGCGAGCGTGCCTCACTCACTCCGTTCGATGATATCATCGATGCGTCGTCTGCATGCTGTCGTGAGGGAAAGTCAGAAACCGCATTTGTTTTCCCACTTTGCGCGGTCCGCGTGCGTTTTGACCCGTACGTGTATCGTAACACGGAGAGCACGCAAAATCGCTCGCGCAATCGAGCTAACAAGCTGCCGTGTTGATGCATCTCTCCTTTGGGTTAACGGGGCCTACCTTCACGCATGGGTGACGCTTCGGTGACAGGTGTGCTCGTGACGACACCGCGCGGCGAAAATAAGAACAAAAAGAAAAAATTTGCCCTCTCTCCATCCTTTTGTTGCTATATTTAAGTCATCGCCCCCCTCCAACGTTGTCGTTTATAAGTTCTTTAAAAGCCGGGGCGTCTAGATTTGCGGTGGGTTAGACATGTTTTGTGCAACTTCGCGCAATTAATGCTTCGCACAACGAAAAGAACCGCGTTGCCTCATGCGTTTAGATGGTAATGACCGATTGGGAACGCGAAGCGTTCGGCTCTCTTTACGACGTAGCGGAGAGTCGTTAATTGCTCGTTCAGGTAGCGACGTCGAGAATATTATACTAGCGTACGCGTAGGATGCCCGCACTACGCGGGCGGAATACGCCGCTTCATCAAGCTTCTGCGCCCACGTTGGAGTCGCGAAAAAACGTTGCCAACAACCACTCAACGTCGTGGCGATGTAGATGCGAGCAGTCGATAACATATAAAAGAAACACAAAATAATTCGCTCGACATGCAGTCGGCGCGGCGGTGACCGTAGGTGTTCGCAATTGGGAAAGCGCTCGAAGCAAACTTCTTTTTAAGGTATTCGCGGTCCAGCGAAATTCGTTTAACGGCGAATTCGGCATGTGTGACAGGGAGCGACGTTGTTTCTCTTATACCCAAATTAGTTTATTCGTGGTTAAAACCGTGACACACGGACTACGCCTGGCTTGTAATTTTGTGTAACGTCATGCTAATAAGGTACTTAGATGCATAGTTTTGCATGCAACACAAAACCAAGCCTGCGCGAGTGTCTGCAGCTGATTGGACCCTAGTGAAAATCTGTAACTGGGAATCTAACTGGTTTCAACTGGTATTAACTGGTATCAACTGGTCCCAGTTGGGAACTAACTGGTCCCAGTTGATGCCAGTTGCAACTGGTTCCAGTTAGCAACTGGTCCCAGTTGGGAACTAACTGGTCCCAGTTGATGCCAGTTGCAACTGGTTCCAGTTAGCAACTGGTCCCAGTTGGGAACTAACTGGTACCAGTTGATTCCAGTTGCAAGTGGTCCCAGTTAGCAACTGGTCCCAGTTGGGAACTAATTGGTCCCAGTTGAAACTGGTTCCAGTTAGCAACTGGTCCCAGTTGATTCCAGTTACCAACATGTCCCAACTCAACTGGCCACCCACAGGGACCACAGGAATTTCATGAGCATGCCCTTGAACTGGAAGCAGTGCCCAGCTGAAAACCATAAGCAATTCAATTGGAAGAAAATGGTCCAAGTTGTGCCCTAAATAGAAATGCTGCCAGTTTTTTTTGGTTTTATGAATCGTTACAGTGAAAGAACAGAAAAAAATTGAACTAGATGTATGTGACACACTGCTGCACTTGAAGGAATTGGTTTTATCCATAGGTTTTTTGTCCTACTCATTGTAGGGTACTGTATTACCAGCCTAGTAGTACTTTAAAGGACCAGTATTAGAATAGATTACAATGAGTAACTCTTTTGTATAAGTTCCAGATTTTTTTTACGGAAGAAGTTTCGGCGCTGTTTCAAACATCCTGTGCGCCTAGCCGTAGCTTAATTTATCGATTTAATTTATTCGTACACTGCCGTACCTAGTAGAATGAGTGGTACAATTATGTGTTCTGAGCTGCAAACTGAAGCAGCTTTTTTTGTTGTTGCTGTTTAAAGCGCCAGCAGCCTGAAACCCAGTGAAGGGCATCGCGCGCATATGTCACGTAGCGTAAACAAATGGTCGTCAATATATAGTTGCCACATAGAGAGCGTTGGCCTTCAGCTAGAAAGAATCTGGAACTAGAAAAATAAAGTAGCGTCGAATTACATAACAGACCGGCTCCCGCGAGCGCAAGTTTCGAGTTTAACCTCACTTCGTGTTGTGTAATGTCATAAAAAAAGGATACGCAAGACAGTCTGGGCCTTGCTTATCGACACCGACATTCGCGGCGGAAGGCGTAACAGCGTCCAGCGAATAGGTGCGGCCGGCAAATCCGAAAAAAAAAAACATTCATAAAAAAAGAGCGGCACTAGCAGACGCTCGCCTGCGTAGTAAACGAAGCGGAACTTGCCGCCATCTTGGAAAAGAAAAAGAAGAAAGCGTTGGTGGCGCTATCTGCTAAGCTGGGTCACGGTTTTTCCGCCGTGCTGGGCGCGCTAATATTAGAATGGCGCGTCTCGGATTACGGCGAGCGGTGCTCGCCATTTTCTTCTTTATATCGTGTAACCGTGTGGGGAAGGCGCGAAAGTTTGTTTGCCTCCGCCTCTCTCTCACACTCTTTCCCTCCCTCGCCTTTTCCGGTGGGAGAGAGTTGCGCGCGAGTGTTGACTTGTGCAGCGAGTTAGATGAATGGTTTACGACCATGTTCAAGGTGCTCGACCAGTTCGTTGAGTGACACGCCTGGTGGACCTGTGGGTTTTGTTTCAACTCGTTATCGTTTCGACGAACAGTCAGTTACTACGAATGCAAATACTAGCGTTTTTGCAAAGTTCTTAACGAGACCCATAGTTAGTAACAGCAGCTAGAAAAGTTAAAAATTGCATTAAAAGTAAAAGACTGACAAGAAAACAAAAATTCAATACAATTCAATACAAATGGGGTACAGATAATGAACACATACACATCAAAATGTAACAAGTTACGTATAATTAGTTGCACATATATAATTAGTTGTACAGGTAGCAATATTTTATCAAAATTTTGAGTGAACACAGTGATGGAGAATTGAGACAAAATATGGTAGACTACCTCATAGATTTATGATGGGGAATGATGTCATTTTACCATGATTTGCTTGAACATCGGGCTATAGAAAATTTAAATTTTGAACCAACTTAGCACAGTTAGTGAGTTAGAAACATGGAATCATTGAAGTAGTGAGAAGGTTGTTTATTGAATAAAGACCAGGACGCTGACCACAAAAGGATGCACAGTGCATCGATGCTCATAAAGGGAGCCATGTGCACAATCCGCACGTTCTGGTTCTAAAACATGAATAAATCTTTATTTTATTGTGGTCAATGCCCTCATACTTTATTGAATTACTCTTCTCAACAATACAAGTATCCGTCGAAGCCTTGATTTCAAAGCTTTTTTTATTACATAACATATTGTTACTTACAATGAAGTAGTTTTAGGGGGCTTTTAATGGGCACTGAGATCGCGATAGCCATAGAAACAACGTCGTCTGCCTTCTCTATTTGCGCTTCACTTGCTTTTCACTGGTAGTGACACGGCGTATCATTATATAAGACAATACAAAGACATGAAAGTTGAACAGTTTCGCTATAAAAAGCCACAATAGTTGAAGATTAGGCGAGTTTGGTTCATCATACCTATTTGAACTTATATAGAGCCTTAGGTGTATCAGCCGGGGGGCAAGGGGGGCGCGAGCCCCCCCACTGAGAAAAGTTGGGAGGGCCCAGCCCCCCTCCCCCCCCCCCTACTTTCGACGGTCTTCGCTGCCAATTGCACACTGGGGAAACCAACGCGTAAGGCGATCTTTTCTTTCACCACACTAATCACTCAAACATATTGTTACGAGTAAATGAAAATGTTGCCATAAAATGTTTTAGTATAATGAAATTTATCCAACTTTACTGCTGTGACAATTTTTCTTGAAGGCTCTTTGCGGTGCGATCCACCTATGCGACGCTTTCGCATCTTGTGCTGTAGCATTGCAGAGCAGGCTATCGTACAAGGCACAAAATTGTCTTGTGCTGTAGCCTGCTTTTTTCTAAATGGGAACGAGAAATCTTTTTATGGAGCAGTCAGAGCATTTACTGCTTCAAGAAACGTGTTTTTTTTTTCATCAAAAAATGAACAGCATCATCACTGCTCTGTAGAAGCTGCTGTGATCCGATGATTGTGGTGAATCTTTTTTAAATGTTTTAGCTTTGCCATACTGCAAGCGCCAAAAAACAGTTTCCGCTCTAGACTCTGATAAACCTGATCAGCCTCGCTTATCGCAACTAGGAGCATCGACAGCAGTTTGCAAAGTGGCGACGAATAAAGCAGAGGACTCGAATACACTCACTGGGAAGCATAGCCTTATTAGCGGGGGGGGGCAAGGGGGGCATGAGTCTCCCACTGAGAGCAGCTGGGGGCTGAGCCTCTCCACCTCTTTTGACAGTGGTCACTCTTGGCTGCACGCTGGGGAAACCAAAAAGTAAGGCGTAGTTGTCCATCGCAACTGTAATCACTCAATTATGTTCTTACGGGAGATTAAAATTGTTACGGGGCCATGTTACAACATAGTGAAGTTTTGCCAACACTGCTGCTGTGATGATTTTTTTTGTAAGTTCTTGTAGGCAATCTTATATATATATATATATATATATATATCACAGCTGACGAGTAAGGTAGGTTTGCCCCCCCCCCCCCCCCACTCGCGAAAGAGTTAGTACTCCACTGTATAGAGCATTATGGGAAAGAAGAAATGGCCAGCAGACCGACAAACGCGAAAACAGAGCGGTGTGTTGCTTTGCCCGGCCGTTTCTACTTTGTCCTAATATGCTGTTGTACCAGGTCTAGTAGGCCATTGAAAGATTGTTTGCATGAATTAAGTTATGGTAGCATTTGAGAAGTCACCGTTAGTAGTCACGAAGGTTGTCTTTTAATACATGGACCAAGGTGATCCCCCCCCCCCCCTTCTTTTGTCCTCATCTGTGTACTTGGCAAGCTTTCAGGGATAAATGTAAATCAGCACCATTCGGCGTATGTTTGGTCATCATGCTTGAAGCATGGCCCATAATAAAATACAAGAACTAATGTCGTCACTCCCTGAAATTTCATTTTAATGTATGAACACTTGAGTACAAACATTTTATGCGGACCGTCGAAAACTTGAAAACAAAGTGATTTGAATAGTTGTTTTTTTTATGCTACATTTGTTTAAAGGTAGAAGCTGTTAATAGACTATATTTCAGTGTGTTGTTTTTAAGAATATTTATTTCTTCTAATTTTTTGTGTAACTGTGTGAAGTCTTACAACTGATATTCACTTTTGCGTGTTCTCATCTTGGATGTTTTCTATAGGCTTGTTTCATCGTTGTATAGTTATTAACCTTGCTCTATAATTAACTGTAGGCTGTCTACAGTATGTAACATTGTTATTTGAAGCTCCTTTTATACAGACTCTTTTTAGTCCTGTGGGTAAAAAGGAACAAATTGGTTAATCAAATTATGACCTGAAATTCACCTGAATATTGAATTGTACGGTGGAAATTATGTCGTGGCAGCTAATGCAGGTAGTGGGGCAGTCGAGATTAATTTGATTTCTAGTTGCTGCTGTCCAATGTTGCATCACAAAAATGCTGTCATATTTCGTAACTCAGCGTTTTGATACAATTCTTTGGAAAAGTTTTGCTTAAGCATTTTTTCGCTTGCGTTGTATGCAGTTGTGAAACTACATTAGAACATAAGTGATGCAAGGCAGCAGGTGGTTGACCCTTCGCCCCGGAAAAATCTTTTTTTTTTTTTGTTATGTATACGTGCACAATAAACTCCTGGTTACTAACTTGTGTTACAGCTGTTATTAATGTCACGAGGTTCATATTCAGATGCAGCTTATGATGTCAATCTTGTTTTTTGTTTTACGGTGTTAAACTTATCGCATTGCATAGCAAGCCATTCTTCTGATAAGTTGGTGAAAGTATGCATGGAAATGGAAATGCTGTAACATTTAACATTCAGGCAAATATTTTTTAAGAAGTTAAACCCACAGAAAAATATATTCATATGAATAACTGATAAATCTGATGAGCGTACATACAGTGAAATTTCTACATCAGTATTGAAAGAGCTTAGAACTTTCTCTCAATGTTTCTAAATTTCATATATTTATGTCTCTTGTATTAAGGTTCAACAATATCATTGACCTGTTTAATTATGTAACTGTAGAAATGCTGTACCTGTAGTTGTACATACAAACATTGCATGTGCAAAGGTACATACAGCCCCTCAATATGAGGCAATTATTTATTTCATTTATTTGGACGAGTGTGCATGTGTGTGTGTGTGTGTGTGTGTGTATATATATATATATATATATATATATATATATATTCTAACACCTTTATTGCCTGAAAGCATTGTAGAAGAAAGTGGTGAAAAATATCGTAGCTACATGATTAGTAGCTGGTCGTTGCATATCTCTATTACTTGTCTATCGGGTCATCATTTGCATTGTTTCGCAAGAAAAGCAACTCGTTTTCTAAAACCTGTGCATTGCTAGTGGGGAAAGAAAAACAAAGCTAGGACTAGAAAGAAGAATCTAAACAAGTTTGCATTAATCACATGGGTATTTTGTTGAAACTGGTAATGCGATCTGGTGGAAATGCAATGCAGTTTGGAACCCCTTTATAAGAGGCCTCCTCCAAGCAGCGATTCTTGTCTTTTATATGAGATGTTTCTCATAAGCAGGGGACTGTATATGCATTTTCCCATCCCCCATATTTACTGTAGGCATACTTCTGTCTCGTATACCCGTTTGTCTCGTATATCAATGTCTCTTATATAGGGGTTCGACTGTAATTACTCTTTGGTTACAAGTAGCTCAATATAGTAATCTTGACCGTGTAACATTTATGTGACTGGGCAATTTGTCAAACTGGTTTTCAGCGGAGGAGATTACAGAGAGTACCTATTGAAAAGCGTGCGGTCCTTCGTAGAAAGACGCTCGCACCGTCTAGGAGGGTGGCACGTTTGCTCAATGTCGCTTATGGGGGATACCGAATCGTAAGATGCTCAACTTTCTCGACGGTCGGTGTGGGTTGTGGGGATGAGGCTGGTGCTGTTGGATTGTCACTGGTAGAAAGCATGAGGCGCTATGGGTTAAGGGAAATGAAGGGAGGATTTTTTTCATCCATAATGAAAGTACGCTGACAGAAAGGTCAATGTTGTCAGCACTGGATTGTCTGCATGCTTGGCACTTGCCACATTAATATGCTTGCGTTGCTGATTACTTTAGGCATGAAGCAGTCTTTCTGGCATGTACAGGGGGAGCCACTGTGGGTTGTGCAGTGTTTGCATTGTTTCTCTCTTATCTTCTTGTATACTGCTTGGCCTGCTAATTGGGAAACTGTGTGTTTACTTGTATACTACAAGCTTGGATTTCTATTTGCGCAATGTGGCATGAAGCCATGCAGGAAACATCAAGAAAAGTTGCTTCTATAGCTCCCCTTTCAGTAACCATCTTAAATTTATGTAGGCTTCCAGAAAACTAATTTTTTATGTCAGAAAACCTCTAACACCCTCGACGATTACTGACGTTATTTAGTGGCTCATGGCTTTGAATAGGACCTTTAATACAGAAGTGTAAATTAAAAGACAGCATGATTAGTATTTCACTTAGGATAGCAATACAGTTTTTAATGCATTGTTCCTGTTTCTGTTTTCTACTTGGTGCTATATAGTGTGGAAGCCTAACATGCATGGCCTTTCATCTCGCAAGTGCTTAGAAACAGCTGTGCGTGCTAGTTTAAGTATGCAAATGCACCACCTAAGCACACGCAGGGTAATTAGCAGCACTAACTACCTGCTTAAAACTGGGTGCTTCAATTCCTGTCTATGGAATTTTAACGTTCTCTGCCTGACCTTCCCTGAAACAGTGGAAACATTATTTTAAAGCTTAATGTGCAGTAGTAGTAATAATGATGGTTTTATTTTCACCAGTATATAATTGAGTAAAAGCAACTATATTTTAACTACGTTCTCACTGCACATCATCTCTCAGTTAGAAATTCACTTTTGTTTTTTTTTTAATGCTCAAGTATTACTAATAATTCCACTGACACTACATTTTGCGAGATAACTATGGGGCCCTAGAAGGGTATGCTACGAGTGAAATGGGTTTGGAGAAATGATCGTTGGCCTAGTTTTTTTTGAGAAGTAAGCAGTTTACAGAAACATTACACTTACGTCTTTGGAGATATTAAGCCATTAGCAGTATGCTGAAAAAAATTTCACATTTCCGAGTAGCTCTACAGCTGCAGTGATGATGACGTGGGCCCTGAAGAGAAGTTTTTTCACTGAAGTCATACCAACATCATGTGAAATGTCGGAGGAGGAAACAAAAGTGGTCCTAGGTGCAAGATTGGTTGGCAGTGCCCAAATGAGTTACGGAAATATACTGCTATTGCATTAGGAGTCAGTGGATGAAATATTTCTACGCTTTGTTCAGAACTGCATGCAGTGGCTAGTGGAGGATGAGTACTCGCTTGTTGTGAAGCAGCTAAGTTGAGTAGTATTTTACTGTTTTTATTGGTAGATGAGACACAGAGGGGCTGATATTGCTTTTTTTAATTTTATTTTTCAATGATAATTGCTGCTGTCACTCCACCTGCCAGGTGTCTCGGCTGGTGATCCTCCATGAAGAAGCTGAAGATGGAAACGCCATGCCCGATCTCGAGCGCCCCGTCAAGGCTGTCAGCATGGCTGTCTCGAACCTCATCAAGGTGCGTTTCCGTTTGTGGTACTGTGACTAATCTATGTTGTACAGCATGTTATAAGGCCTCTAGCAGGAAAGGGCAGCACAAAGCATAACACCGACGTAATATTAATCGGTAGTACATGAAGACCAACAATACAATACAACATGTTTGAAACGAACGACTCTTAGGCAACTACAACTTTACTTGGAAACACTAAACAAGGACGGCAAATTATTTAGTGCAAGTTTAAATACTTGCATTTGTCTTGCAAAATACATCAATTATTATCTAGTTTATATGTTGGTTGGTAACACAAATGCACATAAAGCAAACAAATAGGAACACTTAAATGTTCAGGGACAAAAAAGAAAATCGTGATAGTTTGTTCCAATCATTTTGTGCTTTCTTCACTTGTTTCAGTAGTTGAGGCATTCTTTTATCAGTTTTATAAAAGTGCAACATTGTATGTGTACAGTACTCATGCACTCGAATGTAAAAATTTGTGGCTAAGTAATGCCTATAGTCTTGTTTTCAGCATCTGCAGTTAGTGTCATATCAGCATAATTTTGACCCGAACACATACATTGGATTCAACATTACCTTTAACAGCCAGGTCTGCAGTGACATGATGCGGTTATCATGAGCAATTGATCACGGCACTCATTAAACTGAAAAAGCATGAGTTGCATGTAAATCCGTGAGGGCTGTACCAACTAGCCTTCTCGCGGGCTTCACTGACATCGAAGCGAATGTGTGAACCCGTTTTTTGTTGCACCAGGTGGGACGCGAGACGATCAACAGCAGCGACGACCAGATCCTGCGACAGGACATGCCCGCAGCGCTGCAGCGGGTCGAGCAGTCCTCCAAGCTTCTCGAGGAGGCCTCGGCTATGCTCAAGGCAGACCCTTACTCGCAGCCCGCCAGGAAGAAGCTGATCGAGGGCGCTCGAGGTGAGAATTGTGTACTCTGACGTGGCGAGATGAGTATGTAAAGTAATGAAAATTTTCAATTTTGGAACAAGCTTCTTATTAAAATGAAAGCCTAATGTGTCAGAGTGAGTCGGAAAATGCGATGTTAGTCATGTGTGAATATGAACGGTCAAACAAAACTCTAGTTAAACGTCATGAGATACTCGAGTGAATGAGTGTGTATATCACACCCCTATATTGTAGTACGTCCCTTCACTCAACGCTCCACCTTGACTCGAAGTCTATGGGATCGCCATCTCTAGGGAGAACAAGTCGCTGCACATCAATGATATTCTGCAGCGTTTCTCAAGAAACGCGGCATCATTTCCAGTTGAGCGGTGACGCTGTGCTCAACTCGCGCAAGGGAAGGAGAAAACTGGAGTCGATGGTCATTTAAGAATGCAGGGATTAGTGTACCGAAAGTCACATGACCTCAAGCCACACGACCTCAATGTCACATGACGTCTCCATGACATCACATATTATCAGAATTTGTGGCCTTGTATAATCACTGGCAGGTGAAGTGTATTAAATGAATGAAATGCATGGGGGTTCGCCCTTGGAGCAGGTGGGGGGGGGGGTGCCAAAGTTTGACAGCAGTCTTCCCTCGCTTTCTTTGTCACCTTTCACTCACGCACCAAGAAAAAAAAACAAAAATACTTGGCACTATCTGCACGAGTTATCTATAGGGAATTACAAATTTCAACTTGCATACACTACTGCAGTTGCAACATCATCCAGATAAACTACAGCAAACTGCATTATAAGTTCACGCCTGGTGTAGCTCTATGTGCAGATAACATACTCAGGACTCCCTGTTGTAATTTCAATTTAAATGTTTGGGCTTGCATGTACTACTTGTGAAAATAAATCGCTCTTACCTCCTCAGACCCAAAAGCAGTGTTACGTGTAAAGCCTACTCGTGCGGACTGTCGGGATGTTGCCTTCCCGAGGACACAACAAACTGTGTGTTATTCACGCATGGTTGCACTGTGGTTGTCCTCTGACAGGGACACCGAGGTCTATTGTCTATGAGACCCAGTTCTCGGTCAAAACCTGAGAGCCAATGTCCCCTTAGAGTGACATGTCATCTAACATGGAATTTTTTCAACCACCCCTACTCCTCCCCACACCCCTCTGTGCTTCTGGCATCATTTAGGCATCCTGCAAGGGACATCTGCCTTACTGCTCTGCTTCGACGAGTCGGAGGTGCGCAAGATCATCCGCGAGTGCAAGAAAGTGCTGGACTACCTGGCAGTGTCCGAGGTGATCGAGTCCATGGAAGACCTTGTTCAGTTTGTCAAGGTGCGTGTTCTTTACTCATTCTATAAGTGTGGAAATTCGGGGAAGTTGGTAGAACATAACTTAATATACGAACAGCGCAACTTAAAAGTAGTTACAGTGTAACTATGGAAGCAAAGGTACAAAAATAGAACTTTTTCTCTTTTCTTTTCCTTTTCTTTTTTTCTTTTCTTGTATCTTTGCTTCCGTAGTTACACTGTAACTACTTTTAAGTTGCACTGTTTGTATATTCAGTTCTTTCTCCATGTCCCATTGTTCAAGTGCTATTAAGGAGTATACATGGTCAAAGTGCATAGTAGTTGAGGTTTGCCACTAAACCAGACTTTTGTGATTGTACCGTAACATGTACCTGGCCACTAGGGTGCCTGTAGTTAGCCTTTCAGTACATTCATGTGTAGGTTCATCAGTTATTTTTGTCTTCATGCTCAGAAAAGCACTTAATTATTGCTGACAGCCTGTTTGTATTACTTACATTCATTTATAAAGTGCTTGTTTTGTCTAACTAAACTCTATTATGTAGCAGCTCAACTAATGTTTAATATAATGCTCATACAATCTCAGTTTTTTTTACAATCTGAATAAAGTAGACTTTCAGTAAATTGCTATTTCTCAATCGGAGCTGCTGCTTAATGAAACAAGTGCGCCTGACGAGATTGGTTGCGTACCTGTATTCCGAACCCTTAATCAACTCTCAGCAAATTTTTCTGGTTCCTTAAGCTTCTGTTCGTCGAGGGTCTGCCATATTCAACTGATATTGTGGTTTTGGTACGTTGGACCCAGCAATTGTTAATTATGGTATGCAGCTCTTGCATCAATCGGGGTAGTATTTTGTAGGTTAAATGTTAATTTATCTGCTTTGTGTGTTGTGAACTCCCGCATGCGAATTGGCTCATTAATCATTGAAGAAGTCAGAGACACTGGCAAATGAATGACTGAAGATTGGCATAAAACTTGTTGAATGTGTGGGCAAAGGTATGGTAGTGACCACACATGCTTAACGACGTATAGACTCTTGTTATGGCAACTGCTTGCAGCGATCATTTGGTGGGCAGCTTGGGATAGGGGCAGTTGGGCTTGCAATCTGGCACGCTTTGTGAAGCACCGATTCTGGCCATGGCAGTTGCTTGTGACAATGAGTTGCGGGAGAGTCGCGCTTTTGACATTTGGGCTCGTGATCACACGTAGTGCGTTAGGCAGCATTGGCTTACACGCTTGCAGTTGCATGTGACAATCACTTGTGTAATGATTGCCCTTGTGATGACTAGAAGACAAATATTTAGGTATTTAAGAAACTCGTTATTAAAAACTATTAGTATGATCAATTTAAAAAACTAGGGGCCAAAAATTGACTGGCAAAAGGTTTTAGATGCCACAAATAAGCAGGTTAACATGTTTTCAGCCTCCAACATCATAAATAAATCCACAATTAATTTTTACACAATGGCAAATTATTTTAGAACAAAAACGAGCTATTTGTATCTATGACTGGGAGGCGAAAAATAGTATTGCTTATGGATGGCACAGAAACCCCAACTGTCAAACATAGCTGTGCAATAGTCATTTGCCCGCATGGTTTGCAGAATGCGGTGTCTTCTTTTGTTCTCTAGCATGCCGAGTCATGTGTCCACTGTCAAATCGGCACGCTCTCGGGTCTGTTCCTTTTCAACATGGCTGAGAAGGGCAGCACAGGAGCGAATAGCCAGACCGTTAAAAGACCAGGACGAAGGGATATCGTGTATTGGCTGGGTCTAATCGCATAAGGTCAATTTTAATTCTGTTGATGAATACCTGAAGCAAATTGCAGACAAGACAAAAGCCGTAAACGCATCGCATTTTTCTTGCTTTCGGTCTTCCCTCTCCTCTGACGGCTCTTCAGGATTTCACATTTTCCTACTGTTCGTGCCCTGTCAGCGCAGCGGCGGCGTGTGGTGGCCAGCGTGTCCCATTTCACTGCTGCTAGCAGCTGTTTTATAGCAGAGGTGTAATGGTCAAGGTTTGCTGTCTGTCGTAGATTAAAAATTATCATCAGCGTGAACTGGCATGCAGGCGATGACTGCCCAAGCACAAATGTGCCTTGTAAAGCATTGGCTGGCACTTCACAGTTGCTTGTGACGATCGTGCGTGTGAGGGTTTTGCCTGTGACGGTGGTGTGCTCTACCTGTGCAGGACATGAGCCCGTGCCTGACAAAAGTGTCGCGCGACGTGGATGCCCGGGAGAAGGAGCTGACCCACCAGGTTCACCGGGAGATCCTGATTCGCTGCCTCGACTCGGTCAAGGTCCTGGCGCCCATCCTCATCTGCAGCATGAAGATCTTCGTCCAGATCCTGGCACAGTGTACGTTGCGCCCCCTGGGACTCTCCGAGCGTAGTACACTCAAACCTCATTTTAACAAATGTGCATCTTACGCAGAATCAAGTTCATTACATCTAAAAATTGTTATAAAGTAAATTCTTGACACTGTCTATTACAAGAGTATTTTTTATTTACTTTTTTATAAACAATATTTCGATATATCCGGGTTCATTATATTGAGGTTTGAATGTATATAATTCTATTGGTCAGGTTTCACAACACCTTTCATGGTTGCTTTCTTTTTAAAAAGTTCATCCTTTAGCCAGAGGTAGAGCAGAAATTTTCAAATATATATGAATTCGAAGTTTGCCTACTTGGCTATAATATATGTAACAGGAGCACTGGGTAAGAAGCTACAAAATAAATTAAACAGTGGTCTCATGTCCAGTGCTGTTCTCCTGGTTTGGTATTTAAAACCATAGGTGTGCACGAGGGGAGGGGGGGACAAGAAGGCAGCTGCATCCTCCCTCCCCTCCTTGTGCTATGAACCAAAGGGAGGCCATTTTTAGAAGCATGTAATTGCTTCATTTTAATTTTGGCATCTATTGCAAAACTTGTTTCCTTTCAGACTCGATTTCTGATGGGGAGGGGAGGTGAGCACTCCAATCAAACTTCTCACCTCCCCCCCTCAACGACCGCTAATAAGCTTCTCTTCAATGACCGTCTATACCAGTTTAGTACAAATTAAATGCCATGGTACTTTATCATTTTTTTAGGGCAAACATTGCCAATATACAAAATAAAAGATATCAGACACTTTGTATGTACCTTCACTGTCTCCACCCTTTGGTGCTTTGATCCTGGAAATGAGTGAACTACATACTCGCAGTGTTAGCTCGGTGGCAATGGCCTTGCAATGCCAAGCATGAAGTCGTGAGGCAGGTTTGTTCCGATTGTGACAGAATGCGAGAGCGTCTGGGCACAAAGCAAAAAGTGCACATTGGAGAACTCAACGCCACCAAGATTAGCACAAAGCTCGTGCTCGTATTGTGGTTTCGATGCACAAGACCCGGAATTTCACGTTAACCCCTTGGGGCACACTGTACACACCTGTGCACACAACTTTCTTTTGATAGTTGTGTAGACTAGTAGCTAAAAAAAGGGCTAGGTGGAGCAGACTTTCAGCGAATGGAATTCTGTTACGGAACTCCCATTAAATGGAACACGTTTTCCTGGTCACTTCAGGTCCTGTTTAATGAGTCTACTGTGCATGTAAATCTAAATGAATTGAACCTCCTGCAAATTACATGCATCTTTAACTTAATTTTCTGTGTACTGCCGCGTATGATCGCTTTGCTGAACGCACCACTGTGTTCAATGAGTTGTTCAATGTTCCTCTTTACGATAGCCACATCAACAGTGCTACAGTCGAACCCCTTTATAAGAGACACTCATGTCAGAGACAAATGGTTATAAAAGGCACCAGTGTGCCTGTTGTAAAGTAGAGGTTCAAAGAAAAATGCATGCTTGGTAGCCTGCTCGAAAGAGACATCTCGTATAAAAGACAAGAATGGATGCCTACATCATGCCTCTTATAAAGTGGTTCAACTGTATGTTTTCTTTGCTGGGAATGAATGTAACATAAAAGAAACTGTCACTGTATTTCTAGCCCGAGATTTGATTCCATTTATGCAAAGACAGAATGTGTGTCACTTCAAAATGAGCATTTAATTACCCTTTAATAAAGATTACGATTAATTACTAAATCAATACACAAAACAATGTGTTACTACATAATTTTTCTTACACTAGAATGCCCACTGCTCGGGAAAAATGCAGTTTAAATTTATGAACCCATTTATGGAAAGTTTTTTATAAGTCACGCCTGAAAAATTATTTATGATTTTGTAAGTCGCACCATAATCAGCCGCAAAGTAACACTCATTTCAGTTTTTCTGCAGCTTGATACTGGGCTACTTTGTAATAAGGCTACTTTATGATTGACATGTTGACTTCAAGTTTCTGATTGAGAGAATAGAAGGGTAAGCTTGGACAGCCCTAACCTGCTGGTGTGGGATTTGACGCAGCGGGTAAGGGCGTAGAAGAGGCGGCAGAGAACCGCAACTACCTGGCGTTGCGCATGACGGAGGAGATCAACGAGATCATCCGCGTGCTCCAGCTCACCACCTACGACGAGGAGGAGTGGGACGCTGACAATCTCACCGTCATGAAGAAGGCACAAGTGCGTGGGTTTGGCTTTTTTAAGCGACTGTTGTACACTGCAATGTCGTTACAACAAAGTTGCATCTTACACGAAATAAAGTTTGTTATATCCAAACATTTGTTGTGAAGGTATACTTCTAACATTGTCTACTGAAAAACTATTTTTTATTTACTTTGTTTTAACCGATATTTTTTTATATCTGTGTTCGTTATATCATGGTCTGAGTGCACACTCAAACCTTGACATAATGAACCCACATATAACGAAGTAAATGAAAAGTAGTCTTGCTATAGATATTGTGTTAGGAATATACCTTTATAATGAATTTTTAGATATAGCAAACTTATTTTCATGTTAGATGCAACATTATTGTAATGAGGTTGGTCTGTATTGTATTTTTCTTTTCACATCTGGATATTATTCGTTTAAAAAATTAGCTGTTATACTCAAGTCTGTTACGGCCTTGGTCGTTAAGAATGAAATTTGCTATGTGAGATTACAATGATATACAGATTTTTATGGTGCATGGGCCAGGTATGGAAAAAGTGTGCCAAATCATGATATAGACTATTTAGACATTTGGGTGCTGCCATCAGGGGCTGTGAAGGCGATGTTTTCTTGTTTTCATATATCGCGATGGAAATGAAAAAAAAGCCATGAAACATGATATACACCAACCCAATAGTTTTCGTGTGTATGCGTCTGCCGTAACCCTGTTCATTTAGTTGTTAAAAGATGGTAAACACAAAGGTTAGGAGCCCAATATGGATAGGCGACATGCCTAAGATTCAGGACCCTAAGGGTGTGTAAAAGTGGAATTCCTTAAAAAATGCAAGAGTGATATAAAACATGTGTGGTATAAATGAATGACAAGTGACCATGATGTTAAAATATGGGACTGTGGCATTCGCGTAAATGCTTGGTCGTCACCCTAGAGTCCAAGGACTGAGAGGCCAGTGCTTTCAGAAATGTAACTGCCCCAGCAGCAACTTCCGCTGAGAGGCCATGCTACAGATTGCCTGGGCATGCAGGCCGTGTTATGTATTGTCTGGGCACGTAACATGGAAAGTATGTACATTTAGAAAAAATGCTAATAGTGTTTCATGTCTGATAAGAGGTTCCCTAACAATGCACATTGAAGGACGAAGCGATACTCGTTTCTGGCATAAAAATGGAAGATGTGCAAGTTGTATGGGCGGACTTAACTTAGTAACAAAGATGGTTTATCACATCAGAAGTTGTATATTGTATGCGAATTTCCTATGACAAGTGTGGACATGTACTATGTGTAATTTGGGACTGGTGTAAGTGCTGTGAAGTGTGGTTGTAGTTAACCTTGGAATCCTGTCATTCGTTCAGGCAGTCGATTACTGTTGTTGAGTATAAATAATCTTTCTGTGAGTTTATCCCTGCCCGGAACTGATTGTTGTCTAAAAGGGGCACTGTCACGAGTTTGCAACGAGTTTTTTCGACAGCCATTGTCACTGTGAGAGAATGTTGCTTCCACCAAGCGACTGCTCTCATTCATCCAGACGAGAGTGAAAGTGATTGCATGCCTTGTCTTCTGCGTTCTCAGAATGCTATTGCAGGCAAGATACAGTCGGCGCATGATTGGTTGGAGGATCCCATGGCCGTGACTGGTGGAGTGGGTGAGAAGTCTCTGCGACACATCCTCGATTATGCCAAGCGGGTCGCCGACCGATCCTTGCCTGCCGATGGTGACGCTATCCGCAAGCTCTGTGGAGACCTCGAGTCGATGACGAATGCCCTGTGTGAATTGCGCCAGGATGGCAAGGTTAGTGTTCTGGTCGTTTCTGTGCTTTTCTTTGAATGTCTGTGTCGGGAAGGCTTTCGCGAATATTCGAATATTTCAAATATTTGAACCAATAATGCAGTATTCGAATTCACTTCGTATTCAATTTAAATTATTGAAAATTTAGAAGCATTCGAAACGAACAAACAAATGCGTGTTAATCAGTGTACGTTTTGTAAAGTTGGTTTCACTGCATTGGAAGGCTGTTAAGCAGTAAAAGCACCTTGTCAAGTGTATAATAATTTCATATAATGTTTTGTTAAAATGGTTTCACTGCAGTGAAATGATGCTAAGTCATGAAAAAACATATTAAGGGTAAATCTGCACTGCCGCGAAACCTCACCTTAAGGCTAAACCATTCGCTTCCGCACTCTCCACTGCCGTCTTCGCCTAGTATTCTGCCAGAAAATTTTCGCGCCTGCTGGCAGCATGGGTTGGCAGGCCTAAGCCGCAGTAAAATGCGCAACAAACGTTATAGAATGACAAGCTTTGTTTTGTTCGCTTAACAATGCTTGGCTGCATCAGATGCGTCTGTGTGGTTTTTGTGAAAAAGTTCAAAGCACACTGGCATGTGAAGAATAACTTCGCATTTTTTACAATCCCAACGGCTCTCAGACTTTTTGCCCTGTGCCTTTCACACGAAGAAAAGTCTTGATGGATTCTGCTTGACTTTGTTTACCAGGATGTGGCGAGCGAAATGAGCCCATTCGACGGCCTGGAGGCACGTTGGTGACGTTGCGACAAGCGGATTTCTTTCGTGTCTTTTTCGCAATGCCATGTTTCGAAAAAGTCAGAATAGTGCACTCTTCCAAAAGGACTTGTTTTTGGGCTAGTTGGTACATACTTGGTGCAGAAGACTGAGGCGCAAAAAATAAAACGTGGAGCAGGAGAGAAGACAGAACAGCGCGAACTACCAACTGTTTAATGACCGTCTAGGAAACGCACTGGAAAGAAGACAAAACCCCGCATGCGTGCACAGCCAACAAACATCGCACAGCGTCATGAGCAAGGCACTAAGTTATCCAAAAAATGCATTTCTGTTGCGTACAACACAATAGATGTATCACTGATAAAAGCGGGCCCTTTCTTTTTGATAAAATAGACTTCCAAGAGCTCTCTAGCTGTTTGTTTTTTGCTCCCACCAAGAATCACCGTTTTTCAAACAATGGCACCATCCGCAGGCTTTACAGTGCGCTGGACGATACGCATGCTCACTTTTGCCTAAACCATTGGCATGCTTCCTCAGTCTGTCATTAATGCAACGCCCTGTTTGACCGATATAGAACTTGCCACAGCCTACGGGAGTCCCATATACCACGCCTTGTGTGCAGCGCCTAAAAAGTCTTGTGTGCTGCTTCTTCCAGTGGTTTTGTCTTCTTTCCAGTGCGTTTCCTAGACGGTCATTAAACAGTTGGTAGTTGGCGCTGTTCTGTCTTCTCACCTGCTCTTCCTGCTTCACGTTATGTTTTTTGCGCCTCAGTCTTCTGCACCAAGTGCACTTTTTGCCACTAAAGAAATAAGAAAGCACACTTGCACACAGCTAAAAGACACGGACAATGAAGTCCATCCAGCGGATAACAAGGCAAGCAAAAGGCAAAATCAAAATACCATGCTGCCATCTACGAAAGAATGTCAAAAATAAACATTTTTTAGGCAGCCAGTGATTCGCTGGTCAAAATGCTTTTGGACTGGCCTTATTTACTCGATTGGCTTTAGCCAATGGAGCAAGTAAGGATATTACCCTCAAATCGATTCATTTTTCAAGTTTAAATGCGTGTTATGCCGATTTATGGGCTCCAAGTATAGAAAATTTTAAAACATAACATATTTTACAGGCTATCACTTGCATTCAAGCGAAAGGCAACTCTTGCTACAAATCAAGGTTTTTCCACTTCCTTTGATGCAAAAAAAAAAAGGCATCTACACATGTGTCATTTAAACTTTTTAAAAACATTGTGCAGGCCAGTTAGATCATGACAATTATGCCCATGTTTCTTAATAGTATGCATTAAATATATTGCCACGTTCCATTTCCCAAGTTTTGCTATCGTGCTAAAACACTACACAATTCTCAGCCCAAACTGTGCCTACATTTTTCGAGAAGCTTCCGGGCTGTATTAGATCATTTCGATAAGATCACGCCTACTCTGCGAACTGTACAGATTGTTCTGGAACCTACGCCACCGCCAGCGATAACGCTAGAACATTCGACGGCAAGAGTATAAATGCCGTCGCGCTTCGCCGCTTGTCAGTTGTTGATCGAAGGCTGACGCTCCGTTCGCCGCTATCAGTCCGAGACTGCTATCTGTGCAAGACTGCTGCTTTAGTTGGGCTTTCCATTTACCGGGCACAGGTTCGCCCAAATAAACAGGTAAATCCCAACACGAAGTCTCCTGTCTTCAACCATGTCATGACCCCGTGACATCTGTTGGAGGTGCTGGGTAGAACCGGCGTTGACATGGTCGCCGTGGTCGACGTCAACGTCTTGGTTTTCCGAGCCTTGTCCAGTAAAAGCCCGTACTTCGGTGGCAGACCTTGTTGCCTGCGGCTAACTCGCTGCTTGTTGCTGGCGTCGGTGTCTTCACGGCGTGGGCTGGGTTCACGGCTTGACGGAGGCGTCTGGTACATGGAAGAAACAGCACCTCCACCTGATGTCATCTGGTGGAGGTGCTGTTCGACGAGCATCTTCGGCGCCTTGAAGCTGTACTTCAAGCCATCAAGACGTCCGGACTCACACTGAAGCCAGAAAAGTGCAGATTTGCGTATGAGGAGCTCTTGTTTCTGGGGCACATTATCAGCAAGTCTGGAGTTCGTCCCGATCCACTTAAAACAGCCGCCATCGCCGACTTCCCGCCGCCCACTGACAAGAAGTCCGTGCGCCGATTTCTGGGCCTGTGCGCCTATTATAGGCGGTTCGTGAAAAACTTCGCCCACATCACTGATCCTCTCACTAACCTTACTAAGGCCGACGTGGAGTTCAAGTGGGAAACGCCACAGGAACACGCTTTCCAGGACCTTAAACATCGCCTCCAGACGCCTCCGTTACTTGCCCATTTCGACGAATTCGCCGAGACAGAAATACATACTGACGCAAGCAGCGTAGGTCTTGGCGCCGTTCTTGTGCAGAGGGCTGACGGACTTGAAAGGGTTATTAGTTATGCCAGCCGATCGCTATCCAAAGCAGAAGCAAATTATTCCACAACAGAAAAGGAGTGCCTCGCCATCATCTGGGCTACGTCGAAATTTCTCCCCTTCCTCTACGGCAGGCCCTTCAAAGTTGTGAGCGACCACCACGCCATGTGTTGGCTAGCCACCTTGAAGGACCCTTCAGGTAGCCTCGCACGATGGAGCCTGAGACTTCAAGAATATGTCATTACTGTCATTTACAAGTCCGGCAAAAAACACTCCGACGCCGACTGTCTCTCTCGTGCGCCTGTCGACCAACCGCTACCCGACGACCCGGATGACGACTACTTCTTGGGAACGATAACTACGGACGACTTCGCTGAACGACAGCGGGCCGACCCGGAACTTAAGGCCCTAATAGAATACCTTGAAGGCAGGACCGCCGAAGTCCCGAAGGTATTCAAGCGTGCACTTGCGTCGTTCTTTCTACGAAACGGTCTTCTAGAAAAAAAAAAAAAAAACTTTTCACCGCTTCGAGCTAAGTACCTCCTTGTGGTGCCTTCAGCTCTGCAACCAGAACTCCTGTAGGCCCTGCACGACGATCCGACGGCAGGGCACCTCGGTGTTTCTCGCACGCTCGCGAGAATACAAGAAAGGTACTACTGGCCACGTCTTACCACCGACGTCACTCGTTATGTGAGGACATGCTGGGACTGTCAGCGACGCAAGGCACCGCCAACAAGGCCAGCGGGACTTCTGCAGCTAATTGATTCACCTTGCCGACCTTTCCAGCAGATTGGTACGGACCTACTGGGGCCGTTCCCGACGTCGGCTTTTGGAAACAAGTGGATCGTGGTAGCTACCGACTACCTCACCCGCTACGCTGAGACAAAAGCACTGCCAAAAGGCAGTGCATCCGAGGTAGCTAAGTTCTTAGTCGAAAATATCGTCCTACGTCACGGCACCCCGGAGGTCCTTATCACCGACAGAGGAACGGCATTCACTGCCGACTTAACTCAAGCAATTTTGGCATACAGCCAAACAAACCACCGCCGGACGACAGCGTACCACCCACAGACCAACGGTCTCACCGAGCGACATAACGAGACGATCGCCGACATGCTGTCAATGTACGTTTATGTCGAACACAAGACGTGGGACGTCATTCTTTCGTATGTGACCTTGGCATACAACACGGTGGTGCAGGAGACGACGCAGATATCTCGATACAAATTGGTCTACGGAAGGAGCCCGGCAACGACGCTCGATGCCATGTTACCCAACGTCACCGACGAAGAAAACCTCGATGTGAGCGAGTACCTTCAAGGCGCCGAAGAAGCCCGACAACTTGCGCGTCTCCGTATCAAGAATCAACAGACGACCGACAGCCACCGTTACAATCTTCGACGACGCTTCGTGGAATACCAGCCCGGTGAACGTGTTTGGGTGTGGACGCCGATACGCTGACGTGGACTAAGTGAAAAGCTTCTGCGACGGTACTTCGGACCGTACAGGGTGGTTCAACGTCTCGGCCCACTTGATTACGAGGTTGTCCTCGACGGCATCACGAACTCTCAACAACGCCGATCGCGATCTGAAGTCGTCCATGTCGCGCGCCTCAAGCCGTTTCATGCGCGTTAACAAACTGAAACAGTGTTTTTTTGTATTATAAATGTATCATAGTTTATTCATTGTACTTTCTCGCATGATTGTTTTACCTTCATCTTTAGTTAAAGCATCGGGACGATGCTTTTTTCAGAGGGGGGCAATGCCACGTTCCATTTCCCAAGTTTTGCTATCGTCCCAAAACACTACACAATTCTCAGCGCAAACTGCGCCTGCATTTTTCGAGAAGCTTCGGGACTGTATTAGATCATTTCGATAAGATCACGCCTACTCTGCGAACTGTACAGATTGTTCTGGAACCTACGCCACCGCCAGCGATAATGCTAGAACATTCGACGGCAAGAGTATAAATGCCGATGCGCTTCGCCGCTTGTCAGTTGTTGATCGAAGGTCGACGCTCCGTTCGCCGCTATCAGTCCGAGACTGCTATCTGTGCAAGACTGCTGCTGTAGTTGGACTTTCCATTTAGCGGGCACAGGTTCGCCCAAGTAAACAGTTAAATCCCAACACAAAGTCTCCTGTCTTCGGCCACGTCACGACCCCGTGACAATATTATTTGATTTGAAATTGTTTGACCAAAACCACTATTCGTTTCAAATTTGCCTCGAACCCTAACTTTCATTTTTCACACAAGCCTAGTGTCGGGTGTAAGGCACAGAAAGATTTCATGAATGAGCACAAGGTCACAAGTTTGATCCCTTTTGGCAGTGGCTGCATTTCAATGGAGGTGGAGTGCAGGCATTACCATAGCTTCATTTGCATGTAATTTATAGAACACCTGGTTGTTTATATTTGGAGCTGTGCACAGCGACATTCTTCTTATCTGTAGCCTTACATGCTGCTTTTGGACACTAGAATCACTCAGTAAATCAGCAATTAATGCCTGTTTTTTTTTCTTCTCATCAGTTGGGCAGTTTGGGTGATACTTTCAGGAGGCAATTTTTGTTCCTCATTCTTTCTGTGATACTTGTAAAAAAGTAAAAAAAGGTAGGACTGTTTCTTGCTTCAGCTACAGCTATGAAAGTGTGATGTGGTTACTTTCAGTCGTGGTTGTGCCTGAGTGGGGACGGAGTTTCTCATGGCCATTGACCCTCTTTTTGCATTTTGTGCGACTGAGCTGATCAAGAAATTCGACCTCTGTCGTGCTTGGTCACCATTGAAAGGCGCAATGCGTCATTCATATTATGATGAACACCAGATCTTTGCTGTAATGAGTATTTTTTAAATGCATGCTGGAAGCCAGTGTTTCATATTTCAGTATGTGAAAGTGTGCACCAACAGTCGTACCGCTTTGCATCTTTGCATTCTGCAGACCTCGTCTTGAAGTAAATACGAATCACACGGGTTGCTCTTGCTGATTTGTTGAGGAGGCATATACACTCAAATCTCATTAAAACAAATTTGCATTTTAAAGCAAAAATAAGTTTGTCATATTCAAAAATTCGTTGTTAAAGCATATTTCTAGCATCGCATCTATTGCAAGACCATTTTTTATTTATTTTGTTTTAAGCGGTATTTCATTTTATTTAGGTTCGTTTTATCGATGTTTGAGTGTAATTGTTAGGTTCAGGTTGTGAACATTTTTGCGGCATTTAATTGAAATTTCTCTTCACATAGTCTTCAGTGCGTCACTGGGAACTGTGCAATTTCTTTTTTTTTTCTGCACCGCCAGTCACCGAACCTGTCATACCATTTTACAAAACTTGCAGGGGGGGACCTGCCGTGGCATTCTAGTGGTTATGGTGCTGGAATGCTCACCCGATGGTCGTGGGATCGAATCCCGGCTCCATCAAAAATTCAGTTTTGGCTGCATTTTTGATGGAGCCAAAAATGTTTGAGGCCTGTGTACTTGGATATCGGTACACGTTAAAGAACCCCAGGTGGCCGAAATTTATGGAGCCCTTCACTGCAGCGTCTCTCATGATAGTATGGGTGTTTCGGAACGTTAAACCCAAGGTATTATTAAAAACCTGCAGGGTGCATCACCCCAAGCCCAATCACTGGCTCGTGGGGTCGGCCTGAAGCTGCGTGAGTTGAACAACCTGATTGGCCAGGCCATCACCAACGTGGAGCGCAGCGGCATACAGCAGCTGGCGCATACCGTGGGTGGCCGTGTGGAACAGGCGCTCAAGTGGCTGGTCAACCCTGGTGTCTCGGACCGTGGCCTTGGTAGGTTGGCAACGTTCCCTCACTCTGTTAATATCCATATCTGTTTGACAAACCCTCTTAAAGGCGTTTTGAACCGCTTTCTCAAATCATCAATGACCTCAGTTCATACAGCGACTACAGTATTGGAGTCGTAGGGTTGGTTGCGGGCTTCAATTACTTTCTCTCTTCTCATCCCGATAATTGCGCTGGGAGCTACACAGCGGGGATGGCACAAGAGAAAGAAGTTAACGCCGGCATGCATCATTGCTTCGAGCACGTGTGATGTGATACAAGATTGCCCTCTACCCTTGTATATCTTGTGTGCACTAGTGCGACTACAGTTTTATTTTAGCAGGCTATGAAGCTTGGCACAAACATGTGGTGGGACCTCATAGCAAGAAGCTCGTGCAATCCGAGCACCATTCTTGATTCATGTCTACTGTTGACCAAAAGCTTGTCCTTTTTGACAGTGCCAGTCTCGTGTTACAGGAAGGTGCTAACAAGAAGGTGCACATAAGGTTCTGCGAGTTCAATGTAAATTACGACCCAATGCAGAAAGCAGGCTTTAAGTAAGCAAATGTGTGCAGTAACATTAAAAAATAAAGGCACGATTATGAAGTTGCCCTATGGTAGATGTACAGTTTGTGAACGCATACGTTTTCAAGTGCTTAGAGCCTATTAAGAATCAATAAAAACAAGGGAGAGAAAATGGTACTCAGTAAATAAAAATAAAAAGGAAAACACATTTTTGTACTTGAAATATTTACATTAGCACTGCCAGGTGAAGTTGCCTGAACTGTTTTCATTTTGGCATTCATTTGAGATAGTTTGAATGGCATTTATTCAGGTTCCTGCAAATACAGCATTGTTGTAAATTTGCTTGTGTACTATGTGCTGAGAGGTGAAATCAAGCATCTCTTGATAAGTTTGAAGGCTGAGCATGTCGGTTGTAGTGCCTTGGTTGATGGGTTGTGCTACATTGAAGGGACGTAAGATGGAGAAGGCACTTCAGAATGTGTGTGCTTCTTCACTGTGGGCCATCGGTTTTGTGCTACCCAGCATCTACAGTTGAGCCCACATATGACGGCCCCACTTAAAAACGAACAATATCCGTACGACCGTGAAAATATACATTGGTTCAACGGCACAGAATCACACTTACAACGAACGTCTTTGAGCGCTGCTGATCGGTTACAGTGAACGGAGTCAGCACTCTGCCAACTTCCCGGGAAACCACTTTCGACCACCGATCAGGCCGCTCTCCCTGACCGCTTTTTGAGCACCCAGCATCGCCAGACGAGGCCCATGTTTTCACTCTGCCATTAGTCTTTTGAAGACTGGTGAGCCATCTAACCTGTTTTTGATCGCTGGTGCTGTCGTTGACGTCGCTCGCTGGTACTGTCGTTGGTGTCGCTGGCTTGGAGTGACCAGACCATTTGCCAACATCGTCAGCCACCGACTGTATCCGATCGTATGCGTTTAGTGCACATGCACACGCTTCCCTGCCGACTCAGATAATTTGCGATTTGTTTCGTGTTTAGGCTTGTTCTCGCTCACTTCGCACTCGGCTCAGCATGCCCTCCACACGCTTGCGGAAGTGTGAAAACGGCTGTTAATTTGCTCGGAAAGAATCGCGAAACATTGAAGTCGGTGAGGCCACGTTAACCGGCCGAGGCAACAAGACGATTTTTTTACTACGACTGCCGATTCTTTGAACGCCGCTGGGCGCACCAATCCAGGCAGCCGTGCTTTGACTTCTGCGCGTGGAGGCACTCTTTCAAGTTTTTCTACGCGCGTTTTGCGGACCTTTCAAGCAAGCTACCCGACCTACCTCCTTCCCGCGTGTTTTGCTTCTCAAGGTCGCCCTCCCGCCGTGTCCTCCCCTCTCTTCACTCATTCACATCTCCTTGCCCTTCAGTAGCAAATCTGCTTTCCCCTCTTGATCACAACCCCTTCGCCCGTCTCCACCGCTCCGCAATGCCAGCTACGCTGGCTCGAGCTAGTTTCGTTTTCTGACCAGAAACGGGCCCAGACCTGTTCCGCGCATTCTGGCATGTGTGTCACATGTGCGCGTCTTGTTCACTCTTGGTGTGCATGTGTGGTCAGGATGGCAGACGGCAGGTCTTGCATGATTTTTCCTGCTGCTCAACAAAACGTCGAAAGTGTGACCACTTGGCTTGAGCGTAATCCGCACGTTAGGTGCCGTGTTGCGGAGCGCTTGCTCATAGCTGTTGACCACCTGGCGGCCAACTTGCCGCTTCGGGCGTCCTGGTATTCGGTTGGGGAGATGGTGAATATTTCGTGGGCGGCGGTGACGGCTACATGCGCGCGAAACTGTTTTTCCGAGGCCAACTTCGTTGACGTCGGGCTCGATGCCGATCCTGGAGCTTCGGAACAGGATCACTCCGGCAGCGATTTGTGGCAGCGCGTCGTTGACTCAGACCTGGGAGAGCGGGTGGGACATCTGTTGCGATGGTTTAATTACGGCCGATGATGATGCCGACACTGTGGAACCGTGCATGGTTTAGGGCATTGTGAATGAAGTACATGGCGAGAGCGATTTGGAGGAATCGGATTGTAAGAACGACGAAACTTTGGAGCCAGTGCCTCATGCAGCTTATGCCACGGGCCTCGGTGAACGAGCACCCTGTCGTTTTAAATGAACTTGAAACCGCCCTTATTGCTTCTGCTCTTCAAAACACGTGCATGACAGACTTTTTTGGGCAAAAAAAATTTGTTTTCACTCTCACCTTTTTTAAAAGCTGTGTTTCATTTACTACGAACTTCGGGATACAGCGAACGAATTCCGCATCAGGCTTAAATTTGTTATATGAGGGCTCGACTGTACTAATCCTCGTCGGCACCTAGGTAAAAAAAAACTTATAAATGATGTATGAAAGACGTAGCACAAAGAAAACAGTGCTGTATCTGTGCATTTTCTTTCTTGCATAGTGTCCCTCATGCTCTGTTTATCATTTTTAGCCAGTACTCTTTATTGGCTTCTTCATTACTGACTTCCAGAAATCGTCCTCCTGTGGTCTAATTGTTATGGTGCTTGAGTGTCGCCCTTGAGGTTGTGGGATTGAATCTTCACCTCGGCGGCCACATTTTAATGGAGGAAAAATTGATAAGGGATTGTGTGTTTAGATAATAGCTGCACATTAAAGAACCCTAGGGGGTCAAAATTTCCACAGCTCTCTATTGTCAAGCTCCTCGTAATTGTGTTGTGGTTTTGGGATGCAAGACCACAACAATCATTATATACTTCTACGAAAGCAGTGGAGCCCCATTCTCACTTCTTCATGTTGCTTTGTTCCTCCTAACAGGTGAGCATGCCATCCAGCTGACAGTAGAGGAAGGGCGGAGGACCGCGGAAAGCTGCCCGATGCCGCAGCGGGCCGAGATAGTCCAACTGTGCAACGAGATCGACTCGCTCACGCGCAAGCTCAAGGACCTGTGCAGGCGAGGCCAGGTGTGTGTGGGCGTGCAGTTTAACTTGTCTTGGTAGAGTGCAGCATTGAGTGGGTTTGCAAACATTCGTATTTGGCAAAACATGTACAAAATGGCAATGAAAGGGGTGAACTTCAACTGCATGGCAGTCACGTTGGTGGCTACCATGCACTTTGCCGTACACTGAAACCTGATTATAACAAGGTTGCATCTTACGCGAAAATGCGTTCTATATATCCAAAAATTCGTTATCAAGGTATATTCCTAACACTATAATAATTGCAAGACTGTTCATCATTTATTTCATTATAACTGATATTTTGTTATATCCAAGTTCGTTAAATCGAGGTTCGAATGTACTTTAGTGCTGTGAAGCGCGAGGGCACATGTTCTACTTCTGGCGATGGCTAACGCATATTGAAGGAGCGAAAATTCTAAGAACAGTCATGAACTTGGATGTAGTTGTATGTTGATTGATTCCAGGTGGGTCAGGTAAATCCAGTGTCCACATGGCACAGGGGTCTACTTCATAATCATGTCTTCACTTCGAGATGGAAAACCTTTTTGATTTTACTGCACAGGCAGTTTACGGTTCGTCTTCCTAATTTTCGTCTCCACTTTAATTTTGTCCTCAAATATGCATTCAAATATGGCTGAATAGTTTGTATGGCCACTGGTCAGTAACGAACTTGTTCAGAGATGCTTATGAAGATGACGGTGTGATGCGTTTGCGTGAATGGAAAGATGTAGGGAATGTAGAGGAGTTATTGCAGTGAAGAGGCTGGTGACTTTGGCAGATTTCCAAAGTGAATGTCAAGTTCGGCCTTTTAAGTGAAGCACTCATGTAGTAATTTCTGCCTTTCTCTCTTCTTTCCTTCATTCCCAACTTGGACTCTTTATTAAAATAGACTACTTTTTTCGTGTTTTGTTGTCTCCTTAGTCCTACTCTTGAACACTTTCTTTGCTGACCAATCTGCACAGCACTGCTGTTAAATGTGTGAGGGTGCACGAAGAACATTGAAGGGACGAACACTGTGTAAAAGATGACAGAAAGGTAGCTAGCGGCAGAAAGAGCAGTGTCCTATGTGCATCTGAGTGCGGAGTGCCCTCTGTTTCACTGGGCACGAGAGCACATTGATGGATGGACTCTGTGAATACATTCACTTCAACATAGCGGGGCAAACGAGGAATGGAGGTTGAGCGAACCCAGCTAACGTGTTTATCTTCGTTGATTTTTGTACCATTGTTTTTTGTTCACGATGAACAGGGCAACAGTCCAGAGGCACTGCAGACTGCTCGTCTCATCTCGTCCAAGCTGCTCGAACTGAAGCACAAGATCCAGAAGGCTCTCGTCAACAGGGTAAGCACTAGTTATGTACCTCCAAGCACTGCATTATCCTTAGTGAGTGCAGCACGGAATCAGCGCGTTCTTTGTTCGCACTCAGCACAAGACACTTTGTCACTTTATAGAGCTGTCGGCAAGTCGGTTGGGGAGATAGCAAGGTTTATGGTTGATGAGAATGCAAGTACATGATGTTCACTAGCAGAAAAAGTAAGCAGCATTCTGTATGGTCATATAGAATGCTGCTGCAGTGGTTGCTGATTCAACTGTTCCGGTTGTTGAGAAGTGGCAGCGTGTGAGAAATAATCGTAAGGCAGTACAAACATGCACTAGAAGTTTATTGCAACTTTGGTGTTAGTTTTTAGTTACACACAGCCAATATTTTAGTCATGTGTTGGTTTCAAGAGCCTTTGTTTCGGTGCTGAAGTGTTTTACCATGTCGGTGACATCACAAAAGGTAAGTTATTCATTTCTACCTACTGAAACATGTTTGTTTCATTTTTTCTTCTTGCACAAAAAGGTAGACTAACTTAGACAAATAGAACTTATTTTAATTGGGTACTTATCATACGCTGCGCTGCCACTAATTCTTAGCTTTTGAAGCAGTTGTGCTTCAAAAACTAAGTAGTGGCAGCGCAACTGACTTTCGATTGCAAACTGGTCTTCTTAAGTTCAAACATTGTATGCCTCAGGCGTGACTCCAGAGCAGTGCTGCTACAGGCTTACATTTGGGTGCAGTAATCACGCTAACGATGTTGCGTGCAGGTGGTCGAGGATTTCATTGACATCACCACTCCGTTGAAGATGTTCACTGAAGCTGTGCACGCTCCCGAGGGTAAGGCCCTGTTGCATGCTTCTGCTGGTAGTGTTGGTCGTGTAAACGGTGCACCTGTATAGTTAGCGTTAACATTGTAAACATAAGTATTGTTGAGATCTCCCTCCTTCCCCAGTGTTGGATAGCAAACCGAAGATCTGTCGTCAGTTATCCGTTCCTGCTTTTCGAGCCTTGCCTGTCTCTTTCCTTCTATAGCTTTTTGTCACATGCTTTCACCTCTCAAAGGCACGCCCAACAGAGAAGCCAACTTCCAAGACAAGGCTCGCAACCTGACCGAGTTCTCGCAGAAGGCAGCCCGCACGGCACGGAACGTTGCTCTCGGAGGCGCGTCGAACAAGAAGCTTGCCGAGGCACTCTTGTCTTCGGCGGCTCAGGTGAGGCGTCTTTGGAATCACAGGCGCTTGTTGGTTTACTAGCAGTTGTTTACCGTAAGTCACTGCTGGCTCTTGATAATAGAATTAACTTATGAACGGTAGTGAGATCTGTTTGATGCAATTCTTTGAAGGTTGCCAAGACCCTTGCTATTGGCTTGAGGGTTGCTACTGGGTCTTCTTGTGCACTAGCTACTATGTTTTCTCTGACCTTCCATTTTGACGAGCAGCTGGCACACATGACCGAAATATCGACAAGTTTAGTTTTTATATGGCGATAAATGAACGGAGTCATGGAAATGTTTGAGTAGCGGCATACACATGCAAGTTTACTTCATAATTCACGTGCATTGACGGATTTTGTGGGCTTTCGATTTATTTGGGAAGGGGGGGGGGAAACAGCAAGACAAATTTTAGCACGAAATACGCTCAATTCTGCGGTTGAGACATTCTACAACTTAATTTCCACTTTAGCGATTCAAATAATAATTAAAAAGTTGACAAACTAAATGTAATCAGTAAGTTATGATTCAGTTATGAAGAAAGTGCTGGTGGTAAGTTTATACATGACTACCAATAATGTGCTGCTGTCGTCATTAGTTTAGCTCTTGGTTGTAAAAAAATCTTAGAGAGACTGTGTACATACAAGCTGTAAAAAATTGTGGGTTTTAGTCAGCACTTATTATGCCTATCATTAAAGAGTATTATATTGTAGTCGCACACAATGCATCAATTTTGTCCTCTTCTAATCTGTCGTTGCATGCAGCTTACAGAAATTAAATATGTGATATCTCATTGTGTATCCAGTGTAGTCAAAATCAGTGGTGGATGGTTAGGCAGGGGTTCCTCTGACACTATTCTTTGTCTTTTCAGGTGGAGAGTTTGACTCCGCAGTTAGTCAATGCTGGTCGTATACGGATGACCTACCCGGACAACAAGGTACCTGTGTGATGTTTGATGTTTATATTAGAGATATTATATTATATTATCATATTATAAGTTTTTTATGAACTAATTACTAAGTTGCATTGTTAAGCCTGTGTTCTTTACAAAATCTGTCTGCTGAATTGAAGTGATGCACAAATACTTGAATTGGGACTGACATCTACTGTCAAAAAGATGTTTAGCAGCAACGAGAGATTTTATACAAGTTGGCACAGCTAGAGATGGCGCACAGCAGATGTCGGCTCCGTTTTGCCAACATCGTGGCCATTTTCGCTGCAAATATCGTTGCAATTTCTTGTTCGTACGAGATTACTGCAGTAAAGGGTTCAAGCGGCAGTTACGGTAACAAAAGTTGAGGCTTGCGATCGTCAGGGGTCAGTTCTGAAGTGCTGTCAAATACAAAATTCAAGCTAAGCTAGTGAGCGATAATTTCACTGCCTTGGCTCTCTATCACTGGCAACGAGTCTGCTGTAGATGCCAGAGATGCCAGAGCTATGGCACGATGGCTAATCCTAAGTGTGTGAACGGCAAACAGCACATGAGGAGTTGATGCAGTTCTAACAGTGACCCATTTACTCTGGTGTATTTGAAGATTGGTTAATTTTTGCTCAGTCATCAGGCTCATGCTTGTCCTTGCACCTGTACCAATGGGTCTGTGTGCGTCTGCTCGGCACCAGCTGTCGAAATAAAAGATTGGAGGGGACCTTAATTCTTGACACTGCTGTCTAGTAGTGGCGCTTGCGCCTCTCTATTCGTCCGCACTGGGGTACTTCTTGGCTTAACTTTCTGTTTCGCTGCACTGCTAAAGTTGATATTGAAGACCACGCAGAGTGGAGTGCGTGGTTGATATCTGCACCACCGCATGCTGCAATGTTTTGAGCTGCTCACAAGAGAACAGGCTTCTCTTTCAGTAAACTCATTTAATTTTTGTTAATTATCGAAACTGTTAATTGACCCTTATCTCAAAGAAGTCATGAAACGTTGCCCGACAACTTTCAGCTATGCATGTTCATTCGGAATCCTGGCCATCCATTCAATGCTATTAGGCTTGTGCGAATAGTAAATTTTAGGTTCAAAGCAAATTTGAAACTAGTAGCGATTTGGTATGAATAATTTTGAATCGAATTCGAAAAGCATATAAATAATATATTAAAAAGAAAACTGCGCATATTTTTCATAACCCAACTAACCAGAACAATATATTTTGTATTGAAAAATTTGGTTCAAAGAAAGTAGAAGCAACTTTGAACAGCAGCAGGATTTGAATTTTAGTAGAATGCAAGTTATAACCTGTAAAATATGTTACGTTTTACAATTTGCGATGCTTTTACAATTTACTACAATTTATTATACTGCATAGCCATCATAACAAGCTTTTAAACATAAAGGAATTATTGATGAACTTTGAAGTGGGACGATAATGACGATAGTTATAGCGCAAGAACAAAACGACGACACAGAGACAAGGACAGAAAGACACGAGTGGGGCTTTGTAGCAGTGCAAAATTTTTTGAACAGGTGTATTCACGGTAGAACATCTGTTAACTGCAGTGAAACCACTTTTACAGGGGCCTACACGTGGACATTTGTTTCATGTGAACACGTCGAAATTTTCAATAGTTTAAATTTGAATCTAAGCGAACTTGAATTCGGTAATATTTTTTCAAATAATCACTCAAGCCTTCATACTATACCTTTATTGGTTTTATCATCCGCGTACATTAACAGATTTTAGAGCACAATTTTGGTTTGCGAGGCCATGTTTCCCTCAACTCAACAGTTTGTGTCATTTAAGTGAGTCAATGAAAAATGTTTGTTGTTGAAATATCATGGCAGTGCAGCGAGTCCTGCTGTGTCATACTCGACTAAGGTTTGGCGCATCATACCGTTCGGACTGCAAAGTGGTGAAGACATTATGTGCACAAATCGGGCTGACCATTCGACGTTAATGCATGATGGCTCAATCGCTATACCAAAATGAGCCTTTGCTGCGTACGTCCATGTGTATCACCCCGAACCGAAAAGTCCTAGATTAGTGTGCCATCTGTCGGGAACTTCTAGAAGTCGGTGCAAGCACCGTTCAGACACTTCTCGCATTCCTTTGCCAGGCTGAAAACGTAACCAGCTTTTGGACTTTGAGCGCTACTGTGATCCAAAAAACTGCTGTAATATTTTACTACTTCCTAGTTTCAATGTACTATTTTAGAGCAAGTGAAGATTAACTATACGCCTAAGATTTCAAAGAACTTGGAATGACATCACCTTGCCAGTGCCTATGGCGGCCTGTGGTGATGCATTGTTATTTGAGAATTGCAAGAATTCTTGGATTTCAAATGAGCATTACTCAATATAGGCTGCATAGTCATGCAGCCTTTATTGATTCATGGTTACTTGCATGATTCATTACATTGCTGCCCAACAACTACAAACAGAGTTTGTTCTTGTTCTACAACAACTGAAGTTCTTATTTCATGTTTGACAGGACCCGCCTCTGTGGTCTAGTGGTTTTGGTACTCGGCTGCTGACTCACAGGTTGCGGGACCGAATCCCGACCATGGCAGTCATATTTCGATGGAGGCGAAAATGCTTGAGCTTGTGTGCTTAGGCTTAGGTTCCTTGAGGCCTGTGTGCTTAGGCATAAGTTTACGCTAAAGAACCCCAGGTGGTCAAACTTTCCAGAGCTCTCCGCTACGACATCTCTAATAATCATCATATGGTGGTTTTGCAATGTTAAACCACAACAATTATTATTATTATTATTATTATTATTATTGGAGAGATCCCTGGGTGCACTTTTGTTGTTTTTAGGCTGCAGACGAGCACTTTGAGAACCTGCACAAGCAGTACTCGGAAAGCATGATGCACATGCGGAACCTGGCTGACGAGGCCACCGACACTGCGAGCTTCGTCAAGGTCACAGGTGAGTCTGGCTGCTCGCATTATCAAAACGTTGCCACTCCCAGTATAACAGCGTCATGACAGATGCGGAATATCAGAACGGAGACACCAATTCTCGCACAAAACAGCTGACATTGGATCAATACATTTTTAGTCGTTAAATAAGAGAACCTCTTCATGGCAACATCTAGTCATGAACAAGCGCGTTGCTTTAGTGTGCTTTATATGAAATACTTGTGGGGTTCAAATATTTATATATTTCATTCAACAACTACATTGCTCTTGTGTGCTTGTTATGGAATACTTGCACGCTTCAAATATTTATTTATATCGCATTCACATTGAACAAGCGCAAATGCTTCAGTGATTTCCTGTTTAAATGAAAACAGTAGTACTCATGAAGTATGTTTCTGGTGCAGTAACAATTTTCTTTCAATAGAGGGTAATAACTATTATAGAGGATTCACGCTTCAACGCCATGATTTGATTGCGAGGGACGCCATAGTGAAGAAATCCTGTCAAATTTTTACCATCAGGGCTGTTTAACATGCACCTACATCTGAGCATGCGGAGGTTCGTGGCATTTCTTTCTCACGGGGAAGTATTTTGATGAAGGAATAGCACACTGGCTTGCATTTTTTTTTCTTTGCCTCGAGCAATACTGTGAACAGACGATAATACTTGTGCGCATTAATGGAACTATCTGTGTTGACGACGTTCACGCCCTGCACAAGGCATTTTCGTGTTGATGAATCCTTAAACCTGGTAAAATTATGCCCTTTATTCTGAAATAAAAACTTTTCTTTGCGCTTTAAGTGTTACTCACACCGCATGGAACTAAAACATTGGGAAGGCAGAGGAATTTGAATTCACCAGCACCGCTCTCTCGGTACGCTGGCCGCGGCGCCATCTGACGGCTCGCAGCACAGCGCGCCCGCAAGACCGAACATCACCTGAACGCTCAGGCGCACTCAGCGTCAGCACCTGGTTATTCTTACACCATGCTCTAAACAAATTTACTGTTTCACTTTGACATCCCTTCTAAGAACCATATGCGGTCAGTACTTACAGATAGTCTCTCACTATAGCATGCCTTATAACTTTGCTGCAGTTTTAGTGCAGGAAAACCAAGAAAGGAAAAATATATTTTTTATTCGTATGCACAGAGGACATGATCCTGAAGCACACTGAGCTGTGCGAGGACGCTATGGCTCGTCAGCTTCCCCAGCAGATGGTGGACAACACATCCAGCATTGCCCGGCTCGCCAACCGGGTCCTTATGGTCGCCAAGCAGGAGTCGGACAATTCCGAGGACCCCATCTTTATTGGCCGTGTCAACCAGGCTGCCGACAGCCTTCAAGGCAGTGAGTGGGCGATTTCGTGTTGGCAGTGCTTGTGTCAAGTACTGCATCTGCTTGAACACAACGCAACTGCAGCTTTAGCATGAGGGGGGATTTTTCATTTACTGGGGTATACCGTAAAAATTGCACAATAGGTCGGACCGGAATATAGGTCGGCCTTCTAAACTCTGAATCTCCGATAAAGAAATCTTTAAAAATTGCAAAGTATTGCAGCACACCCTTACCTTGGTAAATACATAACACAACCAGCTGCAATGTGGTGACATTTATTTTTATTGGGACACCATTTTGAACTAGTTGAATGCCAGAAGGTCACAAAGTGCTGTTACTCAGACTTGTCCAAACCTGAGCCCGACGACGTCTGTTTTTCACTAGTAACATCCCAGAGTGCATCGTCCTCCGTTCCATCCAATGCGTTACTGTTGCAGCATTTGCAGATAGACAGAAGTATCCGTCTCAGCGCAAAGCCCTTACACTTCATAAATCTCTGCACCCATGACGGCGATCTTTTGAATTGCACCCTCGTGAGCCCAGAGTCGAGCATTATCTCGAGAGCTTTCACGAGGACGCACTTTGCTGTTATGGGTAGCGATCTTGCGCACAGCTTCTGGATGAATTCGGCGAGTTGCGTTTCCAGTTCGGAGTGCACTGTAGTCCGTCCATGAAGCGATGTTTTTTTTTTGGTTGCTGTAGGATGTAATACGCTGCTTTTGGCTCCCCCAGTATCGTACGCTTTTCACCAATGCACTGAATTCCCATTATGCTGCCAGGTTCCTGTGAGCTTCGGCATAACCGATAACTTTTTCTTAAAGCTATCGTAAACTGCCGTCGACTACCACTCATTTGTGAAGGAAATAAAGAAAAGAAAATAGCAGACTGACAGCAGATATCAGAGGCAAGATGGCGTTGCTAGAACACTGTAGGCCTTGCCCACCGGCGCCGCTGCTGATGCTCACTATGGCTATAGAGGCTTACGGCTTCAGCTGCTTATTGTTGCAAGACTTTTGCCTTTTTTTCTGCCAATGACCGGTAATAAGACGAGGGTCGACTTTTTATTGCATTTTTTTAAAAGTTTGACCTATATTCTGGTTTTTATGTTATTTATAATGAAACCATGAATAAACCGGAGATGCACGAATTGAAAGAAATTTGTTTGTACGACACTTCTTAACCTTGTTCCCCTCCCCCTTTTATCGGGCCCTTAAGAAAACAATTCATGATGATGATGATGATGCATGCCTGAATGCAGTTGCTCCTGAATGAACTTCTATTTCACGTCGTAGAGATCCTTCTATATTGTGCGCTTGTTAAAAGTGGCACAACTATCTCATTTCGGAGGCTGGGCTAGTCCACGATGTCACACAGAGCCCCTCCTTGTAGTGGCAGTAGTAGTAGGAAACTTCATTTCTTGTTGTGCTAGTGAACTAAAAAATGGAGCCCTCAGTCCATGCCCCATTGGGTGCTCTCTGGCTGGCCTGGTCAATCAGTCTTTGCTGGTTGTCCAGGGCTGTACTGGAAAGGGGTGCCTCTCACTGGAAGGGATTTAGTATTCTGAGTACGCCGGGCTGTTTAGGGTGTTCCCACATGGGAAGGTACAAGCTGGTGTGTCGTCCACAGAAGGAGCATCGGTTAGGATGCTGTGTAGCGTAGAAAGTGTGGGAGAGTGCAGTGTTGGAGAGCGTACTAGTTGGGAGCTGGAGCCAAGCAGCAGCATTTGTACAAGTCAGTTTTGCATGTGATGGAGGGAAGGTTCTGCGGGACAGTCAGTCAACGTTAACGTGCAGCCGTAGCGTGACCTACTTGGCACCGATCCAACACCTGCGACAAGGGGAACGCATTGGGGTACGTTCTTACAGACACGCGTATGTATGGTGTTACACACATGAGCCAAAGAGTTGCTTCGCATCTAAAATTAAGGGGAGATGCTACACGAAAAACGATTTTCCTTAATAAGAGTCTGAATTTAACACAAATTGGCATGCTAATAGAGTTTTTCCTCCTCTTTTCAAATATGTCATTTATTTTCATGTAGATTTCTTGGTTTTCTTTCTGCAGGTCAGATACTGCAAAATTATGGCCATTGTTATGCAACAATTCTGACCTATAAAAATTTGAGATAAAGCATGCAGATATAGCTGACTATGATCCTTTGGAACTGTAGAGTGCAAAAAACTATATAAATTTTGTGTGTAAAAAGGTGAAATACAATAATAAAATAGAAAAATTTACTATGGCTCTAGTTGCCAAGGGCTTTCAATGTTATGTAATTTTTGAAAAACATAATCAAGCAGCACTGACAATCTGAATAGATACTTGCACTCTATGGGCCTTCATCATGCTATGTGCAAAATTTCATTGAGGTATGACAATTCTAAGTATACGAACTAGCGTGTATAAGAAGCACAGATCACACAAAACTGCAAAAGGAGAAAAACGCATTTGAAAGTTTGAAACCTTTTTTTTTTATCACAGAGTTGTTAAAAATGCATAATCTTTGGCCATAATGTTCAACAGAACTTTCAAAAGCACTGCAAGTTACTAGAACTGTCCTGCAGCATAGGTTGTGCCCTCACGGTCCTTGCGAGCACTCTCTTCTAGCCGTGCCCTTTTCACTCCACGACGACGGTGGGCCCTTGCTTCTGCTGTCAGACGCTCGGACATTCTCTTGATGCGCCTCGCATCGTGGGAATCACTGAAAGTAACTAGATCTCTAGATGGCAGTATGTTGAGCTCTTCCAGGATGTGCTCGAAAGTAGCATGACCCTTGTTGAACCACAGGATTGCCATAGCTGCGGCAGTCTCGTCAACCGTTCAGGAGACAAACTTAGTCTTGGGGCAAAGTAGCCAAATTTTGCTGTTCAGGGATTCCGATGCGTTCTGGGTTTTCCCTTTGATGCATCGAGCAAGGAGCTTCTCATCCGTTAGCCGCTTATAAATGGGCAAAACAGCCAATCCCTGCGCTTTTGTCAGGAGAGGTGTGTGGCGTGGTGCAGGTTCACCAAGTGCTTCAGCGCGTTGATGTTTGCACCACGACTCTGTTCCTGCAGGGCAAAACTTGTGGCTGCCAGCATTGTCAGTAGAGCATGAGTGGAAGTACGAAGCCCATACTCCAGTGTACATATCCCGTACACTCCCCCTGTTGCTTGTTATGGCAATCTGATGTTTGGAGCTTCTGAATAGCTGGCTCTTTCATTTTCTGCCCTCGTGGTAATGGCACATGCAGCTTCCGTAGCGCGGTGCCAAGTCTCTTGGCCACATGATTAGTGCAGTCTTCTTTTTCTATATTGACAGCACCATAGACTTTTGACTCTGCAACTGCACTATATGCTTTGCTGTCACAGTCACTCAAGAATGTCATGAAATGCAGTGGGGTGTCATAAGTCAATGTTCTCTGCCAAATGCGCATTGCAGCCTTCGTTTCCATGGCATGGGAGGAACAGTCTGCATTTTTTTCACAGACTGGGCCATGGAATGCCTGCCACACTACCTCGTCTGGGCCCATATCCTTGTGCCTACTGCATGTCAGGCAGTAATTTGATATGACCTCGAAGTCTAAGCGGAGGCCAGTATCTAAGGAGATAACTGCGCCATTCCCGTTGTGGCTTTTGTGGCCCCTCTTCTGCCAAGTGCCGTCGAACATAACAGCCACATCAGTTTCGCCTGCTACTTCTTTCGTCAACTCTCTGGATCGGCGCAAGTTTTCACTCACAGCTGCCATGGCAGCGGTGTGCACCTTCTTTGCTATCGAAAAAAATCCTCGGTAGTGCATTGGCTTTGGGAGTTTAATAATGGAGCAAAATCTCGACAATTGCTCATGCCCAATGCTGATAGCGCGTGCAGCCACCACCGCCTTCACATTTACAGCGAAACTATCTCGGGAGCTCCCACTGTCGTACCGTTGGCTCACTCGGCTGCTGCCGTCCGCCGTAACACGCAGTGACGTATAGGAGCACGAAAGAACAGTCGCTGAGCATTCGCTGTTTTCACAATGAAGTTCGAGGAGCGACGAAAGTCTCTTGCGCTATTCTGCCGGCTCCCGAACGGCAAGTTTTTGAATACCGCAAGCAGGGCATGCCGCACCTGCCACAAGTGCCGTCAGCAAGAGGGTGTCGCACAAAACTGTCGTTGCACAAACCTCATTGCGCTGTCTTTCGTCTTTTTCGAAGAAGCCGAGCTTCTTTTCCGAAGCACTGACGAAAGAAAGCGCAGTGTCAATCCCTTCATCGCAGCCACTGTCGCTCGCGCACTTGTCGATGCCGCCATCAGGCCTAGCACACGTAGGCTCGTTCTCGTTCGTCGCCGTCGTTCGGGGTGCTTTACGCCGCCGTCCCTTGAACTTGTGCTTCGTTCGAAACTTCTGCGGTCTTACGTTGCACTTTTTCGGGCTTGTCATCGCGGAAATATGCGTAGACGCGCAGAAAAGCAGACGGACCAAATGCCGATGGCCGCCACCAACACAGCTGACAATGACTCGGTAGCCAATGGCGATGCGGCTTAGGGTGCCGCGCGTTTCAAACCGCTCAAACCACGTGATAAAAAGGCCTCGTTTTTTATTTTTTTTGCCCACGTACGAAACTGGCGGTCGTCGGAGCTGTAAGAAGAAGGCCGGACGCAACTTTCCCAACCGATCGCAATGGCGGGCGGCACTGCTACGGGGAGCAGCACCCAGTCAAAGATGGCCAATATCGGCGCAAATTCACGAAATTTTGAGCCACCGCGATGCCTTCATACACATTTTTTTGCATTTTGCGGTTCGAATTTAGTTTTGAAATTTTCACAGATGTTAGAAGAAGGTTTGAAGATTACAATGCAATAAAAATCAGAAATACGAGATATTTCACTAAAAACGCGATTTTTCGACTCGAATCTCCCCTTAATTTGTTGATGTTTAGTGGCTGAGGTGAGGTGGATTTTCCCAGTCGTTGTTCCTCAAAGCAAGCATCACACTCTGCATATTGCTTTGCCATATTGCCAGGAATGAATAGAGTCTAAGTGTAGAAGGCAGCAGGATACTGCCGCACAGTAACATTAAAAGTAGCGGCAAATTTAACAAGGAGCACATTTTCGCTCTGGTCAGCTTGTTTACATGAAATGTAAATATGCAGGTTATCTACATAGCTCTAAAAAGCGTAGGATTTAGAACGTTTGACTTAAAGTCATCGTTCAAACGTTAAGCAAGGATTGACTTCAAGCAATGAAAGTCATGAAAAAGCATTTGTTACTGTCAAGTAAATACAGTGCAGTTCTTTCTTGTCGAGTTTTTTCCATACATATCTTATAGTATAGTCATTTTCGCTTCAAGAAGTCTGAACTAGCTGGTGTAGCTGGAAGTAGTGGTACGTAACTATGCCCAGCGCAAGTGGTATAGCAGTTATGCTGCTTAAATGCTGACTCGGAAGGTTGCAAGATTCAATCCCAGCTGTGGCAGCCGAATTTCATTGGAGAAACAATGCAGAGGCCCATGCGCTTAGATTTATGCACACAGTGAAGAACCTCAATTGGTTGAAATTTCCAGAGCCCTCCACCATGGCAGTCTTTCATAATCAGATCATAGTTTTGGGATATCGAATCCCAACAATTATATTATTAGTGATGCATATAGCAGTAGTTAAGCTAATAAAATCCAAAGTTTGACGGCAACCAGTCTGGCTGAAAAAAGGCATAGTGAAAACAAAAAAGATACACAGACTAAAAAAAAGAAAAGAGCACAGCTTACTTGATATTTCGACCCCACCGAATAAGAGATTGTGAACAAGGTGTTAAAAACAGTGAACAAGCGCGCTATAAGAAAAAAACGGACTGTGCAACATGGTCTTCAAGTTTTACACAAGGTTTCCGTATGGGGGGCTGAAAAGTCTATTAAACTGCGTTCTTTTTTGGTTGTTGTATCTTTTCACGTTTACAGTAGTTAAGCTAAAGATTACAATGGATTTCTGAAAAAGAACTCCTGACAATGGCTTGGTGTTTTTTTTTTTATTTTTATTGTGTGTGTTACCAGTTTGTGTGACTCCGTTTTCACGTTTTCGTGGTGACCTTTCAGCTGTGACGCCCATGATCCAGAATGCCAAGCAGGTGGCCACACGAATCTCGGATCCAGTAGCTCAGTCCCGTTGGAGGGAGTCCAACAAAGCGGTCAGTAAAGTCTAACTACTCATTAATATGTACACTCAGACCTCATTACAAAAAAGTTACTTCTTACATAAAAATACGTTCATTATAGCCGAAAATTCGCTATAAAGGTTTATTTGCAACATTATATCAATTGCAAGACTATTATTAATTTACTTTGTTATAACCATTATTTCGTTATATCCGGGCAAGTTTATTGAGGTTAGAGTGTATTCACAATGTGGATGCCTGCGCATTAATCGAGGTCTTTTGTAAGAAATTTTGGAACAGGTGCAGGTTTGGTGTACTAAAGTGCTTGGCGAGTTGGTATATGTTCAGGTCGAAGTGTAGCGCAAGAAAAACAGGATGCATCAAAGAACACACAATACAGGTGCCAACTAGAAACTTAAGCTTAATAGAAAGAAACCCACCACGTATAGTCAGCAAAGACTGTACTGGTCACGGGAACACCCGTCAAAAACTATTGTGTGTGTTCTTTTTTTCCTTCTGTAAGTTTTGACTGATGTTCACGTCGCTTCATATCAGCCTAGTCTTCGCTGACTATAAGATGTGGGTTTCATTCAAGCTTCAATTCGCAGTTAGCGCCTGTGTGTTCCTTATGATGTGCCGTTTTCCTCGCGCTACGCTTTGTGGGGTCTCGGCTGTTAAGAGCTCCGCGCTCTCAAAGTGAACGGACACAGTGGACACAGTCGGAACGAAGCAAAACAACACACATTTATAAGCTACCTTTATAACGATGATATCAAACTATTATATCATCAATTGGGATCAACACGCTTAAACAGCCTTCCACAAAATTACATAACACTCAACAACATAACAAACAAAATAACACATTCAAGGCGGCGTCACCAACGCTTCACTTACCACGAGGGCCCCCGGCACGCACCGGAGACCCACGCTAGAGACAACCATTCACGCCAACTGCCACCTGCCAAAGAGACTCGCTCAACTATCTCGTGCCGCCACCAAGGTCTGCCACCAGGGGTCACCGCTGGCGCTACCGATCAAACAATGACGATAGTAGTGGTGATCAATGCTCGTGAACACAACACCACCTACCGCTCAATAGTTGCGACTTCGAAACATGGCTGCTGCTTGAGACACGTGCGCAACGCGGCGCAAACAACTTTACAGGGGGTGTCAGCACCCTCACAGCTTCAACATGAACTTGTTTGGCTCGTGTCACTGTGTTGATTCAGTGAACCGAACGTTTTCTGCAGCTCATCAACGCAGTGGGCCAGGTACGGCAGGCTGTGACAGTGACGCCTGAGGAGGAGCTCCTTCCACATCTCATGGGATTGCAGGCTAACGGTAAAGCCAGATTGACCTCCCACATTGTGCTGTTTAATGCGGTTTGACATGTCAGGAGACGTAGGAGCGGCAGGTTTGTTGACAGCATTGTCAACAGCGCTCAAATGCTGCGATGTCCCTTGAGTTTTGAAATACAAAAGTGATAAAGCATGCAGCTGCTGTGTGCTTGTTTTAAAGGGTGAAATACTAAATGCCATATGCTTGTAAAAGGTTACATCATTGCAATACTAAGTTTAAGTAGATGTCTTGTTTCGGCACAATCGTAAGTCTGCTTTGTCTTAATGTGATGGTGCGGTTTTGGCACACGGTGATGGTGCGGTTTCGACACATTACCGGTTATGTTCTCTATGACTTGCGCTTTCATTTAGTTCTTTAATCTTTAAATGTGTATTTTCTGTGTGCCACTGCTGTATTTCCACTGAAGCTTTTGCAGACCTGCCGCACGGTCTTATGTTCCCGTGACAACAGGATAATGCTGCTAAAGTGGCGATGTTATTTTTGTAAAGAGATTCTTCATGTCTGATTTATTTCAGGAATGGGATCTCTCGCTCTTTCGTTATTGACACTAGGTAAAAAAGAAGTTTTGCTTAGAGGGAGCCGCGTTATCTTTCCTTTGCAATGTACCACACTGCTCGGACCATTTTTCGTAAACTTCTTCTCTTGTCTTATCTTCTTGCCTTTCGTATCTTGGTGGTCCTCCATCAGCCAAGCCAACCATGCGATCTCACGACATCAAGGTTCCAGACTTTAATGAAATGTTTGACGTCAAGATCGAAGTGCCGCCGGCCGAGAAGCGTCCGCCTCCGAAGAGAGGTACAGGCATCAGCAAAATGGCCTGGGCTTGATTCCATGCTTGATTGCACTTGTGGCACGAAAAAAGGAGAAAAAAAAAAGATGGCGTGGCAAAGATCGCTCTGCCTTCAGCCCACCCGTTTGACGTCGCTCGCTTAACACTCCCAATGCCTAAATGCGTTTGCCCGTGGCCTTGCATGACTCAATGTTTCGTGTCGCAGCAGTTTTGGATGTTCCCCGCTTGCGCAGGTTATTTGCACTTGCAGCCAAACTGAGGGACAACACCTGTCCTGCTTCCCCACACAAGGCGTACGGCCTTTCGCCGTTGTTACCTTACGTCTTGTTACCACTTGACTCGCTTTTTGAAAGGAGTCGCTTCTCGCGTTGACCAGAGTGGTGCCTCCCTCGTTCACGTGATCTCCGGTCGTTGGTACTCCAGAGACTTAAAAGTACACACACAATTTTCTCCACTGCTGGTTTTCGAACCCATTTCCTGCTTTTAATACCAAGACTGGTTTTCCAAGTTTCGCTGTTTGCCTCAAATATTGTGATACATCTCGAATGAACTGCTTGTGCCCTAACAGTTGGCATGCGATCCCAGCTGTAAGTGGCAGGGCGACAACTGTAACACCTGGTTTCGATTGATTTCGCGTAACCTTGCGCTTGTGCGCGGCGGCGTCCCTTGCTTTTAAAAAGTTCGGCACCTGCGAGTTTCTGCTAACCGTGGGGCTTGGGCACGAAGCTCAAACTTTTCTGGTGCTATGCCCCTCTTGCATTTTGTTATTGTTCCCTTGTCAGTGTTCTTCTGTTTCTGTAAACGTGATGTTATGTGCACTTACATTGTAGCTATGTTGCATAGGACTTTATGTCACTGTAAAGCCATACAGAGGCCTGACAGCTGCAGCGGTAACAGCGAACCCCTCTGTGTCATATTTTTCTCAATGCAATAATACTATTCTGTATTTCCCTTTGAACACTTGGTACCGTCCCTTTAGGATAGAAGGTCAGATGTACTTGGAACAGCCCCGCCGCGGTGGTCTAGTGGCTAAGGCACTCGACTGCTCACCCGTAGGTTGCGGGATATAATCCTGGCTGCGGCGGCTGCATTTCTGATGGAGGCGGAAATGTTGTAGGCCCGTGTGTTCAGATTTGGGTGCACGCTAAAGAACCCCAGGTGGTCGAAATTTCTAGAGCCCTCCACTACGGCGTCTCTTATAATCATATGATGGTTTTGGGACGTTAAACCCCACATATCAATTGATGTACTTGGAACATTGGACAGTCTTGCATACCATCACTATGTGCTTTTGGGAAAAATCGACACTAATTGAACGGGACTGCAGTTTTACTAAAGGCCTTGAAATGTGCCCGTTAAAACATTTTGAATACGGTGAGTCTCCCTGCAGAAGTAACTGCTCTATGTGTTAGCTGTCAGACTTCAAAAGGTGATACATGTGGCATAACTATGGTTAAAGATATTTTACTTATGGCCTTGATGGAGGCGTACTGCACTCCAGCCATAGCCTTTAGCCAGTAGTATCAGTAGTAGCCAGTAGTACCAAATCCTAAACAGTAGCACTGCTTAGGTTTTAGAACTGAAAGTTGCCCTAGTTAATTCTGCGTTAAGTACGTTGTAAGAATGTACAGATGAAAAACAAGATTAAAAACAAGTGGATGCTTCCAGCATCTCTTCTTGCTGCTTTTCTTAGCATTTTTACGGCGAAATTTTTGTAATGCGTAGCTTATACCACCAAGAAACCAATAACTGTTTGCTATCAGTAGTTCATAGTAACCACTTCCAAAGCTTTTTGCAAGTTTAGTGCCAGCTGAAGATGGTGGAATGAACTGGTGCCAAGTTTTTTTTTTTTTGTGTATGTGCGAAATGCTTTAGTTTTGTTCGCAAACAAAATTCCTTTGGGTCATTTTTTTTCTTTTTTCAGAAATGGTAGTTGAGGTCTAATTGACCATGTCTGAATAATGCACCTAAGGAATTCTCAGCATGTGTATATGTAATAATGTGCATAATGTGGTATAGTCGGTACATCACTGGGAAACAAACAATGCTGAAAATGTGGTTACACAAAACTTTGTTGGGTGTACTTATTTTGTGTAGTCCTGTCTTCGGCATGGTTTGTTTCATCGCAGTGGTACGAGTACCGCTTACGCGCCGACGTGCACATATGCTCAAGTCGGATTCCTTTGACCCCCGGTTGGCTTAATCTATTCCTCATTCAAACAGAGGTGGTGGTGGAACCACCCATTCAGAAGACGACAATTCCCAGGCAGTTGCAGGAACACAGCTACCCAGGTGGGATCGGCTGGAATGGTTTTACTCTCCCAATTCCGCACGGGAATTGGCCTAACCAATTGCTGAATGACTGCCCCAAATTTTTTTTCTTCTCAACGGCCTTGAGAATGAGTTTCTCTCGCGCGTGCCACTTATTTTTTGGTCTTGCCAGAGAACTAAATAAAGGCCCCAACCTCTTGAATGCCCTGGTTTTCTAGTTCTGACTTTGGATTGAATTGGGTTGTACGCTTTATGACCTGGATTTTGCTTGCGTTTGATTCTGAATTTCGGTTTTTAACGTTCCTGCGAGTTACGGTGTGTTTTTGCGGTGCCAGTTCGCCATGGAAAATGCCTCGCTGTTGTTACCTTCAGTTCTGACACTGACGCTATTCCCTATATTCATCAAAATTTTTTTGAAGGCATTTGCAAGCTTGAGTGTGCATGTGCATCGAAGCATGAGAGGAATCGATGACCGCTGTTTTTTGTGCGTCTGAGCTGAGGAAATGTAAAGTTGCCTGCGTGGCCATTCCTTCAGTGTTTTTGACTCGTAAAAAAAGGCTTGGGTTGGCTTTGAGCTCGGCTTCATTCTTGATGTAGTGACTCTATTCATAGCTTGAGTCGCAGCACTTTGCGCATTGTGCGTGTGAATGTGCTTGAGAAAGTGAATGTTGGAATGTTTAGAATATGAATGCTGGAATGTCTCAGAGTGCTGTCTTTCTTTGGTCTTGTATAGGTGGAGATATGCATGGATGTCGTTGATTGCTTCATTTGCTTTTTTATGTCTTGTTTTTTTCTTTGTGTTGTGTGAACTTTTCTTCCATTATTTCATGAAGAAGAAAAAGGTTTAAGAGTTAGCCTATTTAATGGCTCTTACTGTTGTAACTTGAACAAAATGGTTATTTTTTCAGAACAAAGGAACCCATTTTATAGCTGTGACTCCACCTTTATGCATAGTTGAGTAGCGGAAGGCGTCCCGCAAGAGTTTCATAAATTGACTATGACTCCCTGTAGGGCTAGAGAATACTAGGACGTTATAACTACTAAGTGGTTGGTACCCTCAAAACATTCTTTGTAGAGCCACTTAATTGTATTGAGGAGGAGCAACTGCAGGGGCATAAACAGTTGACGGTGGAAATACCAACTCTTTACCATACCTTGGTGCCATCTTTAACAAATGATAGGATGAAAAGTGTAGCTTTGATTAGCACATTTCCTGCTTTGTTTGGTGCAAAATTCTCATTCAGGGTTTTGGATTGGCATGCGTCATGACAGCTTGCATTTCCGTGATGCATATAGCGAGGGAATCCATGCATCAGCGCCTATAGCAATGTGTTGGCTCAATCCTACCATTGGTTCATCACTAGGTTATTGCCCCTTCCTGCAGTTTTACTGGCTCTAACAAAGAAGTTCTCCAGTATTAACACTTGATTTGATCAAGCTCTGCTAAAAAGGAGTGATAAAAATAGCTCATTATCCTAACAAGCACATGGGTGCCATGCTGAGGCTACGCCTTTTACTCCCCTTCTTACATTTGCATAGTCAGTTTAATGTCAGCTTACCATTTCATTCTGTGTTTTAACTGAATCTCATTTAAGCGTAATTATCGTCCCAGGGTTGAAGCATACACACTGCCCACAACTGCATCTGCTACGTCACCTGATATTTTAAACTTTGTAGTGATGTCACAACTCACAATTGCATATAGTGATGTATCTGTTCCGCAGACCTGCTTGGGTGTGCAGCAAGAAAGTCTCTGCCCTAATTTTCGTGTTCTTTTTGGTGGTGGGAGCAAAGTAAGTGTGGGGTGGAAAAACCGTAGTTAATCAGCAACAACTTTGTAGTTAATCAACTAAGATAATCAACTTGGTACTTAATCAACAAAGAATAATTAGGCCCGTGCGCTCAGATTTGGGTGTACGTTAAAGAACCCCAGGCGGTCGAAATTTCCAGAGCCTTCTACTATGGCGTCTCTCATAATCATATGGTGGTTTTGAGATGGTAAACCCCACTTATTAACCAAATCATCATCAACAAAGATTATCTACGAAGTCCATACGAAAAAAATGTTTATTGAAGCAGAGCAACCTATAACTTCAAGAAGGGCATATGTAGCAAAGTACACTGAAATGGTTGTTTGTTCAGTATATGCTTATTTAATTGCATGTTGCAAATTTTGAGGTCCTAGAAATTGCAGCTCTACTTTGTCCTTAAGGACACTCCACTCTGGCTGTCTCCAGCAGGTTTTGGATGAGTGGTAACATTACTAATGCCATTGTTAACTGTCTTCAGCTTTAGAGAAAGCAGGGTGGCAGATAAATACAGCTGTATTACTAGCGTGTACACTGAGGTGCTTCTGGATTGAATGAATGACGTGCACCACAAGAGGACACTTGTGATAGCAAAGCACACTCAAACCTTCTTATAATAAAGTTGCATCTTACACAATAAGAGTTTGTTATATCGGAAAGTTTATTATAAATATATAGTGTTACCACCGTATTCATTGCAAGACTATTTTACATTTACATTGTTATAACAGATCTTTTGTTATATCAGTGTCCGTTATATAGAGGTTAGAGTGTGTCATGTTGAATGAGTTGGTGTGCAGGTTAACTAGGTAATGCGTACACCGTATACGATAAACTTTAGGGACAGAAAAAGGAGAAGACTTAATATGAGTGAAACTTCTGACTCAGTTTTTGGAACTCAGTAGCGCTTTAGAAGCTTTGTAGTAAACAATGAGAAAAGTCAAGCAATTATTGTCATACTGCATAGAAAAAGATGCCATCGATATTTTGAGATGTTCTACTTCTACGAAACAAAATACCTGTAAGGGTATTAATTAAGGACCGTTTGAGCGAGTGTCAGCACTTATGGCCTTTGGCCTTTTGGGGCATTCTAGAGGAGGCCCCGCCGCGACCCCCGCTGCCAGGCTCGGGAGACAGGGCCCCACCGAGGCCGCCACCACCGTGCGAAACCGACGATGAATTTGAAGAGCGCTTCCCACCTCCTCAGCCGAACCAGCCCATCATGGTGAGCCACGCACGCTGGTGCCAGCCTATGGTAACCTTACCACTGTGTTGTGACATCGCTTGCAGTGTGGTAATTCTAGTAATTTCTGTGCATTAACTTGCACTGTGCCGCATTCCATCACTTCTAAGCAGCATCGTAGTTCAAATCTGCATGGTCATCCTTTGCTATATGTACTGCTAAAATTGACTATCGTTTTACTGTAAACTGATTCAATGTATAATAGTGTGGCCCTTACTAGGAAAAAGTGTTTCATTGTGTTTCAAAAACTTTTGCTAGTTGATAGAAACATTTTGGTTGCTATAAATCTGCCTGTGACAGATGCAGTTTCTGAAATAGACCTTGAGCTCTGCGCTCCCCCTCACTTGCCCCCTTGTATTTGTTTTTTCTTGTGCTAAGTTATAGTAGCTTCAGGTTTTTCCGGATATAATGAATAAACTAGACCAGCAACAAGTGTTACTTGGATTACCAAGTGTGCTGTAACAGTGTTCACGCAGCTGATCATGCTACAACTGATCGCAAATGATGATCTGATGAATCGACATACAGATGCACTGAATTGCCCCACTCTTGTCACAAGGTGGCGCAGCAGTAGCCTAGCCTTAGTGCCGTTGATCACCTGTTTCTGTAAGTCGGAGGAATCTGTTCTTGTCGTTTGGCACTTGTTGCGCAAGAAAGACGTACACTGTGAGGTGTGGAAGGTTTACCCAGGCATTGGAGGTAACGCAGTGTAAAACAAGACATGGACGAAGATTGGCGATGCACACACAGCTCTTAATGTACTATGTGTGTCAAATGTAACCCGAACAGTGGCAAGTCTTCGTGATGGATATGCTCGCGGGCTGTCCACTTATCACCATGGACAGGCATGCTTATATATGTGCAGAGCTGCAGAGCTGCCAAACAGGATGCGTGTGCCTGTCAATTGTGTTAACTGGATAGCGTGCACTGCAGTAAAATCTCGGTATAACAAACTTCAGGGGGCCGCGGCACGCGGCAACTTGTTCGTTATTTTAAATGTCGTTATAGTGAAAGCCCAAAAGTTAACCATAAATACTTATTTTCCACCGACCAAAACGACTTGTCTTTACAACGGTGTGTCCTTGAACTCGTTTTTCACTAGAAAAAACAAATGCTCAAGTGAACACCAAAAAATGCACGTTTACTCTAAAGAAGTCTGTGATTTTTTTTTTTATGCGTGCAGAACGAACTTCGCAGCGCAAAGGCCTCTAGCTCATCCATATTCCTGTGGTGCGATTCAGTTCTTTGGTCACAACAGCCTGCTTTTTGCCTTCCAGTTGCCGAAGAATATTCACTTTCTCGCTTAGCCAATACAGCTTCCGCTTCTTTGTCGCAAGCAAAGATGAACTCGTTTGTAGTAGCACCCCAGTGCGTACACAACTTGCTTTGCGGACATAAGTAATCACCGAAAAGAGATGAATACGACTAATAAACAAAGCCTCCTAGAGCACATGTAGAAGTGACAAAGTAAGAAAAACCCGAAGCGTCGCGGCTGTCATCGCCTCTTCCGAAGAAAAAAAGTGTTAAAAGAGAAAATTCCATGCGTTTCGTTTTCTGCCCCCTCGCTGTCTCAGGTTTTCCGTGCCCATGCTTCCTTCGTCACAACTCCCACTCTGCCTCACTGGCCTTGCCCTCCCGTGTTGCCCTTGCCCCTCGCCTCTGCGCTTGTAAACCTGCAGCGTTGGCGTTTCAACAAAAAGAAAGAAAATAAAGTTGCCCTCTTGTATTTTTCCCACTCTGCATCATCGCACGTCTTCCGAGAAGCAAGGCCTCTGTTGGCTTTGTCTGCTTGCGTATCGCTTTGGTGGTTGTGACGGATTTCGGAACATGAGTTTGTAGTATTGAGGCGTTGTTAATATAAAACGAAACTAAATTAACGCTCGTTATTCTGAAAAGTTCGGTATTTTTAAGTAGTAGGGAAATAATTTTACGTTGAGACTATTAGCATTCAGCGCAAGATTTTTAAATGTTCTTTAATCTGAAAAGTTTGTTAATGCGGGGTTCGTTCCCCCGAGATTTCACTGTATAATATTGGGAAGGCTTACGACTCTTTGGGTTTCATTGGTTGCTGGTAGTACAATGATTTATTCAAAGGAAGGGAAGGATGAAAATTTGTGTATGGCACTAACTTGCACAACAACCATGAAAAGTGGCAAGTTTTTATATTTTTTCTAAATGTTATACATTCAGTACAACATGTTTGTAGGGTAAAAAAATCTGTGTGGTAAATAATTGGTAAATCTTTATGATACTTTGTGTGGTAAAATATGTTTGTGGGGTGATTTTTGTATGGTAAAACATTTGCACGTAAAGCCTATAAGGCAGTGTCTTCTTTAGCGGGAAAGTGATCCTTCAATAGCACTTTCATCTTGGAAAATTTTATATCTGAACAGGCCATGATTGACACACCATTGTGTGCAGTGGTGGTTGTACTGTATACATCATTCAGTAAAAAAAATGTCATTTTTCATATTTGTTGCACATGTCAGTGGCATATGTGTAAACATTTATCCTTCCCTTCCTTTGAATAAACTGCTGTAAATCGGCGTTGTGTGTGCGTCACCCTTCCTTGTACGTCTCTTCTTTTTGCACTGTTACCTCCAATGTTCGACCTATATGCCCGAGCTTTGACGCTATGTTGACACAGACGTGTGGGATATTTGAGATGTCAAGGAAGTGCAGAGAAAGCTGCACATACTTGCTTGGTGACGCGTCCTCTGCGAGCTGCAACAGAACCCGTGTGTGTCCCTACAGATAGCAGCGCACGGCTTGCACCAGGAGGTTCGTCAGTGGTCGAGCAAGGACAACGAGATCATTGCGGCTGCCAAGAGGATGGCCATCCTCATGGCTCGGCTCAGCCAGCTGGTCAGGTGGGTCTCTAATTTCACCGTAAAACAAGGTGGCCTTTAGTGTAGCTACATCTCGGAGATTCTTCACAGCGATTGCAGACTCTGCTGTGCATGAAGGAAGTGGTTTCTCTATGTTAAAACATTTTCACACAGGGTGCCTAGGAGTGTCTGCTTTAGCAGGAAGACATTGTTGTTTCTTTTTTTATGTTATGCTACCAGGCTTTGTTTGGAGAGATGACTAAGGTTCCTTAACACTGTGCCTGAACAACAGTGGGATTCGAAATTTCTTATAAATTCACCTGTTAATGAAGCTGTTATAAATTTAGGTTCGCTCACATGTGAAATATCTGTTAGTACAGTCTGTGCAACCATGCTATACAGCTGAATCTCGATTATACGAATTTGTAGGGAGCACGCAAAATAGTCATGCCATCCCGAATTCGTATGAACCCAAACAAGTAAAGCTGACCATGAATATTGTCACGTTAAAGAGACAGGAGACGTTTTTAAGGCGTCCTCACAAAAGTCCGAAGAGCGGTCGGCTCAGCGCAGCCAAAAACAGAACAATGGCACGAGGGGAACTGCCACTTCGTCTGCCTCTTTTGCGCTGGCAGATCAAGCGCGCGGCACTGCCCCTCCTCCCTGAAGAGCATCGCCTCGATGCTAAACGAAGCGTGTATCGTAAAAAAAAAAAACATTGTCACAGTGTGTGGTACGGTTTTAACCGCACCACGTGCACAATCTCGGGTCGTAGCTGTCGGCGTCGGGGTGGTTGGCTTCCGTCCGGAAGGACTTCGTAATTGACGTCGCTCACTTGTCGTAGCACTTTGTACGGGCCAAAATACCGACTGAGAAGCTTCTCAGAGAGACCTTTGCAGCGCACAGGGGTCCAAACCAACACCTGGTCACCTGGTTTATAATCGACTTGTCTGTGGCAGCGGTTGTAGCGCTGTGCATCGACGCCTTGTTGTTTCTTGATGTTTACGCGGGCTAGTTGACGTGCTTCCTCGGCTCGTTGCACGAAACACTCAGCATCTTCGTCGAGATTCTCGATGTTGTCAATGTCGCATGGGAGCATTGCGTCCAACATCGTCTGAACGTCCCGACCGTATAGAAGACGAAACGGAGTGAATCGTGTGGTCTCTTGCGTAGCGGTATTATACGCGAATGTTACGTAAGGCAGTATTTCATCCCACGTCTTGTGCTGTACGTCTATGTACATAGACAGCATATCAGTCATCGTTTTGTTAAGCCGCTCGGTCAGTCCATTTGTCTGAGGGTGATACGCTGTTGTCTTGCGATGCGTGGAGTAACTTAACTGAAAAACTTGTTCAAGGAGCCTTGCTGTAAACGCTGTTCCTCGGTCTGTGATGACACAGGATGGAGCACCGTGGCGTAATACAATTCTCTCGATGAAAAACTGAGCAACTTCACAAGCCGTGCTTTTAGGAAGCGCCTTAGTTTCAGCATAGCGGGTTAGATAATCTGTAGCGACGATTATCCACTTGTTGCCGGAAGATGACAAGGGAAACGGACCCAGGAGGTCCATGCCGACTTGATCGAAGGGTGTTCTGGGTGGCTCGATAGGGTGAAGTAATCCCGCAGGCTTAACAGATGGGGATTTTCGGCGCTGGCATTCGCGGCAGGCTTGAACGTACTGTTTAACGCAAGCGGCAAGTTTCGGCCAGTAGTAAGACTTTCGTACCCTAGCGATGGTTCGGGTGATGCCCAGATGGCCCGATGGAGGCTCGTTGTGGCAGGCAAATAGAATTTCCTCACGCAGCTCTGCGGGGACGACCAACAGATAAGTTTTGTTGCTGGCGGCTGCGTTCTTCTTGTACAACACGCCCTGTCGTAAGCAGAAGGATGACAATCCGCGAGTTATATGCTGGGGCAGTGATACGTTGCGGCCCTCTAGATGTTCAATGATAGGTCGCAATTGAGCATCTGCTCGCTGCCGTAAAGCCAAGTCTGTTACGCTTACGGAGCCAAGGAAAGGGCAGTCCTCTTCGAAGCTCTGAGCGGCAGGCTCAACTGGCGCGCGTGACAACGTGTCCGCATCTTCGTGTGCACGACCGGACTTGTACACGATAGTGACGTCGTACTCCTGCAGACGTAGGCTCCACCTTGCCAGTCGTCCGGAGGGGTCTCTGAGGTTCGCAAGCCAGCACAGCGAGTGATGATCCGTCACTACTCTGAATGGACGGCCGTAAATGTAAGGTCGAAACTTAGCAATTGCCCACACGACAGCAAGGCACTCCTTCTCCGTGGTACTGTAGTTTGACTCCGGGCGTGTTAGGGTTCGGCTTGCGTAGGCGATAACCTTTTCAATTCCCTCCTGCCGTTGGACGAGTACCGCGCCCAGACCGACGTTACTGGCGTCGGTATGAATTTCTGTTTCGGCTTCCTCGTCGAAATGTCCAAGAACAGGTGGTGATGCCAGGCGAAGCCGAAGCTCTGTGAATGCTGATTCTTGTTCAGCACTCCAAACGAACGGCGTATCGTCTCTAGTGAGTCTAGTTAATGGTTCGGCAATTTTCGAAAAATTGCCTATAAAGCGCCGGTAGTACGCGCATAGACCAAGAAACCGCCGCACACTTTTCTTATCGGCAGGAGTCGGGAAGGCTGCGACAGCGGCGGTTTTCTCAGGGTCAGGACGGACGCCTTCTGCGCTTACGACATGTCCAAGGAACTTTAGTTCTTCGTAACCGAAATGGCATTTTTGCGGCTTTAACGTAAGGTTAGCCGTCCGAATCGCCTCAAGTACTTGTCGTAGTCGCTTCAGATGTTCGGAGAAGCTGGTTGAAAACACGACCACATCATCCAAGTACACAAGGCAGCTTTGCCATTTTAAGTCAGTCAACACAGTGTCCATCATGCGTTGGAAGGTAGCTGGCGCAGAGCAGAGTCCGAACGGTAGCACCCGAAATTCGTAGAGGCCATCCGGCGTGACAAAGGCGGTTTTTTCGCGGTCGCGCTCATCAACCTCAATTTGCCAGTAGCCACTCTTTAAATCCAGGGAAGAAAAATACTTCGCTCGTCGTAGTCGGTCAAGCGAGTCATCAATACGCGGCAGCGGATAAACATCTTTTTTTGTGACGTTGTTGAGCTTTCTGTAATCTACACAGAAGCGAAGCGTACCGTCCTTCTTCTTAACCAGAACGACCGGTGAGGACCAGGGACTGTTCGAAGGCTGGATAACGCCGTCGTCGATCATTTCTTTCACTTGCTGCTTGATAGCTGCGCGTTCTGTCGGCGAGACGCGGTATGGCTGTTGGTGAATAGGTCTTGCGTCGTCGTAAGTGATTATCCTGTGCTGTGTAATTGGCGTCTGACTCACTTTAGACGACTGAGCAAAGCACGCCCTGAATTCAAACAATAGCTCTCGCAAGGCCCTCTGGTTCTCTTCTGGCAGTGCACTGTTCATGTCAACATCTATTACGGTTTGTCCATTGCGGCTACTGTCTTCACAGGCAAAACACTCAATGACGTCCTCCAAGGCTTCAGCGTAGGCGACCGCAGTGCCCCGGAAAAGGTGACGATGCTCATTGGTGAAATTTGTAATCATGACCTCGGCTGTACCGTTCCGAATGTCAATGATGCCTCGTGCCACAGAAATTCCAAGCGCCAGCAGCAGGGAGACGTTGCACTCTGCCACTGTTTCACCGTCACTGGTTCCTTCGGAAGTCACCTGAATTAGGATACTTGCACGAGGTGGTATTGTGACACTGTCGTCGGAAACACGGAGGGCGGTTGTACGGCGGTTGAAATCCCTTGACGTAGCGTTGACTGTCGAAAAGGAAATGCAGCGTCGCCGTAGGTCGATTACGGCGCCATATTCCCGAAGAAAATCGAGGCCGAGAATTAATTCGCGGGAGCAGTCACGTAGCACGATGGAGCTGACCAAAAACGTGCAGCCTCGTATTTGTAGCCTGGACGTGCACAAACCAACCGGCGTTACAACATGTCCGCCAGCTGTACGTACATGCGATCCTGTCCAAGGCATTATCACTTTCTTCAAGGTACGTGCCAATTGTCCGCTAATAATCGAGTAGTCAGCACCAGTGTCTATTAAGGCAGTTAAATTGCGACCGTCGAGCAGCACAGGTATGTCCATTGAAAAGTCGCTCAGCTGGGATACAGGCGCCGGCGTAGTCGAATTTCCGTTGGTCCGATGTCGCGTCGATTGGAGGGCGAGGTCTTCATCACGTCGAGAATCAGCGGCCTCGCCTCGAAAGGTCGCTGGCGTTAGTTTTCCAGGCGAGGGCTCGGAGACCGTCCTTGCGGCCTTCGATTTCCGTTGCCTGAATAAGATGACGACCGCGGTGACGGTGAGCGCGACTGACGCCTGAGTGGGACGTTCTGCCGAGCGATAAAATCTTCAATTTCTGGTGGTCTCTGTCCAAACCGGGGGCGGGGTGAATTGGCAGGAAAACCCTGCAGCCCAAGTCGGCGGTACTGGCAGTCTCGGTAGAGGTGACCCGCTTCACCGCAGTGGTAGCAAAGCGGTCGTCGGTCGGGCATGCGCCATATGTCGGATTTACGCATGACGGGTCGAGTGTCTGCAAAATAAGGGACCACCTGTGCGGACTGCAGTGTGGCGTACGGGGTTGCGGCTGGTAGTGGGACTGGTGCAGGTGCGTTGTGTTCGAACGTGTCGGTATAAGTGGTGCGCTGGAAACCACTCACTGGGGATGGTGTCGTGGACGACGGAACGGTGCGTCTCAATACGTCTGCGTAGGTCACCCCTAGAGGTTCACTTGAAGTTGCGAACGCCTGAAGTGGTGCAGCAACCTGCGTTGGTGTCTCGCGGCGAGGTGTGCCGAGCGCATGCTGAACTTCGTCACGTACGATGGTGGCGATGCAATTCGTGGAAGGCTGCTGCTGCGCCTGGTTCAGCTGTTGCAGCTGTTGTAGCTCGTCGCGAACAACCGAACGTATCAGCTCGCGAAGCGCTCCCACGTCGGTCGGGAACGAGCCTAGCCCGGTGGTATAGGTAGCATTCACTTGCCGATCGTACT